AAAAACAAAAAAACAAAAACAGTTGACCCGCTTACCAAGTGAAACAACGCTTCTCTCCTTCACTGAGGCTTTTATGTAATTTCACAGTTTGGTGGCACTAATGAGTAGAGTAGAAAACCGTAAGCTGAGGCTACTCAAAGAAATGTTGAGAAAAATATTTTTGACGGTATTTAAATTGAATCGTGTCTTATATCTAATTTGAATTTTTCTATTCCTATGCCACTTAAAGTGTAGAATTCATTGTGATATTTCACGCTACGTTATTTTTCAACAACACAAACTAACTCGCATGCCACATGATCGTACGAACATAAAGTTTTCATCCGCAACAACTCCTGCCACCAATTCAGGTGTCCCTTTCTCTCTCATTATTTTTTAATATCAAACAGAGCCAGTAATCGTCTTTTCTAATACTAAGAGATACCCTTAAAGAAAAGGAGGCTACAAATATTAATTTGGAAACATCAAAAATGACTAAAGTGAGAAAAATACTTGAATAAATCGCAAGAATGGTGAAGAAGTCAGAGAGAGAGAGAGAGAGAGAACTGACATAGATAGCTTACGACCACATCAGAAAGTTGAAGGTGATTTTTTTTTCTCGTTACAAGCACGTTGATTAATAATTACTCAAGTAGGCATACCTTTCTAAGGTCACTACCGAATATATTACCAACCTTGCACGCCCTCGCTGTTTAGCTTTTCATCTGTTATTCTTCGCACGGTCGGAGATGCGTTTAATGTCCTACACTGAATTTATGCAGGGTTTAACTTAAACAGTGCAATTGTAGCGTGATGATAGTTAAGATCAAATAGACAGTTGTTGCGATTCTTCATGATATTTGTTTGGGCAGAGGTTGCGCTTTTGAGGGGCTTGTTTACAAACACTATACACGACCCCCATCGTCTAACTTCCCACAAATTTGATTTTAACTGAATCAGAGGATTAAAAGGATGAAAAAGTGCTTTTAACCGTATGCCTATTCTGAAGACATCAGGGTGAAATCAAACGGTTCGATCATAAAATGTTGGAAATTATGGGACTAAAATGAGCTCAGCTCCTTCATGAACAACACTGGTATAAATATTTTAGATACTATTGCAAATAGGGAGAACCATATGATGTTTGATGCGAGTATCGCGAGTGCTCTTGAATAAACACATATTTAATACTGAACCAGGGAACTTACTTACTTGATGTTGGTCTTTGAGAAAGATGATATTTTTAAAAACAATGAGTAAGGTACTGCAGTCTTATCCAGACACGAACATTCCAAATATTGCCTTGGTCTTCGGATCAAATTTAGAACATAACAGGATTAAAATTGCACGCTATTCCACCTCATGCAATGCTATCCAGACACCCTTTCTCTGTCCATCATTTCGTTTTCATTATGACAGCAAGCAAGATTTCAAAACGGACTGTTTACTATGAACGCAACTCTCGTTTCCTACCCGCCTTTAACATGTTTCGCGTTTACAGAACGTACGCTGAATAACTCTAGAAAGGCAACAGTCACCCGTGTTAGAAACACTTGATAGGATCTCGTAGTAACGAAAAAAAAAGGGGTGACGTCGGCGTTTTGGGAAGCAGCTCAATCAGGCTGTTTTAATGTGGATAGTGGGCCTAACCTTAGAAATAAAGCTCTGTTCTCAGAATTCCCTGGTTTGGTGCTGAAGATGCCATATATTAGAGGGACTCTTGTTTTAGTCAGTTGAATATCTTCAAACTTCTTGAAAGTACTATTAAAATTCCTTTTACACAAAAGAAGACTTTAGATGAGATTAGTTACCAGTTGTAACCTAGGATCACAACGGGCCTTCACAATGAGATGGCCCACACAATGAGATGGCCCACACAGGGATTCATAGGCTTTTTAAAACAAGAATCCTCAGCCTCCCATCCCCCCTCTCTTCCTTTTTTTTTAGGTGTGATATCATTCCTTTCTAAAAAAAATCCCTGCCCTTGATTCAAGATTTTTAAATCAAAAGAGGCTTTGTTGGGCGGATTTCAAGTTCGTTATTTGCAGTCCGAGTTAGTCTTTTCCATTCTTAACCATTCTTGTTCGAGTTGTATGCCTAACTGATTCCTTCGCAGTCGTCTCTCTACTTTAAAGTATTAACGAGGGAAGCGCGAAAGAGTTGTCCACGTGAAAAAATGAGCGCTTCAGCTTAGTAAAGCTTCCCTTTCGCGCTCACACGACCGGGTAGGAAAATTAGTGAAGACTGGGGACGAGTCGGTATTCTAATCTTTTTGGTGATTGTTTCGATAATTCAGGGGTTTTATTCTATTTAAAAGATATTTCTCTCTGAATCAAAGTATCACGACAACCCTTAGCTTTAAGAAGTTTTCAATGAAAATTTTTTTCAAATTAGACGCTACGCACTAATGAATTCAATAGAAAATAACGGAACTTTTTCTCTTGGTGAATTCTAGTTGTAAAGTGTAATGTTCACTAAAAAAGTGTGGATTATTTTTTTGAACATCTTATTGATATGCGTGAAAGTGCAGCTATTCTAAGCGATGGATTCCTCCTTGAACTAATAAAAATATCAGTGGAACATTCATCCTCTTCAACCTCAGATGTTACAAAAAAATTGTTTATAGCGATTTCCATACCTTTTTGAAAGGTTCTTTTTCGTCGACTTGAAAGTCACAGTACGCGGTTAGTTGTTGAGTGAGTCGATTCACAGTTTCAATATCACACGACTTTGTAACTGTCTTCAAGAGTCAGCCACACTCAGAGTGAAAGAAACGTAAACAAGAATTTGTTGTACAGCATGAATACCTCGAGAGTATTTCATTAACTCAATTTAATTACATCGTGAATGGTAAAAAATAATAAAAAGAATCAATCACCCCCGCATTGCCCGAAGTAGTCATCCCTTGGCGAGTTTCCCAGCAGGACTCACACCGCAGAAGTGAAAGGCCGGCCCTCTCTGTATTTCTAATTATCACATTGCTTTGAAGGCAGTACTACTACATACTTCTAGTTTGAATGGCGTGAGTCAAAGAAATTTTTGCTAAACAAATAATTGCCGAAATATATTTATAATCATCAATTATTGACATCACGAGTTTGACTACTGTACGAGAGGCATATGTAAATCAAATGTTTGATCATTTTTTAAATAGCGTAAATTAAATATAAAAGTGAGGAAAAGAATTCTCCATCAGTTAGACAAGCTTTATTTTCACTGAATATCTGTCGTCTATATGCACAACATACTGCCGTCACAAATAAATGAAGATTTACTCGGAGCCTTCGCATTCCATATTGGGTTTGTCGAAATGCGCTTTCACAAGCGAAGTTTCCCGCGAAATAAATAGAGTTAAAAACTGAAATTAGACTTTTGACAAGTGCCAATTAGTTTGTATATTTTGGAAGTCAAACAGCATGGGCTTCTAACATATTCACAGGATTCTTTTGAATAATTTTAACGAAAAAAACCTTTCTCGGGGATTTGTCACGAATTCTCCCCGCAGGAACGACATCAGAAACAGCCTTTTTTAGCGGGGGACGATGCGTTGCAATAATTAACTATCTTGTGAAAGCGCCGTTCAATTTTCTCAGGACTAAAATATGAAAGTGGACATTTTGGGTTATAAACTTATGCGTGGCATGAGCTCAGCTGTCAGTTTCTCAGGCTTTCATTTAGATGAAAGCTGAGAGACTATTGTCTTGACTATTACCGGGCGCTTTTCCACACTGAAGACCGAAAATTTGAAAATTCGTTAAAGAAGGAAATATTCTTCGAGTACACAAACCTTGCACGACTTAAAATATCACGGCAGGAATAAGGGTCTGGAAGTATTTACCTTCATCCAGACGTTTGAATTTGCAAATAAACCATTGAAATGTCTTTTTTTCGTTTTCTAACTTTATTTACTTTTTCCCCTGGTGAAACAACACGTGATGAAACACCCACACGCAGGCAAAAACCAAATAAAGACAGGCCATTTTCAAGAGATGATGCCTTAATAATTGTTTGGTGTATTTTAAACGTTTAGTGACTCTCATCTATCTGTATTTTTAACCGCCATTCTTTCAAGTGCGGTCAAAAATCGAAAATTTTTTGGGTATTGTATTTAGTGTTTTCATGGTCAAGCTTCAATCAGCTTTTACAAGCTCGTGTTCAAGATGATTATTCAGAATGCGAAGAGAAATCAGAGATTTTTTTTTCGGATAGTACAACTAAGGTGCAGTTTATTTCATGTTGTTGAGTTTGTCAAATATCTTAATACAAACAGAGCAGACTAAATGATCCAGTATTGATGAAGGGAATTGTGAAAAAAGTGTGACCGATCTACTCTTTCATAGGATTGTTTACGTGAATATTTCATTTCAACGATTTTTTTTAGTCATTGACAAGAAGCCGATGAATTACACAAACTGGATTTTAAGGCTTGTCTTTCCTAAAAAAAATGAGCCTTTTATTATTTCTTTCAAACAAACTTACAATTAATTTTATAATGTAGAAAGAACGGCTTTAAATCAACAAACTGACAGAGCTACAAAGTAGGGTGTATGTCAGCATCAGCCGTTATTATTTTTCGACACTTCAATGCATGCTCATTGTTTGTATAGTGGTGGGCGAACACTTACACTAAAATATTGGAATTGAATGGTACCAAGAGCTTTGAGCGGTTTTTAGTTTTGAGATGATTTTAAATTAAGGCCTAAAGTTACATTTCACTCCGTCTGTTTATCGCATGCACAGCAGGGGTTTGAATCAAGAAAGTCATTAAAATGAAAGTTGAAACAGTAAAACGGTAGGAAACGTCAGAGTGGTATTAAGGAGGTTTTGAGGTCGTAAGAAGTCTTAATCCTATGAGATCTGTCGATATCGTGCTGAATTTATTAGGTGAAACCGCGGACTTCCTAATTGAAAATTGCGAAACTTGCCATTGGCTTTATCGCTTTCTTGGTAACAAGAAATAGACAGAGGTCAAACGCGCGCGTGAAGAACGATACATCGAAGAAAGAACTTTAGTTAAAAAAACAAAGAGACCTAGAAATGCCAGTTGATGAGTTTAAAGAAAACTGCACGATAAATATCGGAAGTTGCGACAACTCAACATGGTTATGGAACTCATCCAGTTCCAATGACTCGGATGAAGATTTGAGTTCACCTTTCATCACAAAGTTACAAATAGGTTTTCAGCTGGTCGTTGGTTTGCTGGGAACTTTCGGTAATGTATTGGTTTTCACCGTCATTCGAGAAATGAAAAGGAAAAAGTCAACAACGGATATATTTGTACAAAATCTTTCTATTGCAGACCTTGGAATCTTCTTGCTGTCAACTCCGCTCATGGCTATCAAAGAAAGATTGCCGTATAACTGGCCTTTTGGGAAGTTTGCTTGCCTTTATCTATATCCCATTCCCGAAATTTTTCACGGGGCATCGGTTTGGTGTATTGCTGTTATTGCCTTCGACCGATATCGACAGATAATAACACCGCGGATTTATAGTCCCAACAAACGCAGGACTTTGCTGAAGAGGGCCAAGTATGTTGTTGCCTGTGTATGGATTGTTTCTTTTCTGGCACCTTCTTTACCACTTTACTTTGTCGTGGAATATCAGAGAACAACCGGGAGATGGTGTGGTCCTCGCTGGCCACAGCGGTTGTTTGCACAAGCGTACATGATTTTGCTGACAGTTTTCTCATATTTGTTACCTCTAGCTGTGATTTCATGGACTTATTTGGCGATCTCGCGTATAATTCAACGAAGTAATGCATTTATCAAAAATATAACACATGGTAATGGAGCATTGGAAGACAGGTGCTGTGTCTCTTCAACAAAAAATGTGCGCCTGCGTCAAAACAGGAGGGCAAAGAAAATTCTCACACCGATGGTTTTGGTGTTTGCAGTTACAATGCTTCCTCTCAACGTCTTCAGACTAACCATTGTGTTTTGGCCTGCAATGGGGAAACAAGATTATTATCAAAACCTGCTGTACGCAATATCGGTGTTTGTTATGCTGAACTCTGCGGCCAATCCTGTTATCTATTCAATTGCAAGTAGGGACTTTCGCAGGGGAATAAAAAATTTATTTCATAAAGAATCGTGAAAAAAAGATTACTGAAATGAAAGTTTATTCAAAGCCGATTCTGATTTTTTAGATAACGACAGCTGATGAATCTTTTCCTAAAAAAAAAAAATATAAAACCTTCGCATTCATGGCAATCGCCAATTTTTCTATTTTTACGTCTCGGTTGCGTAGTAATTTGCCATCTCTTGAAAAAATTAAAAAAGAAAAGAGGTTTTTCACTAATTTCAATGTCCATAGAATTCTTTCCTTTAACTTTGCTTAAAATCCCAGTCCTTATAAAAAGCTCTCTGGGACATCTGATAATCTAATGAAAGCGCTTTATAAATCATGTATTAACATTAAATAAAAATGAGTGTAAATAGATTTTCCAAGAGACACATCCTAAGACAAAGATAAATTTCGAAATCTCAGTTTAATCTCTGTATATAAATTTACGAAACAGAGGAGAGCAATGCGTCCTTCGGATCAAAATTTTTCTGTAGGAAATAGTAAGAATAACGAAAGGATAGCACAGAAAGATCTTTAGATCGTCTTACATTTGAGGATAACAGGTAACAAAAACTCACACTGACCTAAACTAGTGGTTCAATGTTTATTATGTTTATGTCAGTGTTTGGTAGACCTCTATATTGCATTTGTCAAAAACCAAAGTCTATTAGCCGATTTATATATATTTATATATGTATAAAAAACATCAAACTTCTGGAAGTTTAGGTAAATAAATGGGGAAATTGATGCTTGAAAAGTTTCACGTTAAGCCAATGACAACTCTAATATGGAAGCAGATGCATTAAAGTGGCTAACATAACTTGAATAATACGGTACATTATATTACATTTTAATTAACCTTAAAAGGTAGCGTTAAGTAACAACTTATATTTGGGTTCTTAGGTATCAAAGGCATAACATAAATATACTTACAGAGGAAAAATGAACTTTTTTTGATGAGTTGCTTTGCTGTATATAAATAGAGAGTGATCCGGGGTTCCTTCGGTTTTGCTTTACTTCGCTCTATGATTGGTCAAGAAAACTCGTGCCACCATCTCAACCAATCAAATTCAAACAAAAAATTCAAATTCCAACTTGGTCAGTCGCGTTTTCCCGCGCTTTCAGCAGGCTGCAAAGTTTTTAATTTAAGTTCTCATCGGTCAATGATGATGTTAACCTTTTTTTTTCTGAATGGTAATTGTAATTAACTTTGTTTTTGGTTTTTTCGACACTCAATTGAAAACCCCCCTTTGCCTTGAATTGGTAAGTGAAAATACGTAGTTAGCCTTTAAAGTCCTAAGACCTGATTAGTCTAAATTGCATTTTTCTCCTTTTAAATGTTATACAGGCCTTGTGACTTACTTAGGAGAGTTTGAGGTTAAATCAAAAATTTTGCGAAAAAAAATGTATTTCAGTTTTCGCTGTTGTTGGAACCTAATTAGAGTAAAATGAGCTCAAAATCCCAACTGGAAAGGTTGAAATGTTTTTTTTATGTAAATCAAAAAATTCAGATTGTGGAAACTTAGCTAAGGCGGATGAGGTAATATAGGTAATTTAAAAAAGCAGCAAATCTATTTTTGTCGGCTCGATGTCGTTCATGAGGGCTGTGTAAAAGGACAAGTGAAATACGTGACCCAGTATTCCATGCACCTGGAATAGCAATGGGCTGTTATAGAGTCCCAAACTAGTTGTTGCATTACACTCGAAGTTTTTCCAGTTGCATTGATCTTGTGGAACTTGCAAATGAAGAGAGAGGCATTTAAGCTTTTTTCTTTGTTTGATAAAGTTATCGCTAAGCAGAGTTAACTTCATTAGCGCGTTGCATATTCTAATTAAGACCTTCACGTATCAGACCCAACTTTTCACGAGTCAGGTGTTCGGTCAGCTCCACTTCTATTGCAGAAGAAGAGAATGCACCAGTTCTTGATCGTGATCTTGAAACAACTTCTGATGAAGGCGCGTGACTGACTCTTCCGTTTAACCAATATGTCACCAATTTTCCTTTACCCTACAGATAAGAAGATAATACACCGAGAAAAGAACGGAATTCGAGCAGGTATTAAAGAGGGAACATTGATAATTTCACACGTCAATCAGGAATACTTTTCTCGGATGACGGGTCGCAAATGATATAAGCCATGAAATAAGTTGAATGCAGTTGAAGCATAGCACTAACGACTGGTAAATACATTCTCTCTCTCATAGAGGGGGGGATATTCACCCAAAACGCAGGGAGATGGGGAAGACCATTGCTCAGATTCCTAACTTTTATCTAGCCCAGAAAAATATGATTTTTAATAGCCACAGCGTACTACACGAATCAAAAGTTATCCATCACCTCAGTATTTCAGACCAAATTTACCAGGGAGCCTTTTCAGAGATAAATAGAGACAATAAAAATCTTATTCTATAGAACCTACTTCCTACCTAAGTTTATAATTATAATCCTTGTTTCAGATTCAAGGGTTCTGGTGAGACGCTCACATACAAAGTTGATGTATCATAGACCCTCGTGAGTAATTAGAGGCACCAAATAGAATAACATGTCTTCACTTCATGGAGTAATAAATTTCACAGTTTGATCTCAGTAAAATAATGAATTGAGCCCGCAAACCTTGACTTCAATCGATCCTCGTTCTCTCATGTTATAACCTCCACATGTCTCTAAGAACACCTTGGTGGCTGCGCTGATGTGGATTTTTAAAGCTAATATGTACACAAAATCAAATTACGAAATTAGTACCGAGGAACCAGACTCTGAATCGAAGTGCAATTCGACCGAGTGTCGTGACACTAAAACCTAAGTAATCACGTCAGCTAATCAGAACGAAGAAAATCATCGCAAGGGGTCAAAGTGGTTAAGCTCAAAATAGATACGTGGTGCAACCGGCGTAAAGCGCGGGTAAACACGAGTGACCAATCATTTGCGATCGGTGTTAGTCGTGCATTAGATTGGTTGAGAGAATTTTCTTGACCAATCAGAGCGAGAAGTAAAGACAAGCTAGTGCAATCCACGCAACGCAACGCAACGCTCTTTCGTTACATGTGCAAAGAACATTTCATTTTAATTTCAACTCTGGAAAAGAAAGTCAATTTTGCAGATCCCGTGAAGGAAGTTTATATTAGAAGTTTGAAGACATTGCTCTGTGATATTTTTGACACGTTCTCATTGCCCGTCCATTTGAAAATGTATTGATATCTCGTGAGAAAACATAGATTGATCACGCACCTTCTCCACTTGATTCCATTCTGGAGGCAGTGTTTACTGTATCGCCAAACAGACAATAACGAGGCATTTTCAAGCCAACAACGCCTGCACAAACAGGACCTAAAATACGAAATTATTGAAATGTGATATCTCCTGTTATCTTTCAACTAAATAAAACTCGTAAAACAGGCGAAGGGGACGCTTAAAAGGAGTTGGTGCGCGGCTGCTCAGCTACTGAGATTGATCCCGGCAAATTATTTGATAGGTATATGACGCTGCAGATGCGAGGCCCGTAATCGTAGTCATTATTTCTCTCAGTCACTGGGTTCAAACTATCCTTTGTCTCGAAATTGAGTGTTAAAACATACTAAAGACTGAACGAAGATTTCACTTTTACTCGTCTTGCCTAAGACGTGCGTCCGTCCTTTGACGCCGATCCACGTGATTTCAAATTATTTCCCAAAACCCAACAGTCGAGATGTAAAAAAATATTTTTAACCCCGCCTTGTTGGTCAACTGTGTACTTGTAAAGCAAGGTATTAAATATTTGTGGAATAACCTAATAACCAGGGCTAACTCTTTTTCCCCCAAGAGAGACTCCAAGAACCAATTATTTGACCTGGAAACATACGCTCAGCCCATATTACATATTCATTTAGGGACCACTCATAATTTATCACCGGTGGGGGTGGGAGTCGAAGAATTTTGGTTGTGTCACAAACAAATTTACCTGATCCTCCCATAAAGCTCTGTAATGTCCTTATGACCCCCCCTCCCCCCCCCCCCCTCATTGGCAGTTAATTGGCAGTCAGTTGTCTATAGTCGCCCCCACCCCTTCATACTCTGTTGGTGGCTGTTTACTCTTCCGTTCCCCCTGAAAAACCATGTGATCTTCCCAAAATCTTTTACTTCCTCTTTTTAATTCCATACCACTGTGGATGCCAATTCTCAGCTTAAGTTTCTCTTCTGGACGGTGCTTTATTTCAAAAGTTTGCACAGACTGTAGGAGATGAAGCGCCATGTCAGCTATCTCCAGGGCGTGTTGATGGCCGTTTCTTATTGGCAGACCAGAGACAACCATATAAGCGTCACCAATAGTCTCCACCTGAAGAAAAAGCAGATCATAAATTAACGGTGGGTTGAAAATTTGACCTGTATGTATGTATTTATTGTATATAACTGCGATATTTGGACGAAGCCTGTATAAACAACTATAAGGCCAGACCACAACACTGGGAGATACATTCCCAGCCTACGTGTAGTCGTACCCTCCCCCCCCCCCAAAGTGAAACAGAAGCCTCGGGGGAATGGGAATGGCTTACGTAGTCTACTACATTCCCTACATTTTGCTAAAAGTAGATTAAGAATTGTTGGCAAACGTCTTTTGGCTTATTACTCTGTGTTAATTACACTTGTACCATGTTTAAATTTCTAAGAGGTGTAGCTTAATTTTGAAAAATTAGTCAAAGGACGCTTAAGCCACTCCAGTGGCATTTGTCAGTCGTGGAAAATGCGATAGTTGTGTAATTATTGGAAATAAATTGTGGAAAACAAACTTAAGAGAAAAACCATTTTTCACTCTTTGAAGGCCAAGATGTTGCTCACTTTAGTTGAAGTTCAGATAAACTTATAAATGTTCCATTTAATTTTGTACCTTATAGACATCATATCCATGGATTATCGCATCAAATGTAGTATACAAGTCATTTAGCAAGGTCACAATCTATCAGCAAAAAAAAAGAAAAAAAAAATGACAAGAGGGAAATCAGCTGGCGGCTTCAGTAGTCGAATATGCATAGTGCTTCGTGTAAGTGTCAGTCACAAGTATGAATACCACGTTGACTCCAAATTCTAATTCTACCTGGAACCAGTGGACAAGAGGAACCACCTCGTGGAATGTCCACCTCTAAATTCTCATTCCTGTTTCCATTCTCAAAAACTCAAAGATTAGAATAATGTTATTTGGGCAAAAATGTTCAAAACTAAAGCTGATTCATCGCCACACAATAAATCTAGATCGTATCCTAAAATGAGTTGCGTACGAGATAGAAACCCTGGATCAATTTCAGCATCTGTGCAACTTCACACTTACCCCTCCCCTGACCCGAGAACAGTCGACTGATATCAAGTTTGGGTTGCTTCTGGGTGAAGGGAGGGGTAGGTGTGTAGTTTCTCAGATAATGAGATTGATTCGGAATCCTCATTTGAAAATCCTCAGAGCGTGATATATATTTGATAGGAGGCAGAGTGAGGGTTTTGTCTCAAGCGATATGCGAAAAAATGTTTGTTAAGTATCAATGAGGTTTCTCCAGTTAAAAAGTTATAAGGAGTAAAACTATGAGGAGGATTTCCAAAGGTTAACAGGGCTATTGTGGAGTTAACCTGCAATGGAGTACTCTCTGAGGACAGAGCAGTAAATCCTACGATGTCGCTAAAGAATAATGTTACTTCGTCAAAACTTTCAGCCTCCACTGGTCTTCCTCTTTTCAACTGATCAGCTACACTCCTTTTGAAAAATTCAAATGATAGCAAACATCATTAAATTTCAATGATATCTATAATTTGGGTGGTGCATCTGAGTCGGGTGAAAAAGAACCAATCGAGTCGTCGCAAATTCCTCTCAACACCCAGTTAAAGTGGTTGTTAAACTAACACTTTCCCTACGGGGACCCGTCCAAAAACTTGCCGTTCTTGCCATCTACTTTTACCTTTTCCCCAAATGTTACTTACGAAGGGTGACAAATAGCAAATATACCTTCCTACTATCGATACATTTACAAAATTTAATCTGTACACACTCCCTAATTTTTTGCTAAATTGAGAACTTAACATCTCCCTAAATATTTGCGCGCCAGCCACATGAGAGAAGAGTTCAAAGAATGGTCTAAATATAGATAGAAAAGATGATATTTACTTTGGGAGCATGCTGTGAAGCAGTTCATCTGTCCTCTTCTTTTCTTCAATCCACTGTTCAGTTCGTTTTTCAACGAGTTTTTCCAGATTGAGTGAATGTTCTTCCAGCATGTAAATTATCTTATCGACGAGGTTGTTCCTGAACGCAAACAAAATTCACGATCATCTAAATGGATCTAAACCTCAAAACGGTGAGACAAGTTTGTTATGGATTAATCAATCATGACACTGTAAAATGCAAATAAAGAAATGACTGTTTGTGGACTGCAATTTATGTAATTGCAGAAAAGGCGCTGGGAAAAAAATTCGAACCCAGGCCTCCCTGATATTACTTGAGTACTACTACTCGTACAACTGTGGTGCCACACGTTGGAAGCGAGGCAAACTTTTAAAAGGTTCATCTTTTTCCGTAAAGGAATCTGACTACAATTCTTTAACTGGATGCATAATGTGGTTTTGCATGTCACGTTATATCTATCGTTAGCTGTAAACAGTTGTTAAAAAGAAGAAAAACATTGGACCTTACTTTCTTCCGTGGAGTTTCTTTAATAGCTTTCTTATCTCCCAAAATTCAGGTCTTTCATCCGGATTCTCATTCCAGCACATTTTCATCAAGAGGTGAAGATCTTCTCTTGCCACATTGGCCGTGAGTGGAGGGCGAAAAGGAGGATTGGTACGGGTCGACACGCGACCGACAATTTCTGTCACGAACACAGTGGTACATACGATGTCTCAATATAATTCTGTTTGTTCTATTCTACCTAAACTAACCTAACACGTACAAGGGTACGTTTTTAGACAAATTTTGGTGCTGCGGCGGTAGGGGATATTGCTCATTCACTGTAATCTTTATTGAAAATTTACGGAAATCTGCCATGTGGTATTCCAGACGATTCCCTTTACTTACCCTTTGCCTCAAGGTGGCAGTCATGATATGGTAGATGCCTAGTCTCCAGTTCATGTACTATGATTCCAAAGCTATAAACGTCTCCTTTTGGTGTACCCCTGCATGGGTTTTGTTTCTGACGTAAAAGTTCAGGAGCAGTCCACAACAGCTCTGTGAAATAATGAGTCAATTTCTTTTAGCCACTTCTCGTTGCTATGGGCAACCTACATTCTCAATGGGCACATTCCCGTAAAGGGAAATCAAAGAAGGACTGGGGGCTATACCTGTAGTAGATCTAGTCATTTTAATACTCCTTACCAGGATTGACAAGGAATCACGATATATCTTTTTTTACTCTGTGATTACGAAAACGAATAAATAAATTAAAAAAAAAAACCAAAAAAACAAAAAAAACAAAAAAAAAAAAAAAAACATGATCGTAGGTCGTAGATACCCAGGGTAAACGCAGCATTACATTGCTTTGCCTGGGGAGATACCCCTATGATAAAGATAACGAAATATTTGAAACAGTTAGGGCTCGCGACTATAGAATTCACCCAATGGGTTTTGTATTTATTTTGTTTTTACATTTTTGAGTAGGCATTAATCCCTGTAATATTACACACTGACCGTTAAAAGTCATGTGTAAAAGAAACAGTATTTCAAACCTATCAGTTTTATTTGTAATTTTACATCATTCTTGAGGAGTGTTATCTTCTCTTATTATTCTTGACAAAAGAAGAAAAGTAAAAAATGTCTGTACTCGCTGTATGTACTTATACTAAAATATCTGGCCTTTACAGGTTCAGCTTTAATGTTTGACATTGCTTTCTTTGTAGTCAAATCTTTTCAAAGTGATACCACACACGAAAATCAACGAAGTAAGTAGATGTGTTGTCAAACCGTACTAGAGTAGTCTTGGACATAACCGCAACTTCTCACGCTGAGGCGTTTGTTGTGCGCCTTGAACTCCCTGAGCCCGTGGTCTGTGATCTTTAAAATCCAGCGACTATCTACCACGCAGTTAGATGAGGTGAGGCGTCCATGAAACTTGACGTCAACACTGTGAAGATAGTCCATGCCCTGGGGAACAGTAATGGTATAATAATAACTATAACAATAATAAAAATGATAATTGTACTAATCATAATACAGTCAGCAACGTAGTGAACCAATCAGCCAATAATTGCAACGATACAAAAACAAACATATTTAAAAACACTAATAAGAGGCATAATTTGAGGGGAAGGCTCACAAGACTCTTTTTTAACATTGATTCTGCTTCCTCTCCTCTAAAATGACCATAGATAAAAGCTAAGAGAATGAACAAAGAACGTAGTTCCAGGTGTAGACGATGCTCAGCTGTTTTGTCTTCGTCGCATGTGAGACAGCACACATGGAATGTATGTTCTAGCTTTAGAGCAGACCCTCACTTTTAGTGCTGCAAGACGCGCGTTTCTCCCCCCGCGGGAAGATTTGAGGCGAGTCAGGGAAAGGCTCACCGGTCTGGCAGTAAAATTTATTGGTATTAGACCCCTTGCAAACCTTTCGCGGGCTCCCCCGGCTCTGGGTCTCAGGCCGCCACGAGACTTTCTTTCGTGTGCAGGTCTCGTGCTGAAGCACTAATACTGAGGGACTGTGCGTAAGCCAGGTTGGCTCTGGGTCTTGTACGGTTTAAAACATCATTAGTACCCCCGAATATAACACCATACACACAGTTAAATAAGAATCAAGTAGCTTCTCAGTCCTTAGAGAAAATATAGCTTTTAGTTTGAAACTGAAATTGTTTATCTTACCGTTGCAATTTCCAGGATAAAACTATGAATAAATATGCTGTCTAACTTTATGTCCTCGTTCAAATTGACCTCCTATGATAAAACAGCAATGAAATATTTCAATAAATTTTCAACTACACAACGTATAGTAACCGTGGCGAGCTTGTATGTGGTTTGTGATGTCATGCAACGCATGCGCAATTTCTAAAAATTGTGTACCAAAGGACGGCTTCGAAAAGGAACTATCAAATTGGCGGCGACGAAAGCAATTGAATTGATTATTTGTTACCTGTAAAGTTCCTCTTGAGCAGTATTCTGTGAGAATACAGATGTTGGGAGCATCCACGCATGCGCCAAAAAACCTGGTCAAATTCGGGTGATGTACCTCACGAATCTGTCGTGAGATTATGAATAATTATAATTTTTAAGTGGTAAGTTTTTTCACCAACTTAACCTTTAATTAAAATGTTAGATTATGCAGCCAGCACATTTTCATCCGCGCTCGATGAAAACGAAACGGCCTGGCCGTAAATACGCAGAGCGGAGGTGCCACTGTTCCTTAACTTTCTACTTGCCATTCCGTTTGCGGCGTTGCTACTCTAATCTCATATAGTACATTATAACCAGCTTTGTAGACTGCCGAAAATCATCATGGGAGATTGTATCGATTAGGTGTACTGACCTGTTTTAGTTCAAGGAGCACAGTTCTTGTTAAGTCAACATGATTTTTCTCAATGCGTTTTACGACCACTGGATGTCCCTGCGAGGGAAGTGTTGAGACGGCCATTTTACTTTCAAATACAACATTTACAACAAGTAGACTGGTTTTGTTGTTATTTTCACCCCCCAAAAAATAGATAATAATCTCTCCACAAATTAACTCTTTAACTTCCATGAGTGACCAGGATAGAATTTCTCCTTACAACATCAATACACTATCAAGCAGACAAGAGATGAGAATAGATAAAATATCAAATAGGGGTTTACAAGTCGATCTAATACCAAATTCTCCGACTGTTTGACTCCATAAGAATTGTACAGCGAAAGGTAAGGCGAATTACTAGTGAGATCTTGGGAGCAAAAGGGTAAATGATTAACGCTTGCTTGACCACAAATATTTCGTGATGCTGCATCTCCTCCTTGATCTAACTTATTCCAAACGTTCAGTTGCCGAGGAGTGAAAAAATGCTTGGGTCGAGCGATTCACTATTTCGCTCGGATTTCGTACCGTTTTACCAGCTGAAAGCCTGGGATAGGCCACCTAACGACAGCCTGTATGCAGCCGCCCCTTACCCTTCGAAAAGATAAACTAGATGGGGTGACGCTCCTTTAATTAAAAATTAGTAAAGTAAATTCTAGTATGGCGGTCAGATGCCTAATTTTTTTTTGTAAACACCTTATATATCCCCAGTGTGATGCCGCACCGAGGTCTGTTTGCCGTTGATATCTGAAAGAAAATAGATGTAAGTGTGTAGCATATACAGTTTGTTTCGTAGTTAGTGATCAATAGATCCCTGGTTATTTAAATTGAGAGTGATAAAGGGGAAGGGAGGGAGGGTTGGGGGATGAAGAAATCTTGAGGTGAACAAATGGTTTTCAGAGGGAACGAAGTGGGGATTAGTCGTCACCTACAGAGTATATGGGTGGGGGGGGGAGTACTATGGAAAATTGACTGCTATTTAACTGTCAACCAGGGGGGGGATTATAAGAATATTCCAAAGCCTCAGGGAGGGATCAGTTAAATTATGTCGTAACACAACAAAACTCTTCCTGAGGAAAATCAATATGGCATTAAGATGATAGTCAAAGTAACCTTGGAATATCAACTCCAGAGGAAGGAGGGAGAATCACACAAAGGAAACATTAGGAGGAAAACGTTCGAGGAAGGATGATCGAGGAAAGGAGGTAACAGGAAACGAAAATGAAGAAACGAGATGATAAAGTTAATCCGAAGAGCAGAGAAGAGATTAAGAGAAATGGAAAAATAGGATGGACGCCAATGGGCGAAGAGGCGAAAAATGGGAAAGTTTAATTTTTAGTTTTTACTACTGACATAACCTGAACAAGAACTTTAACAGTTTCACACCTCGCTAATGGTTGATATCCTTGAGACACTGATACCCATAGCAGGACAAATCACGATGTCTTCGTATTTCACCTTCCATATTTGACTGGCCAGCTCTTTTTCAAAGGCGTGTTTCCTACTAGGATGAATTTAAAGAGTGAATATTAGACGTACAAATATCACAACCAGAGCATAAGTGGAAGTATAAAAGTGGAAATAAATGAGAAAACTCTTGGGAGAAAGCTGGGATCAATGTCTATAGTTATCCGCGGTGTTATTGGATAATATCCTCGTTCGTTACGCATCGTTAAGACGAATGTCTGTTTAAAAGCTGTTTAGCGCGGCTCATAAAAAGTGGCACAAGAGACGTTTGACATCTGACCCTTAAGAGTGACTAACATCTTATTTCTCCTCACAATATCACCCTTGAATCACACATTAAGGTCATGAGAATTAAAGAGATGATCACCAAGTAAAGAAGCTTTTGATTGTTAAACAAATTCTCTTTGTCAGCACCCTAAGAAATGTATAGAGAATATGCACACTGATGTTAGGGTGCTAAAAAGATACTATTATAAAGACTGACAAGACTTAAGCCGGGAGAGACGTTAAACGTGTTCTTAACTCCTAACAACTTTGTCGGCTGAGTTTTTTTTTTACCTGATATAGAAGAGTAACAGCACCGTACCAGCTACGATAAGAGACGAAACTACAGCAGCAGCTATGACACCTGCTTTGTAGATAATTGGCTTTGAAGGACCTTTCAGAGGGCAAAAAGTGGAAAAGCTTAGCCAGATGAAATAAATAAAAAAAGCTGCAAAAGTTACTGGATGAAACAAAAAAAAAATTCTAACATTTAAAAAGGAAAAAAACAGGTCAAACGAGTCAGACGAGTCAAACGGATCAAAAAAGTCAAACAAGGCACTTACTTGGTGAAGGTGTTGGACAGAGCTCACCAGTGAATCCGCATGGAGGCCTGTCTACTGGAGGGGAAGTTCGCTGACCATACTCGGACCAGCTGATATTAATCCCGGAAAATAGCTCAAGGACTTGGTTTCCGCTCGTTTCGTTCAGCTTAAACTCGCCAACAGTCTTCATTTCTGCCGTCAAAAATACAAATAGAAACCAACAAAATATGGTGTTATTACTGCAAATTTACAACTTTTGAACAAGGTTCTTTAAAATGTGATAGATCGTCAGCGGAGAAAGTTATTCAATACACCTAAAGCTGACAATTTTGCTAAAATAGACTTCTGCTAGGGGAAAACATAAACCGCAATCATAGCTTAAGTCGTTTATCAACCTTTCCGTGATTAAAACCATCCAGAGTGACCTTGTTTCATGCAATTTCGACCAACAAATGAATTTTCAAGTAATGGAAAATAAGGGCTACAAGGTGATAGAGTATGTCCGTTTGGATTTTGACCAGTCAGAGAGCCGAATTTCACAAACCTGACCAAACTGAAATGGACTCGTCAGTGCGTTACCGCTCATGGTTTTTCAAAATGGGTGAAGAGAATGTGCTCTGTGATTTTTCCATTGTGGGCACAAATAGGCCACAATCAGTAAAGAATATGGTTTCGAGAAAAACGAATTTAATATATAACTCTATTAATTACTTTTAATTTTTCTTACCATGTCCACCACCAGCATTCTTGAAATATTCAAGAAGCGTCATGTTAAATTCAACGTCTCCATTCTCATCCACATGTAATTGAAATCCTGTGATACCTGGCAAAATAACGAGGAGTAAAAAACTTATTTTTCCTCTAATCACAGAGACCAATGGAAGTCATGAAAAAAGCTGATGTCGATTATAGGGCCTTAGCCGGTCTGCAATCGCGCTTAAAATAAAGTTTAGACACAAAGAGCAAAATCTTACTTTCAAAATTTGTCCTTTTGATATTCTTAAACACGGCAACTCCGTCCTTTGGGCTCTGTCCGTTGGAAATCGTCTTATTCAGTGCCAACGCGTACAAATACACGGCGTCATACAAATACGCCGCATAATGAACCACCTTTGATTGAAAAAGAAATTAATCAAAAGAGTAATTGACGCACAGAAAGAGCTCTCTTGAAATGAACAAAATTGATTCAGCTCAACTTGGCAGTCAAATACCTACAGTAACTGGCTAAAGTCTCGCACGCTCTTGTCATTTCTGAATGTTTTTTCTTCTTCATTTTAATGCCACTGGGTTACATTGTTTGGGGGGAATGTGGGGTCTTTCAAGAAGCTTATTACATACGAATTACACGATTTCCGTTTGTTATGCTGAGTGAAGGGTGGTCGACCTTCTACCGAGAGGAAGGGGTGCCAACTAATTTTGCCGTTCTCTGTAGTATCTAATCAATATCATAGTTTTATGATTGTTGTAAGGGCAATCCTTGTACATCTCAGATGGGTTTCAAAACCCTTTTTTTCTAGCACCAAAGCCATACTGTAAAATCAAAACTTGAACCTCAGGGGTCTTTTTGGCCTGATTTTCTAAAACTCTGTTTACATTTCTGGATCATCACAAATTCCCATACATTCGAAACTTTGGTGTCCTTTCCTTTACAAATCTCTAGGTAACGTTTTGAGTTACTAACATGGCATTTAACAGTGTAATTTCTTACGGTTTTATTTTCCCCCTTCTTCAAGCATTTGAAAAGAAAACACGAGTCTTGATGAGCTTTTGTCTCTTAGATAACTCTGTTATGAGAAAAGACGAGATCTTGCAACGAGCAACGTGTGAATTTTGTGACACCTTTTCAAACTCACTTGGTCCTGCGTTTCGTCGTTCGCCTTTTTTAACACACGCTGCTGGAACTTTTTGTACTTGGTAGCGTTGAAAGGTCTGGGAACTAGTGTAAGTACTGAGTGCCAGGCTCTCTCGGCTTCGACCTTGTTGATCTTTCCACTGATTCCTGTCAACCAATACTCCGCGTCCTGATGCTGTTGGCCAATCACAGAGTTAGCTGTGCTGATGATGTACACGTAATCACCATTTGTCATCCCTTTACTTCGAGCGCGGACCATGAATGGTGGTGCATATTCAGGATTTGCAGCGATTATCACAACTGGAAGAAATTTTAAACCTCAATAAAGTAAAACTGTTGGCAATACATTTTCTAAAAGGGAAAGTGAAATGTTGCCGAGCCCTCGACATGCCTTTATAGTTTGGAATGGTGTCTGTTTGTTGTTGAGTTTCGTTTTCGCGCGCAGAACATTTTATAAATGAGGCAGTCAAACTTTTCGTCACGATCAGGACTGAGAATTGCTCATCAAGGTCAATGGTCTCGACATAGTGTTTCAACAAAGAAATAAATGAAAAACCATTTCGAGGTCTCTCTTCCCTCTGTTTACATCCTGACTTGTACAAGCTCGCGAAAAGGGCTTTTCAAAGACAAATTTATGACCTGCTTCTGACTGTGCTTGGGGAAAACGATTATGACGTTGGCCCCCATTCTCTAATCTTGAAATTAAAAACTAGTTCTTATCATACCTTATAGCTGTAGTTATTACTTCGCCAACAACAACACTGATTTATCATTAACTCCCCTCTCCACCTCTCATTTCAACGCTATTTCTAGTTATCATTGGATCTGCTTGCTGTACTTGCTAACAGATCAGAGGAACAGAAAAAGCATTGCGTGACAACAGAACGCAACTACTGTGATGGAGATCAACATGTTAGACGATTTTAGCTGAAATAAAAGTACGAGGTATACTTACTCCGAGCCTTTACTTTGATCTCCTCCAAGATTAGGTCAAACCTTTCCTGCTGGTGCTCTTGTGGCATTTGAGCCTCGTAAGTGACCTCGATGCCATTTTCTTCAAAATATATTTTCATGTCTTCTTTCGTCTTCTCCCATCGCTGCTGACTAAAGCAACTACCATCACAATATATGATGGCTACACGTGTCCAAGAAAATTTCCTCAACACAGCCAATACACTCTTGCTTAGCTGCGAGTTGGGAGGCCTTGTTCGAGCGAAGGTTGGGTAAAGAGATTTATCGGAGACAACGTCTTCATTACAGAACTAAAATGGAAAATCAGTCATCAGCAGTCAGCGGAAGAATTAGTCATTTATCTGTAAAATATCATTTTCGAAATACGAGTTGCAATAACCTTATCCTAAGCGCTAAATATTGACTTGCAATCAAGTTGTTGATGATAGCATATCAGTCATGCAACAAAGCACTTCAGTGAGTTTCGATAATGCTTTTATTTCATTAAAGTTATCGGTTTCTAGAGGTTTAGAGCACGATACTCGAAGCCTAAGGGGTTTATCTGCTCAAGTTTATCAGTTTTCGTTTATCTGATTTCTGAAATCGATTAAATGCGCTCAATATTGGGGTAAATTTTAAACCTGGAAAGAATCATTATGTAGCATTCCATCTTAGGGGAAGCAGAGACAATGCTGGTTGGCCCAATTATTTTACTTAAAGTTGTATCAGGGACTAGCTTACAATTTGAAATCTTGCTGCGAAGGCCGAGGTGTGCTGACGCTCGAAACGTTAGCTTTAGTCCTCTTTATGGTGGCCAATTTACATCGTCAACTCAGCTGATAAAACCAAGTATATCTAGTAATACTTACCCATCGACGCAGCACCTCAGTTTCTTTCCAAACTTACCTCCTTTATTTAAAAGTTGTTATGCGGAGAAAGTATTCGGAGAAAGTATTCAGATTACTCAATTCGGTATCAAAATACTATATTCATCAGTCATTATTCAGCCAAGAAAAACACTATCGTCATGGAAATCACAACAGTACCGTCAAATAAAGCTGAGGTTGTCATAGTTGCTCCTGATAAGCTCATGTTAATACTCCATAAAATTTTAACTCCACTGCCGAAAACTTCAAATAGACTTATCCTATTATTTGTTTAAACTAACAACATGACATGTTGTGCGATTACCTTCACCTTGACCTGTTCATGCAATACATTTAATTAGAAGGGGAATGAACTTAAAAGGCGGCATGAAATGAAATATCGTGAAAATAAGATCTCGTGCAAAAAAAAGCCTTTTTCTAGCCAAAAAAAAAAAAAAAAAAAAAATCGAAGGCTGTCAACGAGTAAAATTACTCAACACCTGTGTAAAAATTAAGGTTATGCAATGTTTGGAAAGCTTTACAACGTAGATTAGGATAAATTTTCGGCTCAGTAAATAGTGAATTGACAGAAAGAGAAGTATTGCAGGTGGCATTATACACTGGCTCGCTGCGGCAGAATGAGAAATTAATCCCCTTTGTCTGACTTCTGGCATAAGTTTGAGCTGTTACGATCAGCTTACTAGGGCTAATTTAAATGCAGTGTATAAAAGAATTTCTGAGATCCGATCGCATTACTCTATAGTGAGCAAATCTTGTTGGATGAGCAACACGTCTTTTCTGACAAAACATCGCTTTGCGTCTTTCGCGGTCTGTTTGGCTTATTGGTTGATTCCGGCTGAGAGCTGACGGTGTATCTTAAAGGTAAGTAATTGCCTATCTTCGCAAATGTCTTATTATATTTTGAAGTGAAAGGTTATTCAAGACAGCGGCAGTTTGTGGGACCCGTATTTGTATAAAAGGAACACAACACATTATACTGTGACATTACTCTTGCTGCAAATACATAGAGGACGTTTCACTAAACGCAGGGGAAATCCGACCCTACCTAAAACCGATGTGAACGAAGAGTAGTTGTGTTCTTTCCGCCACTGAAGAAAAGGTAGCTAATTTGAATTATTAGGGTTTGCCCATAATTTAGATACTTAACCAAAGTTTTAAAGAGGATCCTCCCCGTCAGTACATCTTGAATAATTTAACTTAAATTAATTAATTTCATCGAAATACGCATTATCTCCTTTATTTATCGTCGTAGTTTCTTGTATATCACAATCTTTTTGTATTTCTTTCCCAAGCCATTGGGACATGTCTCTTTGCTTCTGTGATTTGATGAAAAATTTGAATAGCTTTAAAAACGCAGCGAAATAACTTATTTTAGCCCCTTAAAGACTTGTATGGACGCCTTGGAAATTATTGCACCCTCTCAGACTTGATATAGCATGAAACTTACGTATGAGATTATGGGAAGATTCCAGGCTGCAGCGACACGGGCTGAAGTTGCACAGTAGGTCTCGTTTCCCGGCCCGATAAAAACTTGAACTCCGCGATTCCTGTGCTCGGTCATGGCCTGGATACCAACCAGCTCATTGCATCGCGTATCATTCAGATGATACGATAACTTAAAGTTGAAGGTGCTGCTGTTGTTTATGGTCTCGATGGCCACATGGAAAGCGGAATCGAATTGGTTATCGGTGGTAATCAGCTGCTCACAGGACGAGAGAGGGTAAAGTAGTACCACCGTGACAGTTTCCTTGTTGAGTTGACTGTTCGACTGAATTGCAGTCATGGGCAGAAGAACCATGAGAGAGAAAAAGTTACTGATCTGCCAAGTTGCCATACTAGTTTGCTTTGTAGTGATCACCTCCGCTTAGTAAATGTCTCCTTTCTTTTCTGAGTTCTCTTGAGTAAATACTGATAAAAGAAACTTCATAGCACTTCTACATTAGTCTGACAAGTGATCCTCGTCATCATGAAGGAAACAATTCAGCCATCAAGCGCAATGTTTACCATCGAAACGCGATATTTCAACGTGCAGCTCCATTAGACGTTCAAATTAGGGGTGATCCGTGAAGCTTTCATTACCCACAAGTGAACCGACAACTTTGTCAAACTGTCGAACTTCATCTTAACGCCATTGGTCAAGAGATCCACTCTTGACATTTTCATTGAATGGTAATTCATAATTGCTCTGAATACTCAGTTGCTTGTTTGGACTTCAAGAAATATTTACATTTGTTTACTCTTTTATACAGAAGTCAATGTACCTCTTAAGGGAACGAATATCCCATGATTGATAACCAGCAGGAATCATTTGGTACTCGATAAACGACGAAAAAAAAAAGTTCCAGCACCCAATCAACTTGAGACTTGAAAATCCAAAGCTAACAGTTCAGTTCTTTACGGAAGTCGAGTAAATGCAAATTTCGATGAGTTTATTTAAGTGATAGTCATTCCGTAATTCAAAAGTATCTTATATCACTATTTCGTATAACCTTCGATTCCAAAAATGTTAATGAAGGTCCGAGATGTTAAAAGTTTTCAGTACCACACCCTGCCTTTAGCCTAAAAATCTTATTAATTTTTTTTGTTACAGTGGACTGCAAATAGGATTATAGAATCCGGTAATATGTGTAAGCAACTGGCTCAGCCGATAAGTTTATTTATTTTCTTTAGTATTCTGTTAGGTATTATTGCCTTGATGATTTTGGATGATGGTCAGTTCAAGCAGCTTACGCCGGGAATCACATATGAAATTCTCTGAAAGAGAACGCGTTAAGGAAATTCGTGTGCCTGACAGAGGAAAATATCTCATCAAACTGAATATATTTTGTAAACCGCGATTATTGCCCTTGACAATTGTTTTATGAGGCTTCAGGGTCAGTATTGTGTCATGCTTGTTGAATCTTGAAAAACTTCATCAGATTTTCTCGTCATTTGCTATCCGTTTTATGCTCGGCATCTATAGGTAGCCCCGGTTACTAATCCGCGGTTTACCTTTGCTTCTCTCTTGTTTGTTTTCTTAAACAAATCGTTATGTTAGGCTTCAACTCTCTATTTAATTAGAAGCATATGCTCCTGGTTTGACGGCTGTTGTAACGTTAAATTAATCCAAAATCGTGAAGTCGGTACTTGCCATCAAAATGGCAGCCATTACAAAGCTACATGTCGCTTCCGTAGTCATTGCTTCGACGATTCTCGAGATGTTCTCTCGAGCCGTGCCATTCAAATGTCATTTAGCTATTGATTCAGTTTTTGCAAGGCTTTAATGCAAACAAAAAGCTTCTAGCTTCTTTGGTCAAGCTGCATGACTCCTAGAAACGGGAATGAAGTAGTCTTTTATTTCAGCAAACGCGGATAGGATGCAAGAAGCTATTCGGATCCCTTAACACGCTGTGAACGTTAAGTCGACTATTCACATCCTCTCGTTATACATCATTAGTCGAAGTGCGTATTTTAATATTTTGTCTTTAATCAGTCGCGTCATATCTAAATATTGTTTTTTTTTAAACCAATTCTAATTTCGAAATCAAGTAACCCATTCGCCATTTCAGTGTAAATAACAGTAATTACATTTAAATATTTGTAAAACAAACCTATCGAAGTTTTCATCAACACTGCAAACTCAAAATATCTCTTCGCGCGCTCATTAGCAACCATTTCAACTATTTTCAAATGAAACTCAGACTCTACTCGTCTAATTCTTTTCCATCAAAGCTGCTGCTTTTTCTCCTTGTTTTGCTTATGTTAATGACGTATACCTAAGTATATTTTTCAAATTCTAGGAAAGCAATCGGTCGGTAAATAAAACATCGGATATCATTCACTTTTATCACCTGTGTGTTTCACACTGAATTGCTTTATAATTGCAAATAGACATATTGTTATCTTCGAGTTTATCTCCTTTAGAAGATTTCAATCTGGAGTTATATTTATTTCAACAATGTATTGAATTTGCTACGCAACCAATATATCAGGATCTCAGGTCTCATGCAATCTAAAAGGTTGATACAAATATATTTTTTCGTGATCGAAGTTTGCGATATCTTTTCAAAAAGGTGAGAAAAAAACTGAAAATAAAACGTTATGTTTTGATACTTCAAATGTCAACATAATTCATATTTATCGGTTTGTATTTTTTTAAAAGCCCCGAGTCAGTAACGTATTATCATACAGCGATTTATCGCAATACCTTCTTATGCCGACTGTGCCGTCGATTCATATTTGCGTTACACAATAACAAGTTGATTTCGTTTTCGCCAAGTTTGTCAGGAATCTGACATTTCATATGACAATCGGAATTCCTAGCAAGAGGTTTAGGATACCAAGGAGTGATTCATCGACTACTGAGGATGCATTTGGTGTGAATAAGCTTTTAACAAAGCCATGAGAAGCTTAAGTTAATGAATGGCACCTGCGGAACGTAGCGAATCGAACTTTCCCTGTAGTTAAGAGGGATCAAATTCGCTTAGGTTTGAACATTAGCAGCTAATATTTTAAGTACGCAGTCGGATCGAGATTGTTAGAAAACGAACAGAAAGCGGTTACGGTTAGCTGTCTTCACAGACCCGCGGCAAGGCATTTTAACTACCTAGGGAACCAACATTGGAAGGAAAAAAGATTCTGGTCAGTTTTGTTTTGATCTTAGTAGTATTATTATATAATAATTCAATGACTTTTAAATTTTCCTTCATTTGGAGAGTAAATACCAAAAAAGCGCTTCTCTAAAGGCAAACTTACGACCATGGCATAAATTATCTCACCGGCTGAGACACATTCCCACCTCTTTTTAAGGTGTAGAGGGCTATAAACTTTGATGGAAGACATATTTGCAAACTGGAAGAAACAAACAAACACTCAAACAAACACAAAAAAGTATAAGACAATGCTCAAATTGCCATAGCAAATTATTTTCATGACGGGTTTTAACATCAACTCATGAAGAGTTTAAACATCAACTCATCAAGCTCGCTTTCAGAAACATTTTAGCCGCTGCTTCCTCTTAAATGTGTCTTGCCAAACCATTCAGGACATGTAGTTCATTTCATTCAGCTTTTGCACTAACGCAGAGGGCGACACAACCTTCTCTCCCACCGGCCTTCGAATCAAGTCGAGCTGATCAATTCATGAAGTTAAAGATCTACCGCCAAAGGATAAAGTACTACTTAAACGATTTTGCTTGGATTAAATTTATCAGTGTAAGCCTAACGAAACTTTTTTTTATCGCTAACACGTCAGTATTTACCATTTTCAGAAAAGACTGACCAATTAGATGAAAAAATCTTTCTCCAAGCTTTCAACTTACCATTAGCTTTTGGAGAACAGCGCCGAAACGATCGCACCATTACCTACATTTCCCATGCAAATTACTCATTTAAGGCTTTTCATTGGAAACATTAAAGTCAAATTGCTTTGACGAAAGCCGCAACGCTTTCCAGCACGCTTAAAACTTTGCTCATAAAGACGAATATCGGGCCTTAGTCTCCAGGTGACGTTTGTGAGACTAGAGAGTCACGTAACTTCTACACTTTCTTTAACGTGTTACTGAAGCCAAGAGGAATCTGTTTCAGGTAGTTTCTTTGATTCTTATTTTTTTCACTGATTTTAGAGTTCGATTATTAATTAATATCTCTTAAAAGGGTTTCAAGGCTGAATTGTACGCGTACCTAGACCATGAATTTGGAGTCAATAATTCAGGTTAAACTTGCAAATGTAAACTGGTCGGTTTTTTCCTAACGTACACACATTTTACAATGTAAACTGTTTTATGTCAAAATGGCAGATGTTAATTTGAGTACATTCTATTTATCAAAAATAGGTCAGCTCACCAAAAATCAAGAATTGTCAGGGTAGTCAAAATGGGAATCGAAAGCAGATTGATTTCATACGTAGATTGACTCAATTTAACCTTTGTCCCTCATTGAATTACCCTTCGATCCACGCTAAAGACGGAGAGCACGATTTTTTTTGCGCAGACGGACCGACTTTGGCTAGTAGATGTGATGTTTTACTTTCTCCCCGGTAAATTGGTTTATGAACGATTTTTGTGTGTATAACAGTGTTATTTGCATAGAATTTATCCCTTCTACTCAAACCTTTGGTAAGGTAAAAAAAAAAAAACAAAAAAAAGCTGCAACGATCAAATCAGAGGAGCTTAGTAACAAAGTAACATTTTGAATCGACCGGATTAACTCTGTCACTCCTAAGATCTCATCGTCAACTTGCGTCAACCAATTCAATTCACTTACAACACTGATGAGGGACCCAATGAGGTGATGGCTTTTGAGGCCGACGATGTAAATTTTGGTCAATTCACGGCCAACGGTAAATATATTTTGTGGTCGCGTTTACAGTTCACCTATTTTTATGACTAGCAGTTAAAATTTGTCAATATTTTACGCATAACGGCTAAATTTTTTGGCTGTTTTTCAGTTAACGTTTAACCTCATTGAGACCCTCCAAAATGTCACTATTGTTGAAATGTTGGTTGATTTTAACTTGCGCAGACCAATTATCAATGATATGGTAATAAACGGCAAACGATTGGCGAATGAAATTCCACCGATTTATTGACGAAAAGAAGCTGAACGAATCCTTCGACAGAAGCTCGTCATGTCAAAAGGAGGACGATCGCAACAAGTGGCATGATTAACCAACCAAATTTGAGGAGTAAGGAAATATGTGTCATCGAGGAGTTTCAAGAAAAATAATTTTTCACCATATTTCGCTGATCCTGCCAGTGTTTAGAATCATATTATGATGAAATTAGAACGTGGTGTAGCTCCTAAGTAATTCCGTTTACCCAGTAGAAAAGCTTTGATTCTCAAGTGCCTGGCGTCCCGCGTGACTGCGATAAGGGAATCACATCAGTCCTTTGAACCCTGAAAGTGATAAACATTAAAGTTCTCCTTACAAAACCAGCCCTGGATCACACATTAAGGTCGCAAGAATAAAGGAACTGATCACATTTGAAAGAAGTTTTTTATTATTAAACAAATTCTCCATGTCTGCACCTTAGAATATCTACAAAAAAAGTTTGGTGAATATCCTCACTGATGTTAAGGTGTTCAGGGTTTGTGAATCATCCCATGCTGAAGACAACCAAGATTTAGCAGCTTTTCTTATGCTTTTGCTATTATTTTATTACTATCTCTTATGTATAAAGTAGCATGTACACAAACTTGGAACACAATGTTTTACTACTTCGCCCAGAATTCCCATATCATTATTATCTGGCCAAAAAAAGCCCTTTGTACAAAATCATTCGTCGAGAAATTAAAAAAGTCAGCTCTTGTCTTATTTCACGCGAGCAACTTTCTTATGAGGTCTGTGATCCATCAGTGTTTCATAAGATCATTACAAGAAGTGATATTTGTTAAAAACAGCTGAACTGAAAAAAACAAAACATCTTCATTATTATTAAAAACAACAGGCTGAATTGAAGAGGTCTCGCCATTGGGTGCCTACAAAACCTTGAGCAATCTTAATGGGAACGAAATGGTTCTTTTTACCGCGCTTGAAAGTTCTAATTTTTTTTCATATCACTTAATGTCTATCCCTTGACTCTGTAACCACTTTATCGCAGTGTTGTATTGTGCTCTGACCTCAAATTGGTCCGGGGCTTAATTTCCGAGGTCTCAATGTTTCATACGGTTTCGCTTTAATTTGTTTTCTCCAATCCGAACGACCGTCGGCAATGCTTTTATCTTGGAGGTATGAATCAGATAGGAAGGGAAACAAAAAGCTTGTTAAATATCCTGAGCTTTATTTTATGTCCGACCTGATATGTATAAAAATTAAACTGGAAGCTTAACTGTGACGTACAAATTGAATACAAGTAAAACTTTTGATTCGCCAAAATTTTTTAAAATTATCAGTAAAACATTTTAAACTATATGATAATATTTTCTTTAATTTAGGAGTAGGTCATGGATTACGGAAGTAGATGGTTAAATTATTGCAAACAGAGAAAAAATAAATGGGAAGATAAAAGAAAAAACCTTCGCTTTACACATATTTTTCAAAGTAAGAGTACAGTAGAAATGTAAAATCCTTTTTTCTTACTTTGCATTGTGCTGGTAAAACTTTCTTCTGAAATTACCAATCTCCTTCATCGCAGCATGAGTTTATTTCTGAAGGAAATTGAGATGTGCAAGGTATGGCAAGGAAATTAGTCAGTGACAATTATAATCAGTTCAAGTTGAGACGGCCAATTTTTGAATTTTTGACAGAAATATATTTTTTGTAAAAACTAGACCTCTCTTAAGTGAGAAAGTCGATGGAAATTCAAGGAAAAATACATTTCTTTGCTCATCTTCGAGGCCTAAATATCCTTACAAGCACAAAAAAGGTCATGACAGATTTCTTTCTTCTGATCTAACAGTGTTGTCCGCCTATATGGCGCTTAATTCATTTCTAAAAATTATAATTAGTGACTATAAACGTAGATCATCCGTAACAACACATCGACCTTTATTGTTTACATTCTATAAAGTTCTTCAAATTACTCATACCACGATCTGTGTCAGCAGAGGATCGCACTTTCTCCATCAATAATTTATCAAAGTTAAGAGTCTATTCATCGATTTAGCCTTACTCTTAAGGCTAAATGAACCGCAAATTAAACATCATAACGTAGGCTATGTTTGACGTCAAATCCGGCACAGCGCGGGGTATACGTATAAATTTTTAAGCTGCTGCGAAATTGCAACTACATATATCTCTTCGTAATTTACCAGACTTTGTGCACTCTCTGGGGGAATCATGATGTCTCAGCACGTATCTACACCTTGAAGTGATTTGATATCACGCTCCGAAGGTCTTCAAGTGAGTTTTATTTTTATCGTAAGTTAAGTTTTCTCTGTACGCAAGCAGTGTTATTCATTACTTAGGACGATGGAACCACTTGACCGTTTTTGCCAGAGGTTTCACCAGTAGTCATCACCAGTGAGTTGATTATATCCAGATTCGCTTTAATCAAAGATTATTCTCTTTAACGCCGGCTGAAAAAAAGCCTTAAATTTGGGTGATACAGATCCTTTTATATCGACCACGAGAATAACAGATTGTAGAATAGATGAATCGTCCATCTTGATTTACCTCCGCCTGTAAATTGTGGTAGTTATTTGGTTCGAGTTTCAACGATGTTCTGAATGTTCGCGCACTGACAATGCTTCCGACAAAGTTTTTTCTCCGTGCATTCATCGCTTTCTTGTCTATACTTAAAAAAAAAAACGCACAAACAAGTCATGTTGAGTTAATAGACAGCATGGAAATCGAGCATTGAACTCAGAGGGGAGTGAGCTGATTCATTCCCACTCTTCTTAGCAGATGCACGAATACCTCGTTGGTCGAGGTACGCATGAATCAACAGCAATGATTTTATATCAAAAAAATATTGCAAGATTATTCCATGTTTTTTAAACAAGTTAGTTGTCAAAGCTGATTTCGATAACTAAAACAACACCGCTCTACATGTAAACTTCAGAAATTATTTATTCATGCAGAAAATTGTTGAACAACTGAGAAAGCTTTCAAGATATACCTTGATCCACTGCTCTAACTTAAAGTTTTATTATCAAACATATCGGGTTGCTCGAGTAACATATTTCTAATTTCCCCTAGTTCGGCGACTTGTTTTTATTTCCCCGGAATATCACAAAAAAAGGTTATTATTTCTGTGAATTATAGACCTTAACTAGTTTCCTGCTCGTCAGACATGAAGTCTGGGCGAAGAAATAAAGACGACTGTGTAACGAGAAAAAGTATAATTTCTAGTGGGTGGATTTCAGCGCAGGTGAGCAACTTAGATTTTTCCAGTTTGATCCTTTAGCTAGTTTGTAAAGTTTTCAATGCATGAATTTTCCTGTACTGAAGGTTTTCGCAAATTGTTTGATCGTCTTTTCGCGGCTAAGTTTTGCCATTTCTTTCACACTGTCTTATGAGCACTAATTATTCATGCTTACGGTTTTGAAAACGTTTTATTGCCTTTGGTTACCCATAGGCAATAAAAATTATTTTTGAAAATAAAATGATTTAAGACCTGAAAAAATTTCACAAAATCAAATGCTCTAAATTTTAGTTGGTTGTCTCAGCAAAATTGCCAAAGGTCACTAGACTAGTTTCGATCGCGCCAAAAAGTCCTCAAAATTTGACATAATGGCGACGCTAAAACTCATTAAATGATGATCTCATCTCTGAAAACTAACATCAGTTAAATTCAGCAGCTCTCCGGCACTGGAGGAAATACTTGGTACGAAAACCAGGCTTAATGATCAGAAATTTTCATCATGGGTTCCTGCCGTCTTCCATTTTTGTACTTTCCAAGGATCCTTGTTTGTGAATCCATAGAATTTTGTAAAAGGTAGTGCTTGCTTAAATTACACCCAATATGACGAAATAGGGGAGTATCCTTACAATCACTTAAAGGTGCACTTTATACAGTCGCACGATTCAAGTTCTTGCGTACAGAGAGACTCTAATTTTCTCGACAGATCATGCATACTTGATCATACTTGTGTTAGCAGTTCATCATGTGATAATCATGTGCTTCCAATACCGTGGTTTTGCAATCTAAACGTTAAATTCAGAAGAGTGGCGATATAGATTGTGCAGACTGTGATATTTTATTTTGGACAGCAACAAACATATGAGAAGAACAAACGTGAAACATTTTCGTTCATAAACCTCCTACGTGTAATCAGAAGATGCCGCACTTGTTCCGGCCTGCTTTTAGTCTATTAATTCCACCATATTTACTGTTTTTGCTCAGGTGAAAAGGTTATTTAGCTGTTTTTCTGGTCGTTAATCCAAACGATCTATATTTAGCGCTTTCACATAAGGAGAGGCCTGAGGGTCAAATATGTTCAACAGAAGGATCAAAACATAGCGTGACAGGAACTTGTCTCGTAAATAAAACTCACCATCGAGGCGCCCAAGAGGTTCCATCGAGTCCGCTAGGGCTTAGAAGCAGTCCAAGATTTTTGATAGGCACTTAAAAGCACGTTTTTAAGTGACAGTTGAACTTCTTGGTGGCAGCTTTCAATTATTCTTGTTACACATGTCAGGGTGACGTCATTGAAAAACACCCAATGCAACGTTTACCTTAAGCATAACAGTTTTATAAAATCAGGAATGGAATGGACTGCCAACACAGCATTTGCTTTTCTCCGATGTACTAGTATACGGGTTGTTTGAAAGGCGGTCGATGCTAGTCCATTAAGACTTAAAGTTGGTTTTTTATTTCTCTTCATGATAGAGAAATACTTTTAGGGCTAACATCTCGTGAATTTTTCCCTTCTTGTAAGGCTGAACTCTAGGAAATACTGTAAAACTGCAAACTTGATCAAAAAACTCCTCCCCAGAGCCATTAAACTAAATGTAAAACTTGCAAGGACCCCCTCACTCCCGGAGGTGACCAAAAGGTAATTTCTCCTGTGGATCATTCAATAAATGGTTTGAACCGGGAGTGACAGTCAATCATGCAATGTGATCGTCCACTTTGAAATGGTCTTGAAACGGGACTGGAAGGGATGGACGTCAACGAAACATTGAACAAGGTAATTTAGTATTTTCAACTGAGTTGATACGTAACTAGGCCACCTTTACGAGTTTCAAAGCTGACGTTTCGAGCGTTACCCCTCCGTCAGCGTGAATGACGAAGGGCTACCGCTCGAAACGCGGCCAGTTTACGTTATCGACTCAGTTGGTGATACCAAATTATCTTTGCTCTGACGAAGGGCTAACGCTCGAAACGTTAGCTTTAAAACTCTAAACGGTGCCAAATTACGTTACTCGGTTGATAATACTAAATTACCCTGTTATACTCTCCCACCGACGCAGCACCACAGTTTCTGTAGAAACTTACCCCCTTGAAACGTTGAACATGTTGGTTGTTATTGAGTCTTCTTGCCTTCCGACGATCTATACCATGTTTATCACAAAGTGCGAATGCTTTTTCATTACAAAAGTGCAACAAGTGTTATAACAAAGTGGGTAGATTATTACAAAGTGCGACAGAGGTCCATCCAAGGCTAACCACGCGCACGACCGAATGCAAGTTATTTCATCATGCTCCTGATTAGAAACTCTAAAACCTTGTTTATTATACTGACTGTGGACAATGAACTAGCTGGGATGGCTAATAGTCTGCTCCAAGACTCTCGCAAACATCTGGTTTTCCAAAGCAGATTGAGTGAAGAATGAACTGAATAAAGAAAGACAAATAATCTTTACTTTACCAAGATTTCGTGGATCGCTTCAAATTTCTTAAGTTTAACATCTAAATTCATCAGGATGCTGAGAGCTTAAAAATATATTTGCGCACAATATATATATATATATATATATATATATATATATACATTTATAAACATATATATATATATATATATGAAGACAATTTTTGACGATAAAGGAAAAGATATATACATTTTATATATGTTTTTGAGTTGCGACTTTTTCGAAAATGGGTGAATATGCATGTATATGTATATATATTTATATGTATATATTGAGATAGGGAAAAAACAAAGAGACTATACTTTCATCCCTACAAGCCTGTTTCGTGATCGCTCACTCATCAGGGGATTTTATAAATATCCCCTGATGAGTGAGTGATCACGTAACAGGCTTGTAGGGATGAAAGTATAGTCTCTTTGTTTTTTCTCTCTCTCAATATATATCGCGCTCTACTTCTACGTATTGAGCACTGTACTTCGGAAAATCGAAACACAGACTTCCAATATATATATATATTATTTTTTTTTAAAATTTTTTGCTTTTTGATATATTAGCGAGAGTAGGAAACTTAGCGATTAATGTCAATCCTTTTTTAAGCTTTAGTGGGATTAATTAGACATTAATATGCTCCGGTGATTCATATTATTCTACAATATTATTCTACGAATATATCTGTTGCTTTTAGTTAAGGAATAGAAGAAAAATAATCAAAATGAGAGGTAGTTCTTGTCTCTTATGTTCTCAAAAGCGAGTTTAAAATCATCCAATGACGATGACGCAGTTGTGGGACGAGGGAAAAATCCTTTTGCGAAAGCTAGAAGTCCATTCCACAGTCCTCTGGCCGTTCCGGCTAATTTTCGCCAACAAGTGACATTCGATCTATTTAATAAGCCCAGATGTTTGAAAACGTTCTTAATCGACGTCAAAACGCTTTGCTCTTCTTTGGTTTTTTGAACATAATGGACAGCGAACAAGACAATGAAAAGATCAACTTGAAGTTTGATACTTCACTTGAACGGAATCTCCAAAGAGGTCCTCCTATTGGTCGCCTTGGACACCGTTTACTTACCAAATGAATTGCATTTGCAGGGATTACATTATTTATAAATTATTCATTCACGCGCTAAAATGGTGTGGAGTTGATTACCTAGTATTGTTGCGACTTTGTTTTCAGAATACATTGATGACGCAGATATGGACGTCGTGAGGTACCCCGAGTTAGACTCTTTGAGGTAGCAAAAGAAAGCCCAGTGCGGGCCGGGAAGATGCCATTCAGAGCATTGAAAGAACGGTATAGCAACTACAACAACCTATGGCTTCAGGCTTTGTTTATTTTGTTCTTACTAACTACAAGATCAGAAACCGGTGAAATCACTCTGGGGTTTTTACTGCCATTTAATGTTCCGACGAATAATTCTGCCGCGGTGGCGCTTACATCAGCAAAAGACTTCGCTTCTGCGTTTCTGTTGGCTGTGGAAGCAGTCAATGATTCATCATTGCTACCCGGGAATCGAGTAACCTTTGTTTTGAACTATACTCAGTGCAACGATGATATTTCAATCAAGACCATGCTCTATCAGTTGGAGAGAGGTGTTCAGGTTATCATAGGACCTGGATGTACCTGTGCGACAGAGGCGAAGTTAGCAGCAGCCGCGAATGTTCCTATGGTTTCGTACGTAAGTAAAACAGACACTGATGAAATATAGTTACTTAGCTTGATGTTGCTAACATAGTTGATACTCAATCTCGGCTACAAACAGCGGCTGTCACCCAGCAACTTTGCGAAAAAGCTCCATATGTCGATATGATCAATGTTATTGGCAAGAATAGTGAGGCAAAATTTAATCCCAACGAGTACCTTTCGTTCATGATATCCGGATGATTCACGATCTCAAGTGTCAGAGTTGACCGCGGGATATACTTTTTATTTGGGACAATCTTAACACAGCAGCTTCTTAACAATGAAGTATTCTTCACCTTCTTGAGGGCTGTGAATCCTCTCACAATGAAATAATCAAGTTTTTGTTTTTCGCAATAACAGACAGGATTACTTCTGTGTTCTTGACCGGAATAGACCCCTAAGGGGGTTGTAACGGAGCCGTTGTCTTTAATAGGAAAAGTGGTCTTTTGGGAATATTGTTTTTGACCGCAAGGTCGCACAGAATACGGACAAACATACTCACGAATTGTGTACATTTCATGCTCTGAGAAATTCTTTGTTTTGAGGAAAGCTTTTGGGCGGTCTGTCCGTTTACAACAAACGCTGATCAAACTTGGAATTTTCATCCATTTTCCTAGAACTTATTGTGCCTTTGTCAAGGTGTTGGTGGCAGTAAATAGTGTACGCCAAATGAGACACGGAGGTTGGTTTTTGTCGTGTAGATTTGTGTAAACAAAAGGTGAGCTTAGAATTTGGCAAGAACTGTGACTAAATTGTTTAGGGTTTGCAAACTTTGTCTTACATTTGCATTTTCTTGACGGCATGACGGCTTTCTGATTTAAGAAAAGTTTGATCTGGACTGTTAAGAGAAATTAGAGGACTAGAACCTTGAAATGATATTAATGAAACGCTGCAATAACAAAGCTTACAAACATTGCTTTGTCAGTAGGTTTAAATGCATACATTTTGTAGGTAAATCTTTTTCATTATCATCTTCATTATTTACCCGAAAATTCGTCGCGATTTGGAAACCGTTTAGCGAAACATTAACCGCCGAAAAACCGCGATCTACTGCTGCCTTCCTTCCTGTGCAGCAATTAATAGATAATACCATTTTGTATTGATGTGCTTTATTTCGCTTTTTTCACGTTTCGACTCAATGTTTGAAAATCACACTAAACTGGCATGCAAATTTTAACTTCTTCGCAAAAATACACTTCGGTAATATTTCGATGACTCGGAATATATTTAATTGAAATTTTGCCAAGAAACCAGAAATTGAACTGTCCGCATATCTGAAGAACAACATTTTCAGTGTAGGTCACTCTTGATATTTGTGCTACGTGCCTATCTGTTCACACTATTATACTTGTTGGCACGTCAAAATATCTCTTATCTATATTAAAAACAGTATTCTGACACTCACATCGACGGCTTGCCGAAGAGAGAGTGACAGAAATGAGTAATCCATTCTCGCCTGAATAAATTTTTTTTAAGAGCCATGTTTAAAATTAGGCTTTATCTATCAATTTTAGATGAAAATATTGATCATTTGAACGTTTTTTCCTTGTGCTACCGAACACAAACTCTTCGTTTTTTTCAAATTGTTATTTGAATAAAAAGCCTCTCGTAAAAGCAGTTTGAGTAATTCTATATCGTGAAAAGGTGAAACAGAATGCTATGTTTGGCTGAAAGAGAAAAGGTGAATTATTTTTGCGAGAAACACACATTGCAAAGAAATAGATTGACTGCTAAGATTACTTTTGAGTTATTACTCAGAAACGGCTTGAAACGAGTCAAGGGAAAAGAGCCATAAATTTCACTAAGCTGTAATATTTCCGGAGCAGTTTTTGATTAGAAACGAATGGTATTGTGAACTGGGTAGGCTGCTATAGACTGGATCATGTTATTACCCATGGAGACCGGAGCACTGATTCAAACTAATAAAAAAAAATATGTATATATATAAAAAACCCAAAGAATAACTGAACAACCTAAACTGAAGATTTCAAAAACAGTTTCTAATCATCGAGATACAACTATCAGAAATATAAAGATTTTCTAACAGTTTCACAGATGGACGCGTCGATGACAGATTGATGCCTATCACGCTTTTTGTGCCTCATTGCAACTTCAAAGGGAAAATTGCCTAGTATTCATCTAGCGGCTTGATACTCACAAAAATGTCAGACATAATAATTGTGAATGTCTTTCAAATTATCAATTTTCTTGAGTTTCATTCTCAGCTAGAACCCGCTCTAGTTTAAGAGATATTTCCTTTTTTAGGAGTAACAGCCATTTATTTTACAAATTAAACTTTCCATCTAATGACAGCAAACTGCGCAAAGTCGAATTAAATCGTTTCTGTAATTATATGAAATAATCTTTTTTAAAGTTTGAGTGTCAAACTGCACGTGAGACGACTGAACCTCACGTAATGTGTACTGTATATCAAAAATCTTTTCCAAAGCGGTGGCATCGCATTCATTTTGCGTGCAAATGACAGTCAGGCCACACTGAAAGAAATTTTATATTTCATTTGCTAGGAGAGGAGGTGTTCAACGAAATTGACGTTAAGTTTACAAATTGCGTACTGTCTGCACTCTCGGTTGGAAAGTCCGAAACAGTTGGCATTTTTCGGCGGTAATGATTCATCTCCGACAATTCTTGTTTTAAAAATTTTGACACATCCGGTTATTTGGTATAATATTAGTAAAGAACTTGGAATTTTGAATACGTTTGTTGTTCATACTTTGCCGAAATCGTTTTCCGACGTTTATGAATATATTTAAAAACAGGTCTACACAAAAGAACAAAAGGCTTTGCTGACTGATATGAATTTACTTTTCATGTCCAGAAATTTCACTCCGTATTTTTAAAGCAGCCCTTGTAAAGATTTCTATAAACCTGCACAATTTTACAAGCGTTACGATCAATATGATAAATTTCTGTGGGTTTCTGTAAAGATTTTGGTGTAGTTATGGACAGTGTTATCAACGAAAGGGCATTATTATCAAACTGCTTTTTGTTTTGTTTTTGTCTTTTTCCTCTCCTGTTTGGTAAAGAGTTCGAAGATAATGCCCTTCATGTCCTGTTTATTTTCCCGCTGTTTGCTAATGAATGGCCGATATTGACCGGTTTAATGTTGTTATAACATCATGGAAAAAGACCATCTATGAAAATATTGCGCGTTAATATTACATTCATGATTGTTGAAGGAATAATTATATTCTCGAATTTTAAATTTTGAATGGAAAGTTCATTGGAAAGTAAACATTTTCCACAATTTTATGATCTCTTAATCGCCCAGTGATTGACAAATATATTTGTCTTTACTGGGCAATAACTAAGGATCTCTTTCAAAACAGAAGGTTGATTGATGTTTGATGGCGGTGCTAAGCATCTCAGTAAACTAGCAATGGTAAACTTAAAGAGGAAGTAAGAGTGAAATTTCATAGTCATCGAGATAAATAACGACAGGTCGCTCCAATTTTTTTCCAGTATTTTTCCAAAGAAAAGGAAAAACAAACCAACAGACATATTTTGCTTGAATTAAATTTTGAACATTCTTACTTTTAAATTATATCGTAAAGTCTTTTTCACAGCTAAGTCTCTGATTAAGGATTTTTAGCGTTCGATGGTATATTTTCCGTCTTAAAGACCGTAACTTGTGGAAATAACCCCATTGTCCATATCATATTCGCAAACCAAAAAAATTCAAGATATTTCTATTTGATAAAAGAGGTGAATATGATCTAAGACGAGAATCCTCGAGAAGACCATCTATTTTAGTGAGAAAGTCCATTGGAAAAAAGACCTTGAATCGCATTTTTGATTGTGTCACAACCTTTTAGCCGATGATTTCGACTTTGCGTGAATGGAATTTTTATTAGAGAATTGATTTTAGAGACGGCGCACGCTGAGATTGCTATCTTAAGAAAACCTTAAGGGCGTCGAGCCTATTAGTGATCTCTCTGGCCATAATTCCTTTTTTGTTTTCAATTTTCCACTTATGCATTATTAGTCAAATGTTGTCAATGTCTTTCGCGAATAATTGACAGTGTACTTCTGGATCAATCAAATTTGTGTTTCGAAGCAAGTTGACGAGCCAATGTTGAACGCTATATGAACGGGAGATATTCTTATACTCGACTAAAACCCATTACCTTGTTTGTTTACAGTGTGCTGGATTTGTCTGGAAGTGTAGTGGCGGGTTATAAGGCGTGTTTCAGTTGAAGTTAGGACTGAGTGTGAGCCTTATATTGAATTATAATGAGCGGTGCTATTCAGTTCCTCAAAGTTTAAATATGAACATGGTGCCGCTAATCCTTTCGTTTAAACGCGGCGACGGCGAAGTCTTAGGGATTATGATCGCTTTATTGTCTCTAATGGATGACCTTAGAAAGTCACGTAGGACCTAATTGAGATCATAAATTACATTCACTAAAAACGTTTGTGAGTTAATGGATTTCGAATGTAACGAACAGGCAACGTTTGCGAAGAAGAGAATTATGTTTGAAATAACAGCATGAACGGGAAATTACACAGCTTGAGTTGAAATGCCAATTACAGAACGTTTAGATTAGATTTAGCTTAGTTTAAGCGGAAATTTGAAAACTGAATTCAAATGATTCCCGACACATCTCTTGTGTTGTGAAAGAAAAGCGCGTAGTAGATTATCGGTCGACAGTTTTTTAAACCTCGCCTACGTAAATATTTTGCAGTGGGCGATTTAGTGGTCGATTTGTCAGCGCGTCAAACAATCCAGTTGTCTTGGTTAGTGAATGGCAAGTAGCGGAGTTGTGTTCTTGAGAAAAAATAATTTATTTCTGTAATTCATCAGAGAAAAATTATATTAGCGAAGATTAGATAGGTAAACACCTCTAAACATTTTGATCTAAGAGCTGGAACGCTGATCCCAGTGGTGTCTTCATGTTACTTAATACGCGATAAACTCCTGCAGGTGACTATTCAGTGGCAGCTATTATAGTCTCTTTCTCAGCAGCTGTCGCTCATGGGTCTGTTAGCACCGGCTCAGAAAAATAACCAATCAATTCAGACCAACCGTTCCGGTGAAAGGAAATTTGCTGCAAAACAGTAAAACTTTGGAGACGTTGGCGTTCTTTACACCGCATGCGCATAACGTCCTACACTCTCGGAGGTTATCCATGTTTCAATTGCATATAGCGACTAGGTCTAGTGCAACTCCATTGGGATGGGGTGCTAGTTCATCGAAGGCTACCGCCCTCCCGCCCTCCCCCCCTCCCCCTCTCCCTCTCCCCCTCCCCCTCTCCCTCCCCTTCTAGCATCCTATAGGTTTCCCTAACAATTTGCTGCTATTTATTTAATACTGCTGAATGGAAAGAGGAACCGAAGTTGGAGCACAACGCATGAGCAATGCTTGTCAAAATTCGAACTGAACCCGGACCGATTTTGTATCCAACGCGCTTGCGAACCCTCAGGCGTATACCGAAAAACGAACTCAGCCAGGAGAATAATTCATTTGCTGTATTTTAATTTTTTAAACATTTGTACCGTTTTTTCTTCTTAACAGATGTGCATTGACGAAAATCTCTCTGATAAAGTACTTTTTCCAACATTCGCTCGGACAGTTCCGCCAATTAGCAGACTTTCTCCGCCGCTACTCGCACTAATGGAGCATTTTAGATGGACTCGCGTTGGAATAATCGCTCAAACCAATCACCGATGGTCTCATTGGAAAGCGTTGGAGAGCGACCTGAGAAACGGGGGCTTGGCAGTGGGCATCAATCTGACCCTGACGATGGGTGTCCATTTCAACGTCTCCAGTTTGTTACCCGAATTTGAAGAACTTTTTGAGACAGTGGCGAAACAGTCTCGAAGTAAGCTTTACTTGTACAGATAGGAAGAAAAGTGCCGTTGTTATTGAAGTATTTTGACCTCCTCTAGACCATTTAGCAACAAAATATTCGCAATTAAGCATGAACTTTTATAAACTTCCTCTTGAGTCAACCCTTATAAGCTTCTATAAAAGGTTCTTTGACTTAAATTCATTATCTAACTGCTAGCTTATAATCACGTCCTTTTTCGCCCCACAGTCATCATTTTAGCTATGGATTACGCCTATGCCCGCCAAGCTCTGAATTACGCCGGAAAAATTGGTTTAAATGACGGTCGCTTTGCATTCATCATGTTTGAGCTGGATTTAGACCTTACTGGGAACAAGACGGGTAATTTGTCAAAATCATGGGAAAGTGATTCAAAAAACACAACTGGGACAGTCTTTGAATCAGCTCTGTTAATCTCTTTGAACAACAACGTAAGCAAGGAATACTTGGCCTTCGCAGACGATGTGAAAAAGAAAAGTTCAAAATTCCCATTTGACAGCCCTGCGTCTTCAGGGAACATGGTGAGAGTAGGATGTTCAATTTTGTTATTTACTCTCTCGCTCATTCATTCATTCACTTAATCAAGTTATGATTCAAGGCGATCAGGATTACTATGATTTCAGGATTGCTTTAGTATTAGCTCAGTTATACACTTACAGCCATATTTACTTTTACAAAACAACCATAACCAATTGGCAATAGACAGAACATATAAATTAATCTACAGAACAGCTACATCTGTTACAAGTATTTCTCTTACAGGTTAGTTACGAGCTTAGTGGCCAATTACCGTCGAGGCAGTTTATCTGGGAGCCACAATCTTATAACTATCGGATAACATGCGTCGACTTTCAAAATAAATCATAATTGCAATGTAATACTATACCTCGTTTTCTGATAACACTAGACCGTCCTTCCACAAAAATTTCTTTCAACATCCTTTCAACTTCATTTACAGCCTCCTATACAAGCAGCCTACCTGTATGACGCGGTTTTTCAGTACGCCGTTGCCTTGAATAAAACTTTAACCAATGGAGGAAAAATTTCAGATGGCCAGAAAATTATAAAGGAGATGCTTGGACAACAATTTGGAAGTAAGTACACCAGGGAAACATCTTAAAGACCAAAGAGAGTTTGACATAAACATGAAACTGAAGAGACGTATTGTAGCTGTGCGATAAGTGTTCCATAAGCTAGGATGCTTAATACGTAATCATGAGGGACCGATAATTTTTCATCGCTCGGGGGACTAGCCGTTGTCAACAGAGTATTAACCCTTTAACTCCTAAGATCTCATTAGTAATTCTCCTTACTGTCTGCCATACAATTCTTGTGATGTTAGTGTGGAGAATTTGGTATTAGATCAATTAATAATCCCCTACTTGATATTTTACTTTATTCTCATCACTTCTATGCTTGATATTGTATTGAGATTCTCTCTTGGTCACTCATGGGAGGTAAAGGGTTAAGGGGGGACTACTACAGAAAATTAACCATTATGAAGGGGGGGAGGGGGGGGAATCTTTAGAGTATTACAGAGCCGCACGGAGGATCAAGTAAATTTTGTCGTGACCCAAACAAAATCCTCCGAACTCCATCCCCCTTTCTCCCCAGACGATCAATAATTACCAGTCCCTTAATTAGTCTAGTTTCAAAGGTAATCCCTTTTAATTTGTCTCCAGACTTCCGCGGCTTTTCTTGCACCTTTTGAGGAGAAGGAACAGAAGTTGCACGGGCTCTCCACACGAGCAAGCTCCGGTTAACCCTTTCACTCCTAAGATCTCATTAGTAATTCTCCTTCCTGTCTGCCATACAATGCTTATGATTTTAGTTCGGAGAATTTGGTTTTGGATCAACCAATAATCCCCTAATTGATTACTTCTTTGTTCTCATCACTTGCATGTCTGTATGATATTGCATTGATATTTTGAGGAGAAAATCTGTCTTGGTCACTCATTGGAGTTAAGGGGTCAAATTGTTTCTTGGTCCTCCGAGGTTTTATGGGAAACAATCTTAAAATAACTTCAGTGGCATTAATTATGAGCGGTTTCACGAACTTGGACCACAGACGCTTCCTTTTCTTTCCCCTTTTCGAGGAAAGATAATCATACTTTATCTCTGTCTCTCGGTGGAAATCTTTTATTTTCAATCATACATGCATAAACTAAATATTGATTAACCTCCAAATCATTTTCATATCTTCGAGGTATTCTTGGCTATGACCGATATATCAACAAAAACGGCGATGCAGATTTCAGCGTGGTGCTAATGGATTATCGAGAAAACAATAATGGTAAGCATCAGAGGAGAATGCCTAACTGTTAGGGGAGATCAGATGGGGGGGGGGGGGAATTACGATTTAGATTCGGGGTGGGTGGGAATGGTCAGTTTTGGGAGAAATCACTCCTTGATCACTCGCTGTCTAGTTTGTTAACCTCCTTTTTACTCTAAACACGATGAAAAGGGTCGCCCTGAGATTACTGAGGAAGTTCTTATACCGCTAAATTTTCCGTCAAACAATCTTAACGAAACGGGCAAAAGGCACCAAATGTTGTCTTGATTGTGAGTTTATGTATGTTAGTAACCGCCACAGAGAAAGGCAATGAATAATGTAGTCTACACAGGTTATGAAAATATTTCATTTTGGCACACAAACGACAGAAAGCAGATAACAAAAAGGGAAATATTTACCGTTTGCCCTTTGAGGAGTAAGGGTCAGAAATAGGTTGTATCGACCTCACTGAAACTAAAATGATCAATCACAACATCCCTTCCTTTTGCTTGTATTTTTCCAACAGAACAGCCCCCGTTCAATACAGCATTAAAGAAGAAAAGAATATCAAAATATTTATTGAATACTTATCTAAGCGTTTTTTTTACTGTTCAGGAATGTTCCAGCAGGTTGGAGAGTTTGTTGTTGACAAGACAGGAAAGTACAAGCTTCTCTTGAGCAATGACTCGATTATTTGGCCAAATAATAGTTCCGCCCCTTCCTCTGATGTACTGCAGTGCAGGTCATGTGACGCCAGGTGCTATAACGGTAAGGCTTACAGTTGTTCATGAGCCGTTTCCAAAACAACCAAAAACTCTCTCTTAAAACGTGGATAAGAGTGATGTTCTTCAGTTTGAGATTGAACAGTCTGCCTCAACTTAAAGATGAGGTTGTTTAGATCTCGGAAATGACCTATTGAAACAGTTCTGGTTTGATTAATTTCAGCATAACACTTTCAAACTTTGTACTCTAAAAGTTGATTTTTCTTTTAATGTGATTAAGAAGTGTTCAGCCATACATTAGTGCCCCCTTCCTGCGAGTCATCTGGGTGACAGGCTGTCAGTGTGTTTTCTGTTTGTGAGTCGTCCTTCTCTATGTGTTTGTTGCTTTTCGCAATCTATAATTTCTTCCATCCTTTCCTCCCCTTATCTAACCATCCATTCATCTAAAAATCCGTCGAAACCTCTGCATCGCCGATGTTTTTAGCGCCTTGGGCCGACGTCCCACTTAGACGGCTTTTATCCCCAAATGTTTCGGGAATCAATCTGCCCCATGGGCTTGACAACCTGCTCAGTCAACTCCACAATTGTTCGAAGGTGGATAACGCTATCCACTGGATAAATCTCCTTCCAGTGAATAGCGCATTACGTTTTGTCACTTTTTATCGTCAGAGTAGCGGTTTACCCGTTGGATAGCGTTATCCACCCTTTGAAAGACTGGGCCCAGATAATTCAAATTGTAAATATAGGCTTTAACAAAAGTTTCTGTCTTGATAATTGGTTAAATAAATTCCTTTCTACATCATTTACAGGTTTTTTTTTGGATTGTTTAAGCAACATAGGTGCTTATAAATTTTAACATTAAAACGTGTTTTTATTTGCTTGCTTTATGAAAATCTTAATTTGCTTAATTTCATTTTCAGGCCTTAATAGTGTTTTATTCGTTTTCGGTTATTTTTTTTACAGTCAGATTATTTATGCTCCGTCGAGATCTGTTTTGGTGCCCAATGTAAATGAGATTTAATTCATCAGTACATTTCGTTATTTTATGTTTTTGGTTTGAAGTCGATACGTAGTTCATGTCTAGTTCAGTATTGTTTGCAGCTTAATTTTGAAATGATGAATTCTAAAAATAATATTGCATATCATTATGGTATCTATCGTTTGCAATTTTAAAAAAAATTTGGAAATCATGCAGAGGGTCTACAGAATCACTGATTAAATTTCGTCGCGGATAAAATACCGTTTTAGATTATAATCGCGCGTAACGACAATTCTGTTGATTGCATATTGTTTCGGAAAAATTCAATTTGCAAAACTTGAAACTTCACAACAGATTCTATATTATATTACTTAATCAACATGGCATCTCTCAGTTTCAATGACAATGAAGTGTTTTGCCCTCTCAAGAAATTATCTCCCGAGGGAGACATTCAGCTGAAGATAAAGAAAGCCTAGCCATTTATGGAATAATTTTAGGTTTTTTCCACAACTAGCATGAAAAGTATTTAATATGCCCCAAATTCTTATCGTTACTTCTACTGGTAATGATCAATTTTTTTCACGTAATGGTAATCATTACCGCTGTGAAAAAAAAAATTACCCGATGTTTTCACAGCATAGCTCCTTTATTCAAAGTCATAATGTTCCGGCCTGGTGATAATTGTATATCAGCACGAATTTCGCTTTTACTAAGCCGCCCCCCCAGACCCCCCGGTCACGATAAGTGAATATTACAGGTGTTTTTCTTTCAAATGGTTTTGAAGTAAAATATTACCTATAACACAGAGGGCAGAATCCTTTCAAACCGAAGCAAAAGATGTCATAATCAAATTCCGTGCAATAGGAATTGAATTTTGTGTGGCTGGTAATGACCTTACACCCACTCTACAACTTCATTGTTCCCCTAATTGAAGTGGTTTTTGCAAAATCCCTCTTCGAATATGAACAGTTTATTGAATTTCAAAGCACATTTGCTGCTTTCTTTCGTTTCAAAATTTCTAATTGGGTCTTCCTGTCCTGGTCCATCTACAGAAGGAAATTTAACGATCGGCCTGATTCTTCCTTACTCTGCATCACCTGGTAACAGTCGCTCCCTCTACGGGAAATTCTACGCTTCTGCCATCACTATCGCTGTAGACAACATCAATAAGGATCCCAACCTTCTGCCTGGAATTCGCCTCAGATTCGTATGGGATGACTCAGAATGCTCGGAAGAGAAGTCAATAAATGCACTTATCAGTCAACTCGATAGGAAAGTGGACGCTTTCATTGGATTCGGTTGCGATTGTCACACGCAAGCAAGAATGGCGGCGGCGCTAAATTTGCCTGTTATCTCGCATGTAAGTATTTATTCCTTTCTATTCCTGCTTTGGTAAACAACGAATTTATTTTTTAGAAATTTTCAGACCCATATATTTGCGAAATCAAAGAATATAAGGATAGTGCAGCGGTACATTGAAACTCAACACTTATTCCTGAATTCATGATCAATTTTTTGAAAGGAGTAAGTTACCTGCCTTTATTTGCTTAGAAATCCTACTTCAGTCACGGATTATTTTTTTATTTGTTTAATTTGTTTAAGTATCATTCACCTTAATTCCATTTTACTGTATGTTTTAAAGTGCGTTATGTGCTTACGTTGTAAACATAAATCAGAAACTACCGCGTTGCGTGGAAAATTTTGCGAGAGGTTTATTTAGCATTGGTAAATTTTTAGCGGGTGCAAACTTTTGCGGTTTGACACGACAGAATTTTTTTGCAGGTGAATAGTTTTAGCAATTATCTTTATAACGTAAATGCAGAGAAAAACGCACCAACTTAGCTTTTTTGTAAGATGTGAGGGAAATACGTGGTAAATGATTCGTATATGGATATTTTCAGTAGTAAGTTCTCAAGGAGTACAATTTGACATATGGCCTGCGTAAAGATTTTTTCTTTTGACTCTGAGTAGTGAAGTTTTCAGCCTTTTTTTTTCGCCGCGGAATTTTGACAGCGGGAACTTAATTTTCAGATCAAAGGCTATCTACAAAATCGGAAAAAACTGAAACTAGTAGCCTAAAATTTACCGTTTTTTATCTTCCTTTTCAAGCTGTGCACATCAAACGCGGTTTCCGATAAACAGCTTTATCCGACCTTCGCACGAACCATTTTCGGCGACAATAGCATTGGTCCGTCGGTGTCGGCGATCATGAACTATTTTAAGTGGAACCTGGTCGGAATAATCAGCGAGGAGGAGCACGACTGGAAACGAAGGGCAGATTTCTTAGAGTCTTTTTTGGGTTCCGTTGGAAAAACAGTCACGATGCACAGTAGAGTACCTTATTTTCGTTCGTATAAAGCAAAAGAACATGGCGAACAATTCAAAGAAGTTTTAAGTCAAAGCAAAAACAAAGCCAGAAGTAAGTGTAAAATCTTTCAATTCGCTTACGCTAGCTCAAATTTGTTAAAACAGGTTTGGGTCAGAACGCGAAGAGCGAGGCGCGTGCATGCCAAAACTGCGCAGACGTTTTTGAAGCGTTCAAATCACTCAATAAAATACCATGAAATGGGCGGCTGCGAAGAGTATAACTAATGAAATAGAACACACCCATGTAACTTGATCCACTTCAAGATCATGAGATGAAACTCTGGAGGAACCACATCAGTTTAGTAACGGGTGAATGAAATTATGAATTGACTGTTGGTATTAAAAATGAGGACTCAGTGGTGTTTAGTGCGGTGGTTTTCAGATCATGTGGTCCGGCTTCGAGCCCAGGCTGAGTCATTGTGTTGTGTTTTGGGACAAGATACTCAACACTCACAGCGCCTCTCTCCACCCAGGAGAGTCTGAGAACTGTCTTGTGAAATCTGACGAAATGATGCGATGGACTGGTATCTAATCAAGGGATGAGACGCAAGACTGTTAGTCGCTTCAGGTCGCTTTAAGGGTAGAAAGGGTCCTGTGACTTTTGAGCAGACCCTTTCTAAGATCCTATGAATTCTTTCCTTTTTTAGGTTTGGTTCACTTTTGAGAATTTTTTTCTGTTTTTCAGTCATTATACTTGCCATGGAACAAAGACTTGTGAGAGAGGCAATGTACTATGCCTCTAAACTGGGAATGAACAATGGAGATTACGCCTTCATTTCTTTTTTATTGGATCCTGTCCTGGTTCAAAGATATGCAGCAAAACCAGCTCTTTTGTTTGATGGCAAGTATGCGTCAACGTTGACGGAGTCTCTCTCCGAGCAAGAGAAAAAGGAGTTTTACGACGCGTACAAATCGATGTTACTCATGGTTTTTAACACTCTGAAGATTGAGGAGTATGAGAATTTTGCAATTGAAATGAAACATCGGATATCTGAGCCGCCATTCTGTAGTGATGTTTACAAGGGATATCAACTGGTTGGAGGAACTGTCAAGTATCCAAATTTTAACAGATCGGTATAAGTATTCTGGAAATGCAGATTTTATTATCACTATTATTAAGAGGAGGGGAGAGTTAGTCAGTCATAATGTCAATAAGTGAGCAGTTGAACAGTTCCAATTATTTAAGGCACAGTGTTAAAGGATTTGTGTTTTCAGCGTGAACATTTGTATCCCCCCTGTCCAAAATTATTAGATCCACCACTGGGCGCGAATTAAACCTTTATTTTTTTTCATCCATTACAGCACTCTATTGTCTGGCTGCGCTTGACAGTCCAAGCGCTTTGCATTTACTATCTGATGATCATAAACCAAATCTCAAGCTTCTCAGGACAGATCAATAAACCAGAGTAAATTCTTTAGTTAATCGTAAAGAGGACTTTTACAGTGACACGTCTCTAATCTATTTGTTGTTTTCCATTTATCAGGCCCCTATACAGACGGCTTACCTTTACGACGCGACGTATCTGTATGCTATTGGAGTTAATAAGACAATTTCTGAAGGAAAGAACGCTACTGATGGTAGAGCAGTGATGAGTGTTCTATATGGCAAATCATATTCCAGTAAGTAGGACCAAGCAGAAATGACTAGATTTGTTTTGGACTGCCGTGCAACCAACCATCTTTGGTCGGTCGGGCTACATTGAACCTTCCTGCAGCTAGCTGCATGGATTTACAAATGCGACGAACTTCGGCGAAAATTACTCTGGACGACGTAAATGATAGAGACAAATACCAAAACGAAGATTTGCGCGACAACCGTATGGATTGTAACGAAGACAGATACAATGACGTCGGCTATACTGATGACGACTAATACAACAACGACGACTCGAGCGACAAAGAGTTACGAGGGCAAAAGATACAAAGACCTTAATGACGAAAATTGCAACGACGACAACTCCAGGAGCTAACACGATTACGACGTATTCTCAGACGACGACAATTAAGACAAACTAGAGCCCAACATTCAATGTTTTGATCACTAGACGTTGATAAGCATAAGAGCTCTATAACCCTTTACATTTCTTCAAAATCAGTTAACCTTTTCAATCAATTTTAACCACTCCAATAGCAACGTTACCAGCTCACAATTATTTGATAACTGTTTCACAAGTTCACGCACAAGCGTTTTTTCCTTTCAGGCATTCTTGGCTATGATATATTTCTCGACAAAAACGGAGATGTGCAACACAATCTCACAGTAATGGACTTCAATGAAAACTACGGTATGATAGACCCTCTTTTACTTAAAATTTTCAGCTTCCATGAAATATGTCCGAACTATTTCACTCCTTCCATTTCGCTGAAAAAGTCAGGGCGCTTAAGCCAACCATCTCTTTCGCATGATGCTGGCGCTCTCTTGCGTTTCGTTGATTGGCCAAAAGTGGAGCAAGTTTGCCCAAAGATTGCAATCATGAAGAAACGTCTACCTTGAGATACACATTTTACACACTGCAAACAGAAAAACGAAAGAAGAATTTCGATCCTTAACCTCTTATTAGAGGCTCGAGTGTCGACGATTTCAATTCATAGAAACCTCAATCGTTCGAAGAAGTAAATGGAGAAATTATAGGAAAGCTGCTGGATTATTTGCTTCGGTTTAAGTATTTGACAAAATCGTCTGGAACCAAGACGAGCTTTTGTCTTTAACTGTATTTTACTTGTGGACGTGTTGTTTCTTTCATTATTTAGAAGAGCCAAGATTTGAAAACAGAGGAATGTTTAAAGTAGAGGATGATAAAAACAACACAATTTCTTTCGACCTGTATCCGAACGCCACCATTTCGTGGATCAATGGCAAAGCTCCTGTTGATGCTCCAGAATGTGGTTTTGAAAATGAGAAATGTCCCGTGGAGGTGAAAAAAAAGCTATGTAAGTTACAACTATTATGCAGAGAAGTAAAACGCATAGATGGCTTTACCATTAAAAAAACTGTCTATTTTTATCATATAAACTACGGTGTTATACAAGGATTTCCAGCCCTGAGAAAAGCCGTAACTACACACTTGAAAAAATGCGGTATTTTTTCACGTGTGTTTGATATCGCCAATCAGCTGCTGACACCTCACCCACGACACTCAGTCAAGTTAATGAACGAACGGCAAAGCCTTCACCATTCTCAATCCAAGGTCGTTTGTCAGAATTTTTTCAGATTATGGCTGCTAAAAAAGAAAAAAATAATCCGTATCGCTTAATTACAGACAGTGACGTTCAAACTTTTCCTAGAAGTAGAAGAAAACCAAAATACGAAAAGAAAAACCGAAAGACCTTGGTAATGGTATTTCTCGCCACTGAGAACGAAAATCGACAACTGGAATTAGATTTGCCACAGGCGGATGTTGACGTGTACGTGAAAGATTTCTTTGGTCGAGAAGGAATGAGTCAATAACTGAGAATTTTGTTCATTGAAAATTAGGCCCATTGTTCGTATTTGTCGTGATTCAACGCATATGTCCATCTTGAGCGCGCAAACGCGCTTTATTCGGAATGTCGATCCTTTCGTTTTCATTCATTAATAAAGTCGACTTTTCTCGTCGGTAAAATGCTTTGGGCCTATATGATAAACAAAATAATACATGGTTGCTTGTAGATATGAAATTTCTAATCTTGTATTCAACTCGAAGAGAAATTCCATATCTAGGCGCGTTCATATATTATTCTCTATTTATCACATGAAACAAATAGATTCCATGTTGCCGTGGGTCTGTTTAGTAATAAATCACAAAAGACGCCAAAATGTGGTGAGAACATCAGTGACACAAACGGCTGCGCCTCGTTGGTCCCTTTGTTGTTCTTACCACAGTTTGACGTCATCTGTGATCTATTACTGAACATACACACTGTAACACGGAATCTATTTGTTAAATGTCGAACGTACCTCTTGCCTTCCTTGCTGTGAGTATTTTTATTTTGCAAGTTCAAGAGAGTTCATAATAAAGTAAATTTTTATTTTTTTACAGCGGTGGCGGAGATAGTTTCCATTTGTCTTGGTGTCATAGTGGTAGTCATTCTGATTGCTGGAGCCATCATTTACAGGTATAGTAAGGTTGTTTCTTTATCATTTTGTAATCATACTCGGTAGGTGCATTAATTTTTTTGTGGTTGATTTTTATTGAGGTTCTGTGATGGAACGAATGAAAACGTTTTGATTTTATAATTATTTGTCTCACAGAAAACAGAAACTTGAGAAAGAACTCGCGAGCAATTCTTGGCGAGTGAGCTATCAGGAAATTTCTCTAAGAACGAGACAACCAGGATCTCTACGCAGCCAGGTAAAACACAGGTCTAGCGGTCGGTAGACCAGTCAGCCGATCATAAACAGGTCGCTCGGTCGATCTTATGTCGACTAGTGAGTGAGTGAGTGAGTGAGTGAGTCACCGTCAGTCAGCCAGTAAGTTGTCAGTGGTCAGTCATATTCAGTCAACAGAGTCATTCAATCAGTCGCCAGTCAGTCAGTCCCTCAGTCAGTCAGTCCGTCAGTCAGCCAGTCGCTCAGTCAGTCCGTCCGTCACTGAATCAGTCAGTCAGTCAGTCAGTCCGTCAGTCAGCCAGTCGCTCAGTCAGTCCGTCCGTCACTGAATCAGTCAGTCAGTCAGTCAGCTTGTCAATGAGTGAGTGAGTGAGTGAGTCAGTCAGTCGGTCAGTCAGTCAGTCAGTCAGTCAGTCAGTCAGTCAGTCAGTCAGTCAGACAGACAGGCTTTCATGTGCCCAACTGACTCGTTTCCTGAACTTCACATATTTCTAGGTTAGCTTGGTTTCCACTGAGAGCTTTGATAACCTCAATCAACGCCAACTCTTCACACTCGTAGGCTCTTGGAGGGTGAGTTATTACTCTGTAGATTGGTAGTTCAAATTTTTGACCAGCGCACAAGGGTAGAAAGACATCTTTGTTAGTTAAGAGTAATTCGAAGAAAGTTCTAATGCTGTAAACAACTCGACAAAGTATTTTTATCATCAGGGTAATACAGTCGCTATAAAGAAAGTCAGCAAGAAAAACTTGGAACTGAACAGGGAGATCAGAATGGAGCTCAAGCAGGTGAGAGTTACAGAGAAGTAACCAAAAAGGTTTGAGAATCTCAAAAATTTAGAGCACTATTGTTTAATTAATTTTGACAACTTGGACTGTGCTCTAGACACACGTAAGTCTTTACAAATTGCTAGGCATTTTCTGGATATTCATGTCACGCATTTGCACTCAGAGTGCGTTTCTTTAGTTTTGCATTGCATTGGTTGAGTCTCAAGGGCAATCACAAGCTAAGCAAATGAACGTGAGATAATTTCAATCCCGGATTGAATTTAACACAATTCTTTTTGACCCCTTCACTCAGTTTGACATTATCAGTAGTTCTTAGGAGAGACGCAACTGTTATATCAAACTAATCATATTGCAGATGCGCGATGTCCATCATGACAATTTGGCACAGTTCATGGGCGCATGCGTAGACACCCCCAACATCTGCATCTTGTTCCAGTATGGACCAAAAGGAAGCTTACAGGTAAACTACGGTAGCCTTGTTTAACTTAAACGAACGTTAGTGTATAAATATTTCTGCTGTTCATCCAAGTTTCCCTCCTCCTGGAGGGTGCGCTTATCTGTTGAAAGTTATAACTCGGAGCTCTCGAGAGCGTAGAGACGTTATTTATATAACTAATATAGCTTCAGGATAGAAACAGAGATCCGTATAACTGTTGTATTGTACTAAAAAAGAGGGTTTTAATAGCTATAAATTTCTTTTAGGACATTCTTGAAAACGAAGACGTGAAACTGGACACCATGTTTGTGACGTCATTGGTGACAGACGTTGTGAAGGTAATCATATCTGGTCACGTGGTTATAGGAGTACTGCCATGAAGTTTTGAGTAGGTTTCGCGAGTTAGAAACTTTTCCAGGGTAAACAAACTCCATCGTTTGCAGACTGAAAATGAAAGAATAAATCTACGGGTTAGAAATTAACGCTTCTTCCAAAGGAAAAACTTCGTCAAATCTTTTAAATATCTGTCAGAGGTTCCTTCATCTAAACGACCTGTTTCTTGTCATAGGGAATGGCTTATTTGCACAGCACAGACATAAAATCACACGGGGATCTGAAGTCGTCAAACTGTGTAGTGGATGGCCGCTGGGTCCTGAAGATCACTGATTATGGGCTCACAAATTTCAAGGCAAATCAAGCTAAAAGAGATGAAGGAGATTACGCAAAGTTCTACCGTACGTTTATTGTTTCTGTTAACTCTTAAGGCTAATTCATGCATTCCTTCGCCTGAGGCTTGTTGCATCTTCGAGGCCGATAACCAACACTCAGATAATACTGAACTAGTATCATGTCAATGGAAAGAATGTTCTTCCCCCAATTTCAAAAGGGTTATGAAATGTTTGTAAATAGAATAAGAGATGATGTCCTTCGTTTAGCCCGAGTATCTGGCAGAGTCGTTATTCGTGTGAGGTTAATTTCCTCGCCTGAGCGAATATCACTCAAAAACTTTCAATTCTTCTCAGGCCAACGCGGTCGAAAGTTGCCATTGGGCGAACATTCTCACCGACTTTGGTGGTTGGGTCTGGAGCATGTTTTTTCAAATATGAAAAACCTGACAATGTGTTGGTAAATGTGCTCTTTTACGCTCCAAGGTCAGAGGGACACTGCGAGAGAAAAGTGTCTTTGTCCTTGTACACAAGACATTGTTCCCGCCATTTTTCGAACTAGGACCTTTCGATTTCAAATTTTCAATGCGAAGTAAACAAGGTGAGCTACTCTTAGCAGATTCTCATCAGCCCAACGTACTGTTGCTCCTTTAGGTTTGATGTGGACTGCACCTGAACTTCTGCGCGCGGGCAAAGGTCAACACGGTAGAGGCACTCAAAAAGGAGATGTGTACAGCTTCGCTATCATTTGTCAGGAGCTGCTGACTCGTTCAGGGCCTTTTGATATGTCTTATTATCACATTGAACCAAAAGGTAATCAACTCTTGCCTTGTTTGATTAACTTCGTCCTCTTTCCCTTATTAGAATTTGCTTTATACTGATTTGTTAGAACTAGGAAGCTTTCGTCTCCGTGTTTTCTATTTTCCCATGATAAACGTTGCCAATCGGGGGTAAACGCTGGAAATAACTGTCTACGAGATTTCAGTAGATAATTTCAAAGTTAGCGATTTTTAAACAGACTTTGTCAAATTTCTGTGGAATAACTGATACAAGAGTACTTAATTTCTGAAAAGAAATAATTTTACATGAAATAGATTCTTGTGGGAACCTATTTTGTCGGAACGAGCGAGTAGGGAAAAGATCAAGAGGATAAATGTCGGAGAACGGGGAAAGAGCAACATCACTTCTTTCCAAGACCCTGCCGATTTTCGCTCACTTTAAGAAACGATAGTCTGAGACGGACTACCGTGTTACTTGCGCTTAACGACACTGATTAGCATGCTAACTATAGAGTTCGCGTTGCTGAACTGTTGATTAAACATCATGAAGCACTGCGAAAGCGCAACGGATAGTCTCATTTATCAGTTTGCAAGAAATATGTTTTTCTGATTCCCAGAAATTATTCAGAGAGTCACGATACATGAGAACCCACCTTTTCGTCCGAAGCTCAGTAACATTGGGAAGGAATGCGAAGTCCCTGGTTTGATACAAATGACGGAAAAATGCTGGAACGAACAACCCGAAGCCAGACCTGAATTTGAAGATTTGAAGAGACAAATCCGAAAAATGTCTGTTGGAAGGTATGTTCAGCCTCAGCCAGTGTCGTAGAATTTGATTTTCCCAAGGTCTCTTTATAATTGTGATTGGAGGCTTAGTGTTATCAAGAGATTATAGACTGTTTATAATGTCTTGGCGTTGCTCCCTTTTTTTGAACAATTTATGTCTATACCTATAGTATCACATATTTAGTGCGTCGAACTTGGAAAAATGTTTGTCTCGATCGCGGGCGTACTTTGGGACGTCACACAAGACTTCTTTTGGGGCAATTGCCGTGTAGCATTCCATAGAACGGCTTCTAGGGAATTGTAAGGGGAATTGCCGTGTAGCATTCCATAGAACGGCTTCTAAGGAATTGTAAGGGGAATTGCCGTGTAGCATTCCATAGAACGGCTTCTAAGGAATTGTAAGGGGAATTGCCGTGTAGCATTCCATAGAACGGCTTTTAAGGCCACTTTAGGCTCCAGAATGAAAAATGGTCTAATTATGTAGGATCTTACTATAAGTAACATTTTATATTAAATATAATAAATTGAAATCGTTTTAGGCAAACAAACATAATGGATAACATGGTAAACATGTTGGAAAAATATGCAAACAACTTGGAAAGCTTAGTGGAGGAAAGAACATCGCAGCTGGCCGATGAAAAACGAAAAACTGAGAATCTCCTGCACAGAATGCTTCCTCCGTAAGTATCCATGTAACAGGTATAAATTCACGATAGATGATGAAAATAACAAGCGGCCAGTACAAGGTTGCAGCCGGACACCGCGTCTGCGAAGAGAAGTCATCTCTTTATAATAATTCCAGATAATAGAGGTGTATTGAGTTATTTAGGCGGTCTTAGGATTGAAAGGAACCGCTCATCTTCTATCTGCCATGTTCTTCGTTTTAACGTTTTGGGCAGGATTAGCTATTCCTCTTTGTGTTCCTAAACTGTGACTTTCACTCAAGGAACCGGGGGTTGCTGAAAATACTCTTTGGTTGGTGATGGAGTGTTTTTAGAGAAGGGAAGGAAGTGGTGACACGTTCATTCGCTTCGTAATCCATGATAAGCTTTTTTGAATTTTTTTAAAAATTTTTATAACGATTTAATGGCTACTAGCTACTCTACAAAAGTAAAGAATAAAGATAAACGATAAAATAAAACAGGCCATGTGGAAGATCTGTAAAGTAGTCCTTGACCCCATATAGATTTTAACAATAAAGCATCCCCTCATTTCTACACTTAAATAAGACTGTAAAAATAATATTTTTCTGGCTTTCGACCTAAATGCTCTTTTTTTTAGTTTCAAAGCGAGTGTCCATAGGCAGTTCATTCCATCTATCTACAATTCTAAGACTTTTAAAAAAGTTTCTTTCAGCAAACGTTCAACAACTTTTATTCGCAGACCTGTCGCACGTGACCTTGTTAATGGAAAGACCATAGTGCCGGAAAAATTCGATGAAGTATCGATTTTCTTTAGCGATATCGTCGGTTTTACGTCGTTATCTTCGGAGAGCACCCCTTTTCAGGTATGGCAATAGAAATGCTTTTTATGTTTATATACGTAGTTATTATGATTGTATTAGGATTTTATGAGCATGTTCAGAGCAAGTTTCATGCGCTCATGGTTCAACTTTTCTTTGCATTATGTATACAGCGACCACGATTTACGATGATGTTTAGAATGATGCAAAAAAAAACAAAAAAAAAATTAGGATTCAGCAATATAGGCAGATCTCCTCAGTAATAGCGGATCTGCAGCGGAGCTATTATCTAAGGAAATAACTGTAATGATCGGCAGGCCTATTTGAAAAGAACATTGCTATTCTGGTGTACGTTCGAATCAAGTGAGGGCCAGCAACACAGGTGACTTCGGTTCCTCCATTACACTTGGTTTGATTTATATATCTATAATAAGGCGCTTGTGTAGCGAATAAAGGCAGATTTGGTTTCCCGTTGTGAATTTGCCTTTCTAATGATTTTGAAAGCCAGTCTAAATTGTTTCATTGACACAGATATTGTTTGAAGCTGATTTCTTGAAATTTGCCGAAATTATTTCATTTCGTCTCTTTTGATCATTTTTCAGGTTGTGGAACTTTTAAATGATTTGTATACTTTGTTTGATGACATCATCAGTAATTACGACGTATATAAGGTGGGTATAAAATAAGCTTCGTATTACATGATGTTCATTGGTTCTTGATTATCGAGTACTGCCCATTTGCTAAAAAAAAGAGGACCAAGTTGTTCAAAACTGGCTGTACCTACCGATATTAACGTGGAAAAAAGCAACATCATTTACGAGATAAAAGGGCACTGAGATGGATTTAGAACGACCAAGAATTGAGAGAACGGGCGAACTTGATAAACTTCGCCATAGTTCTCCAAGATGAAAAGACATTGAATATCTTTCTTTTTATCAGCTACGTTAGTATTCTTATGACGTTACTATGGGAACAACACTTTGGGTGGCAGTTAAAATTGGAAATGAACTGAGCTCAGCTGCTCCAAATATGCCACGTTAATCTTGCATTCGTCTTCTTTTCTCATTCATGCTCAGGTGGAGACAATTGGTGACGCTTATATGGTAGTTTCAGGACTGCCAATCCGGAATGGTCATCAACACGCCGGGGAAATAGCAAGCATGGCTCTGCACATGCGTAAAGAGATATATAATTTTAAAATACATCACAGGCCTCGTGAACAGTTAAAGCTCAGGATAGGAATTCACAGTGGTAAGAGAAAATCCGTCAAATTTTGAATAAAAGTTTGTTCTTAAAAAACACTTTGCTCTAAGAACTTACCTCTCTATCGCGATTTCAACAGAACTTAGTGCACCGGTTGATCGAAGAGTGGATACTGTGCTATCCACTGGATAAATCTCTATCCAGTGGATAGCGCAGTATGTTTTGTTAACACTTATCCACTGGATAGCGATTTATCCGATGGATATCCGCACTTTGAACGAACTGGACCCAGACGCACACACGTCGGAAAGAATTCTTAGTGGAAAACAAAATTAACCTGCTCTTGGCGGAGTGAATAAAGAAAACTTCTTCAATGCCAAACACTTGGGCGAAACCCATGACTCATAGCAAAAGTTATGAATATTCAACTTACAGTTAAATGAACTACCTAGGCGAATTTTTAAAACTGAAGTTATAAATTATCCCTCCTTTTGACCAACCAAAGGACCCTTGCTGGTTTTCGCTTAATTTGAAAAAAAAAGAAAGTTAACCCTTTAACTCCCACGACGAAGAGAGAAATTCTTCTTACAATGTCAATGCAATATCAAACAGACAAGTGAGGAGAATAAAGAAGAAAACTCAATCAGAGGACTACAAGTTGATCCAATACCAAATTCTCCAAACTAACATGATAAGAATTGTGTGGCTGAGAGTAAGGAGAATTACTGATGAGATCTTGGGAGTGAATGGGTTAAACTTGAAGATGCCATTCGACGTATTTTATACTTTTAGCTTTTCACTAGCTCAGCAACAGCAGAATTAAAAAATAACGCTATCCAAGTTTATTAATCCGGTTAATTCGAATAATAATATTACAAACGGTAGATAATCGTAAGTCTGAACCATCAATTTTTCTGATCAGGACCTGTTGTTGCGGGTGTGGTCGGTAACACTATGCCTCGTTACTGTTTGTTTGGTGATACAGTAAACACTGCCTCTAGAATGGAATCCAATGGAGAAGGTGGGTATATTCATCATTTTAGGGATGGTAAATGAAGTCCTGTAACGCTTAGTCCATGCAGGAATAATTTTGTTGGCTTTGTCAATGCCTTATCTATTTATTTGTCTGGACGTAAGGAAGGAGAGTCGAGCACACGGAATCAAGGCGACGGGTAACCTTTTCTGGAGCAATATTGTGGAACGAAAAACTCGTCTTTTTCAACTGCCGTTTTCTGGAAGTCCCATGTATCATACTGCAAAAGGCGTTTCTGGTGAGAAGTTAGGGGAGAAGCTAGAATTTTGAATATAGTCTGGAAGTCGCATGGTGTCAGACCCAGACTATCTAACTAAACTGTCATGTCGAAATCCGTGATTTTTACTGGATGTAGGCCTTTCAATTCAGTTTTTTCAATACGTTTTGCACTTCTTAAGGTTTGTAGCCCTCCTCTCTGGTTTCAGGCTCCTCGCATTCCGCTACTAGCGGCGTGTTTGCCCTTATTTTGTGCTCGCGGTTTGCCAGCTTTTGTTTGTAATTTGAATGCCTCATGGCCTGACCTGATGGCTCGGGTATCTTTTAGGTTTATTTAGTAATATGAAAACAATTTGCTTTCAGCTCTTAAGATTCATATCAGTCCGGACGCCAAGAATCTTCTGGAATCTCTTGGTGGTTATCACATTGAAAGGAGAGGAGAAGTATTTTTAAAGGTAGCTATACGTCAATCTTCTCGCAAAATCTAATGTGACTCTAACAAACAGTTACAATACAAGGCCTTTCTAAATACCGAATTTCTCTGAATGAGGGCCTTCCCCTTAATTGGTCACTTCCGCTGGGTCATGTTCTAAATATTGATTTTATAATTCAAAGTAATACGTCTTCCTTAGTGTAAATACATGTATTGTGGTGGGCGGTAGGTTTTGCAGTTCCTTCAGTTCTTTTACCCTCTTCCTCTTCCCCCGATACGTCGTGTCTTTTTATAGTTGCCTTAATCTTTCCGGCTGTACAATTTTTCCTGTGATGTCCCTCAGGTTAATCTGTTTGATGTGTTCCTGTGTTTTCTGAATTCAATTCCTGCAAATGATTTTACCTCTTTTCATTCACATCACTTCGCGCGCTTAGTCATGCGATGTTCGAAAACACTTTTTTTTAGTTATTGTGTTACTGAATGATTCTTTTTGCGTGCAACAGGGCTAGGGTCAGATGAGGGGTTGAGCAGCTTCTAAGCAACCTATGCGGGGTTGATGCAAATGAGTTTGAGTGTGTGTCCTTCATTATTTGTTTGACGTAGTAGTCGGAAAAATATTACAATTTATGTCTTGACCATCTCCTCGCCCAAAAATGGCTTTCCAGTTTTTACGGGAGGAAGTTTGTTACGGAAGAAGGAAAAAATTTGTCATCGTCGAAATAGCTACATTGCGTATGTGATCTTAAGGCTACTTCTTAAGGAAATGGTGAAAGAATCACGAAAAAATTAAGATTAACAATACTTTTTTATGCTATTTTCCCGAAAAGCGGCGAGAATACGAATTGCACTTAAATCATTAATATGTGAATAGGACTAGATGGTTTTCGTCGCAGATAAAAGAAATCTTATCAGTATGGAGGGAAGTTGGGAACTAAAACGAAGGGTCCTCTAGGTTTTTTATCTTTTCATTCTCGTTCCTTTTTTTTTCACAACTTAAAAACGTACCATTCAAACAGTCACTCCACTCTGTGAGGCTCCTGTGGTTTCATGGGAACCCTTCACAAATGATTCCTTATCCTTTTAGGGTAAAGGTACGTGGACAACATTCTGGCTCGAAGGATCTGCTACGCCATTGAGAACGCATCATCATGGACTGAATAAAGAAAAGCATACGGCGCCGCTGGTACACAAACAGGATGAAAAAAACGGCTGGAAATTAGTGAAGGATTTACTGCCAAAACTTGCAAAGGAGTCTAAAAACGGAACACTCCCCTCTATCGAACCGTCTCCTTTGCCCAAGCGTTGCGCCCAGCTGCCGCCAATAACATCATGAGCTTTCATCAACGACAATTTGCAGATAGTCTCTCACGGTCTTTGCAACGATTTGCCGACGCAGTCCTCTGCTTGTCAGTTCATTAATTATATTTAAAGGATGTTCAAGGCGGAACTTAGTAAGTAAGATAATATATATTTGTTTGGTAGGCGGCTCAGTATGTCTGGAAGCGATGCTGGAATGGACTAATTCATGTATCTCTAAATGGCGCTACACATGGCCATTTGCGAAAGAGAGAAATATTTATTACAACTGACAATTTCCTTGAAAACATTCAACATGTAAAAAGCCGACATGTACTTTATTCGGCTCAGATGTCACGGACATGACATATACACTTAAGATTGCTACCATGAAAATGAAATAGTGGTAAACTGATATTTTAAAATAATCGAGATTACTCTAGGCATGAGGGTGACTGCTGTATGCTTCATGCTACACATCAAACGACGGAAACAACTGGGAAAAATTCAAAATGCTCTGTGTGTTTTTTTTTCTCTTCGGGATCCTTATACCATTCGAGAAAATTCTTATCATACTCAGTCATCAAGGATCGGCTAATGTTTACCGTTCATCAGAGTCTCGTCGATACACGCATAAAAAAAACATATTAAAAGATATGTTTAAGATACCTTTTTTCTCTTAGTCAATTCAAATTTATGGAAAAGGCGAACAGCTGTGACAGTAAGCTAATTAACATTTTTCAAAGGGAACGTTTGGTATAGGTTTGGTTCCACTACTAATCACGTTTAAGCTGCTATAGATCTAAGGAAAAAGAAGGATTTGGTAAGTGATTGATCACAATTTAAGTTAAAACTGGTCGCACTCGAATTCCATACTGTCGCAAACCGCCGCGGCAAGGCAAAATTCTTTTGAATCGCTCTATTACAGTTATGTTTGATATGGGAAAAAATAAGCTTTTAATGTATCAGGGTCGAGAATGAGAGATATTTTATTTAACTAGGAACATATTGTGTAAACCGAAATTCCATTATGCCAATGCTTTCGATTTTCTTTCCCTTGAATTTTTCTCGATGATATATCATATCTTGCTTATTTTTTTTCTAGATGTCTTACAATAAATTTCCTAAGCTTTAGTGTTGTTTTTCTTCCTACTTTAAATCAAACGTTGCGTTTTGTTTTATTTTAAAATCCAGGCGGAATTTAACGCGAAACAAAATGAATAGAATGAAAGAAATTTAAGTGGTAAATGAAATAATAACTGCCAACTTTCTCGGTGGAATCTTATCAGAAATTGATAGCTGGGGAAATACATTGGCGCCTTGGGTTCGCACATAAAGCCACAACTCATTTAAATGACGCTTCCTTATCTCTGTGGAATAATTGCTATCAGTTATTATGACCTTAGCACCTTTTAAATCGTTAATATTTCAACTGAGCGACCACAGTAGAGTTACATCCGTTGTATTAATTTTTTTTTACTACTTAAAATTTCGTTGTTTGCAGTCTGTTCGTCTCTGGTGTTTTTAACAATCCTAATTTAGCTCTTTTATCGACTATACTTTTTTAAAGTAAGAGTTACCTTCAGAAATAGTTAAAAAAGGGAGTTTTACACTTAATTCCCAAAAACTTCACAAAATCCTGCATGATTACTACAAAGTTGTTTTCAGACTATCGCACAGCGAACATGATTACTTTTTTTACTGTTCACGCTCCGGTAATTTTAAACGACTTACATAATTAGTTGTGCATATGCTCACATCAGAACCATTAGTAAGAGCTAAGTGTTTGCGGTATTTTAAATGATGAAACACGTTGCATACAATCTTGTATTTATTAAGAAAGAAAATTAGCTTGTCATAAGTTATGAAACATCCAGTATTTGTATAAATTGTAATTAAAGGAGGCACTGATATTTTTTACCACACGCATATTTCAAGTTTACTGATGTGTTGTATTGTATGTTCACGATTGATCCGTGTTCCACGAGTTATATGTGAGATGTACTTCACGATCGGACTGTAAGCTCGAGGTATTTGTAGATGCATTTGACTGGCGGGTTCCGTGCTATCGAGCTAACTGCCCAACATAGCAACCGAGAGAAAGAAATTAATTCAGGTAAATTATGAAATTGCAAGGCTTAAATAATCAGCACGGGATTTCAAAGGGGAAGAAAGGGGGAAAAGAGGTACACTGAAAATTAGGCCGCAAATATTTTGCCAAGAGAAGTCAGCAAAAGAAATGGAGACGATAGAGCGAACGAGCTGGCGAAATTTGGCTGTGAATAACTGATCCTGAATGGAGAGATGGAACAATTTACGATCTCTTGAGGGTTCTGTTATAGAGCTCGGTTGGTTGGGGAAAACAAGTTGTTCGGCGGCCTCAGTTGCATGAAAAACGGACTTGTTTGGTTGACCAGGTATAGTATAGCTATTCTGCGTTCCCGATTCCATCCGGCTTGGGTCTTTTGTTTGTCATGTAATCGCAAGGTTGTGTGGCCCGCAACTATAGTTTCTGAGGTCTCGGTAAATCGAGGGAAGCTGTTTTAGTGATAGCTCTGTAAGAAGTAACTTGAAAATGTGTAAAAACAAAAATCGTTTGGCCTGCATAATTTCCTTCAACACGAAGGATCTTACCTCACAATCCTAATCATAATCTTGTTTAATAGTGAATAATAGTGAAAGGGACAAAGATAACTGGGTTTGGAAAAAGGTTTACAGATATTTCAAATAACAAACTGAAAAGTTTAAGTTAAAATTTTTACAGATTCACAAACGTTAATGCAGGAAAAACGATCAGCTCAGCCAACCGGTTCAGCCGAAGGCTCACGGAACTGGGTCCAAATTAGAATCAATTTTATAATCAGGCTAGACACTGACAGTTCCTGTTTGCTGATGGTTTGGCTTTGTGCCAGTAATGCTAAAGCTGTGTCACAGGAGTTAAATTCAGAATGGTTTTCTCGTCCGGTTTTCTTTTACTCCTGTGCTTTGACGAATTATTGCACTGCGAGGAGCACAATCTTCATTCTGAGTACGTGACTGGTCAATACGAGGAACTTGCATTCATCAAGTACATTTTGTGGTTTCAACATTAGATGAGAATTCAATCGCGGCCAAACCACGAAATTGAGGAAATTACTGAGTCGAGTGTCCTCGACTTTAAATTTAACCGATTGATCAGATACTCTATTTTCGTATCATTGAGAATCAATCTGCGGTTTCCTGCCCTTCTGCTCTGTTTCTCCAAACCCCGATCAATTTTTTAAAAACCTACATGACGCTTTTTCCGACAAACTCTGTCCTTGTTTGGATTGCGTCCTTTGAAATCCGTGTTAATGTTTGTCATCTCTCGCCATATTGGTTCCTTTTCGGATTATTATCATTAGCTTGTCGAGGTTTGACTACGCCACAAAATAATAATTTCAAGTTTTTTTGCTTTATTCAAAGGGTATTTTAATTGATGCTTCACATAAAACGGTATCCAGTCTGCAGCAGTGTTCCATTTCAGAAACAATATTTTTGATGCTGGCAGGTTCACTCCTTCACTCTTTCCCTGTCTCTTTTAAATGACTTAAAACTTTTTTTTTCGCTCGATTGACGAAACAGTCAGAGCGGGGGCCAGATGCGTGAATGCTAGAGAAATTAAGAAAGCAGCCAAAAAGGGATGGCAGTTGTTGAGTCTTCTCCTTGAATTTCAAGTTAAAGTTATGACTTGACAGAAAGGCACAGAGGCCTGTCACATTAGGGTTAAAAAAATAAAATCGTTTTTCAGACTCAATCAATCATCATGACAAAACTTTTTTGCGTCGTGCAACTTGTACTGTCACCCTGGTATAGAATTTTCACGCGATCTTCAAACTGTCTAATTCGTGTTGATAGAATCAAATGTCGACTTCGCAGTGTTAGAACATAAAATTTTCACGCGATCTTCAATAAAACTGTTTAATTCGTGTTGACAGAATCAAGTTTCGACTTCGCAATGTTAAAACATGTTTACATAAATTATTGTGCATGAAGGTTCAACGCTCATTGATATGCTAATATTGAGTAAAAAACATTTTCGCTGTTTTTCATGGTCATGCAAATACATTTTTGGTTAGGTTTGTGAAGAGAATTTTCTTAAAGCACCTTGAATTGAGAAGATCAAAAGGAGGATTATAGGAACATTACAGATCCTTTTTCAGAGCTTGGGTAAATTGTATCGTGACGGAAGGAAAATACTTCAACCGCCCCCTCCCGCCTCCCCAGGGGATAAATAGCGACCGGTCCTTGGGTACTCCGACACATTTTGGTGTTGTCGGATTGTGCAATACATTAGCGCATGCTTAAAATAAAACAAAACAAACAAAACAAAAAACATTATCACAAGAATAGCTAAACTCCGGAAAGATCAGGATTCTTTCCAGGTACAACAATGTTTTTTTTTTTTTTTTTTTTTCTTTCAAGTTAAGACGCAATTCCTTGGCGGTCTTTTACTTCTGACCATCTTTGTTTCCTGACAAATGGAAGAACAATCCAAGGTTCAAGTAATGGGCCCTTGGTTCAAGTTCAATTTCACGATAAAAACGTTTTCTGGTTTAAGATATCTTTTAAGAACACGAACTTTCAATTATTTTGAGGTCATTATTTTTTTAAAGACTTTTGACTTGAAAGCGAAAGCACACTTATCCAAAATTTATTTTCATTTTTGTATGATTCTCTGTTCTTTTTCAATATATCGTACCTTTTTGTAATTTCTTATATAATGTTACTTATAATGTTAGCGATTTGCTCGGAAATTAATTTGGAAAAACTCCCTTGAAATTCATTTTGAAAGCGCATTTTTCACGTATTTGTGCATGCTGTCAGTTTTATTTTTAGTATTTAAACAAACAAAACTTCCCCTCGAGTGACTGACCCTCGATTGAAACCGTATTGTAGCCCACGCATTGCGTGATATGCTCTTGGACACACCAATAATTGTCACTTAAATCGCGTAATTTTATACTGCACCCTTCAGTTCACGGTTCAGGTCACGATTGTGACAGCCTCGATTGCATGCGTAGGAACGGCAGGGTCCGTGAGGGCAAACGCAAATCGATTGTTAAACATGTGCACCCCTAATTTGCTATTATCCCCTTGAAAGTTGCTTTAACAGGGAAGCGTTTCATCTCAAACAAATGGAAGGCTTCTAGAATGAAGGTAAGTTTAAGACATGTTTATCTGTGAATGAAATTTTGCGTTTCTTGTACCCTAACGCAACATTCTTTGTAGTATTCGCCGCTAGCGGTCAATATTGGCCAATTTGCAGAACGGAATAACTTTGTTTTGTTTTCTTGAGCGTTGTTTTTATTTATTTCGCTTTCTTGGCGACAAATCAGCTATATTTTTATAAAATGTTATTACCTCCCTTTGAAAACAGGTTTTTGTAAGCGAGTAACGAGATGTGATTCAAGAGAAGTTAAAATGTGCTAGGTCGCATCGAAGATTTATCCTGCTAGTGGTTTCTTTAATCAACGCGGTCGTTCCAGCTCACCTATACGATAAGATTTCGATTGATAATAGCCTAAGGACAGAGGACTATTCTCCAGAGCGATGTCCATGCGGGTTGTTCTCGCAACTAAAAACATCCGTCATTGTGAGTCTTATTTATAGTTTCACATACGTGCATATTAACTTTCATGCACAGTTTAATCTGACTGATCGATGTTACAAACTGGTTTCTTCTGTAAATTATTTCAACTTTTCCAATCGGATTTCACAGAAATTAGTGACATCAGCCTAAGCGTAAATTTGTTCGCGTTTATCTTTATACAATCTCCTGACCGCCGCTCGAAACTGAAATACGCACCTTGACATCGAAAACGTAGAAAATAACATAAGTAATTTATGATCCTTGCGACGCCGACGGTCACTCGAACATATTTGTATCAATCCTGACAAATTTAGATCGGTTTCATAGCATTTTACAACGAATTTGAAGTAGTTAAATATGTATTCACAAGTATTTTATTTTTTCCTCTTTGCCAACGTGTTTCAATGAGCTGGAATTCATCACTTACAATTTGTCTAAAAGGACGCTATTGAAGCTGGCCGCTTCCTGTAACCTTATTAAATTTTTTTGTCATATTTATAAATACGCTATTTTTTCGAAGTTTTTAATATCAGTAACATAAAAGGAACAAATTTGAAGGCACAAAGTTATTACATGTTGTTTTTTCTCAGTGGAGAAATAAAACGGGACGATTTCATGACAAACAGACAAAGTTTGTTGTGAACTTGACCGTGAAAATGACTTTTTGGTTGAGTAGAAATTAAATGCGAAAGTTAAATATTATCATTTATATTCTCGACACGAAAAGTGACGGAGAACATATTTACAACTTCCGCTGTCTAAATAAGTGTTTTGATTATCTGTGCCTATGAAGAATCGGTTTACGGAGAAGGTGAACTTTCGAAAGTGTATAAACCATCACGTATTTTATTCCAGTGAATTTTTAAGAAGTTAAATCAATTCAGCATACGGACGGTTATTGATGACACCTTCACGGTATCGAAACCCTTAACTTTTACCTCGACTAAATGTTATCATAGAAACATTGTATTTTCAGGGTCAAATGGTTGATTATGACGCAATATATTCAGGCGCTTTCTACATAAAAAAATTATTTAAATGGTAACACTTAACGCTGTAAAAACTCTTTTGGGCATTTCTGATAAGCCACCATATCCTCAGCTTTGTCGAGAACGCAAGTCAATAAATAAATTTATTTACATTTAGCTGTGAATGGTTCAGCTGAGTGTTAGATGTGTCCATAAGGGTTCTGGTGTCATTCAGGAAGGATTTGCCACTACTTATTTCATTATATATCGACTCAAGATATTACAACAAGGATGATGTACATTTAGATCGACAGCAAAACTTTATATTCAACTCGTCTCCCCTCAGCAGCAGCTGCTTACTTGAAAACTTGAAAAAAAAAAGACTTATTATAGAGAGATCTGGTGAAGCTTTTGCTAAATTTAATATTTAATTTTGCTTTCGTTTTTGTCAAAATAGTGAATATACACCGGCGGGGCCGGGCTGCCTTTGTACTTTGCAGTACTTCTGATCAACGGATTTCACAGATCAGCGACGATAATAATCTTTCAAAAGACAGAGGTTACTATTCATTGCTTAAGTCTCGCGAAAGTTTCAAGAAAACCAAAACGTGATTACTCGACAGTGAATATTTTACCGGAATAGTGGGCGGAAATCGCCTACGCTTGGTGTTAGAAAAATTCCAACACAACTCTAAGTCATCAAAATAAAAAACTCTAAATTTAATCCTGTTTTTTCTGATCCTGAGGATTAATCTTGTGTGGAGAAATGAGATAGACTCTAATTTTATTTTTCTTGAACGTAGGTAAACTTATCTAAATTTTCGGGACTGAAAAAGTCACCGCTGTGGGAATTTTTTGATCTTGCGGAGTGGAAAAGGAAGAGGTGACAAATGCGGGGGGCGGAAGAGGTATGGAAAGTTTCCCTCCTGAAAATTTCAAATTGTTCTTATTTTTCTTTCAATTTCTTGTGAGTGGAAGATTTAGTACACCCAGCGTACTCTTCATGTGAGATATTGAATGCGAGGGCTGGTCAACTCGAATTACGTTTGACAAAGCCTTGATTCAGACGCCCGTCTGCAGAGCATAGCGGAACTCGACGAGATCTAAAGCGTGCCGAGGCGATTCTGATAAGAGAAAAGAGAAAAAAAAATTGGCTCGAGCATCTGCCATACTCTTCAGACAGATTCAGACGCCGGTTTAAATGTGCAGTCTTGCAAAAGTAACGTGTAAGTCATGCGATGCGGGTCATGTGAAGTTCTGTTTACGAACCATAGCCGTTGGACTTATTCGCTCTTCCCGAAAGAGCTAATCCTAATAATCTTGTCGATTGCACTTGGTAGAAAAAGCCGGAAAAACATCTTACATCGATTACGAAACGCTGGAGAAGTAATCTGTTTTTGTCACCATTTCTTTGCGCACGTTTGTTTTCCCAGCTGCTCCTGTTTCTCAAGTATCTCATTTTATTAGCAAGTCATTAAAATGACCATCACTAGGCTGATGACAGGTCCTTAGTGACTGACACTTACAGCGTGCTACACACAGCTTATGCTTCTGTTGCCAGCTTTTGAAATGACTTTTTACACGGTTAATGGGATACGACATCGCCTAGATCTTCGGGAAAACAAGGATCCTTTATATTTTTAGTATTTTTGCGACTAAGAACGATTGCGTTGATAGAGAAAGGTGAAATATATATTTTGTTTTGCTTGCGAAAAAAATGAAAATGATCCGTCGTTATCAGACTTATTAAGAAACAGCCTTGTTATCATTCAAATGTCACTTTCTGTGTTTGTAGAAAGAATAGTGTGACATTCCTACCTTCTCGTTGTGTTTCTAGTCGTTTCGTTTCGTTTCGCAAATAGAACATGCCCTTGAAAAATAATCGTATAACATCCACTGTTGACTGTTCTTGCCTGACTCCGTTGATAAATGATGACTTAGTTCGCCCAAAGTAATACTTCTAAGGCTTACGTATGTTTATTTTGTTGCTATTTTGCGGTTTCGTGTTTGACAAAGAAATGCATCCTTTGCATATAAACACAAATTTAATTTCGTTTAGCTCATGAATTTTTCGAAGTCGACAATGCTACCAATGATACCGACGTAGGAGTTTTTGTTTTTTTTGTGTATGTAAAATTATAACTTATGTTTTGGATTGTATAATTGTGTAACTGGTGTGCTACTGTCTGCTTTCCCATCAAGATATCCTCACACATGCGTGAAAGAAACTTTAACTGAACGTCAGGAACTGATCTGATACTATCGTCTGGAGCAAAGGTTCAACGAAGAAACAGGCCGCAGATTACCATGAAGATATTATTTCGATGTTTTCACCTGTTTCTTTTCACTCTTGCCGTCACATCTCCGGTATGTGGAGATAATTTTACCCTGGGTTTGCTTGTACCCTATGATGAATCACATGCTCCTGCCGTGGGAAAACTGTTCGCACCCGCCATTGTAACCGCCGTGGATGACATCAATAACTCATCTGATCTTCTCTCCGGCCACCATCTGTCTTATATCTGGACTGATACCAAGTGCAACGAAGATACGTCTCTGCATGCAATGGCTTATCAGATTCACGAGAAGAAGGTGTCCGCCATTATAGGTCCTGGATGTACTTGCCAATATGAAGCGAGATATGCCAGCGTACAGGACGTCGCAATGATATCTTACGTGAGTCTTGTTAAGTGACTTGGGGCTCGTTGTCCGAAGGGCCCGGTAACTTAAAGCTATTCTGTTTTTATTCAAGATAGCGGTTTCAAAAGTTTTGAAATTCTACAAATTAACCATCGGCTAAAGGAACAAATTGTACTTGTTAGGGTGACAGAACCAGCTGCTCTTTTGCTGTAAATTTTGACTTTAAAATTTGGCTTCGGGTCCGCAAAGTTACTGGGACTTTCGAGAAACGTGCCACTTTACACTCTGAGCTTTTTGTAGGGTCCTTAAAAAAATTGGCAAAATGTTGAGATCGGGGAGAATATTATAGGTTACAAACAGCAAGCTTTTAAAATTGAGATAATCAATGTGAAAATTCTTCTTTCAGTCTTAATATACTGTCAAGCAGAAATGTAATGACAATCGATGAACTTACATCATTAAGGGAAAACTGAAGGGAAATTTTGTTTCATTAAAAATGACAAGTCAAGAAATTTTGAAAACTTAGCTTTCGCATTTTGGGAGTGGAGGGGTAAGTTAACTATGTAACCTTTCTCCCGAGCAGATGTGCAGAGATCCGCTGACTAAAAAGGAAGATTACGCAACATTTGCAGAGACGTTTATCCAGGTGGAGGTGCATAAACTATCGAGAGGCCTCATTAAAATGTTCCAAAAGTTCAACTGGTCAGAAGTGGCCATATTGTATGAAAACATTACCAGTTATATCAGGATGAAAGAAGTCGTGGAGCGCGAGTTTAATTCTAACAATATCAAAGTGCTTATGGATAGAGAGCTTCTTGCTGACCAATGCTACAATCATGTGAAGAACAACCGTTCAAGTTATTGTGATCCGCCCACATCGGTGACGAATGTAAGCGATTACATGGGAAATATGTTCAAAGAACTGAAGGACAAATGCAGAGGTATGTATACAGTATCTTTCGCTTTAACCCTTTCAACAAAATTTCTCTTCACAATATCCTTACAATATAAAGTACACAAGTGATGAGAATAAAGAAAAATATCATTTAGGGGATTATTAGTTGATCGAATACCAAGTTCTCCGAACTAATATCATAAGAATTGTATGGCAGACTATAGCGAGAATTACTGATGAGATCTTGGAAGGGTAATGGTTAAGGACCCGTCAATATTTATCACGGGGGGGAGGGAGGGGGTGGGGTTGGGTGGAAGAATTTTGGTTTTATTACCATAAAATTTACCTGATCTCCAAAAAGGCTGGTAATTATTTTGTAATTAATTTTCTTTGCTCTCCCCCCCCCCCGCAACCCGCAACCCGCAACCCGCAACCCCCCCGACTATAAAATGGTATCGAGGAACTGTCAGGGGAGGCCAGGCGAAATGTTAGAGAAGCATGATCCACTGGGCTGATGTTCTGAGTTTTTCTCGGTTTCTATTGATTTTCTTTCTCTTGCAGTTGTACTTTACTTGAGTGAATATTCAGTGGCCCGTCAGACGCTTGAGTACGCGTATAATCAGGGTATGACACAAGGCGACTATGCATTCGTCATGCTACAACTTGACCTTGAACGGTTCAAGCGTAACATGGACAAGCCAGTACAAATATATGTGCTTATGGATTTGGATAAAGACAAAACATGTGATTATTATCAAGCCCTGGAGTCGGTGGTATTAGTGGAGGTTCAGAGTAAATTACCAGATGAGAAGAAGTCGTATGAAGCGTTTGAAAAGAAAGTCAAAGAAAAATATGACAGTTTCAAGACAAACTTAACAGCGAGCATCGAGACGGCAGGGTTTAAGGTAAGTTTTATAGTCAATGAACTAGGGGGCGTGGGGGTAGGGGACATGGGGGGAGAGAATTGTATTTAGCATAATTTTATGGGTCAAAGAATATGTTTGGTTGTAGTTGCACTGGTCTTTGGGTCTCCTGGTACAGAAAGTGGAATACATCCCAGTAGATGGGTCGCTTACTTCGTGTACAGACTTTACACACTTAATCATATACTTCTGCGCGTTAGGATGTGGAGGGAGTGTTTTTATCATTGATTTCATTTAGCCGGATATTTTTGTGCATGGCAGCTCAACCCTCCAAACTGCGACTGTTCTGGTCTTCATGGCGAGTGGGAAAAAGACACAATGTGGCGCCAATCAATAATTTGGTGGCTTATGTTGGGCGGTCATTTGGCAAACTCCCCGCTCCAAGAAGTTCCATTGCATTCACTGCTTCTTGTAACATTTTGTGTTTACAGATGGATGCACCGCTGTCATTTTACGCCTATTATTTGTATGACGCTGTTTATCAATATGCCAAAGCATTGAATAAAACTTTGGCAAGGGGTAAGAATGGAACAGGACGAAATGTCATTCGCAACCTACTAAACTCTACTTACGAGAGTGAGTATGCTTGGTTTATTTTTTAACCTGCTGTTGGAAATCTCTAATGTAAAAACGCACCTTATGACATATATGAGCCGGTCGCAACGTAGAGGGATAAGCAAAACTCCCTCTCATACTTTTTGCCTTTTGTTGGGGAAACCTGTCGCAATGTAGAGGCAGGGAAGAGGGGGTTATCTGTCATGGACTAGTATCCCGTGCTCAAAGGATAAGAAAAACTGCCACTCGCTTCGTACTGTACGCTTTTGTTGTGGGAAACCGGAAACCTGTCGCAATGGAGAGGCAGAGGGAGGGGGAAGGGGACTAATGGACTAATATCCCAGCCTTGGGGGATAAGCCAAACTCCTATTCACTTCATAATTTCCGATTTTTGTTGGGGAAACCTGTTGCAATGTAGAGGCGGAGGGGGGGGGGGGGAGAGAGGGGGGGCTAAGCCTTATAAGCCAAACTCCCATTCACTTCATTTGCCGGGAGTATGCCAGAGCTTTTCAGCCTTATGGCGGGAAAGCTGACTTTTCCTCAATCTTTACGGATAGACAAGGGTCCCAAGCATTGACTGAATTTTTTCTTTAACGAAACAGGCAAGTTAGGTCCCAGCGTGTTCATTAATGAGAATGGATCAGCCGACGTTGTAAATCTCCGCATTGTGGATATTCGTTGGAAAAAATCTGTTGCTCACGCAAATGGTAAGTGTCTATCATTTTTTAACGTAACCGAAGGCATATGGTGGCACAACATATTTGATGTCGATGATAGATCTCCCTAGAGATCTGGTCCTAATATGTCGACATCCTCAGATGGGAATAAGACAAGGGACTGGCTGGTTTTCTGGATAATTTCTTGACCACAAAAAAAAAATTGACCTGTCATGGTTATCGTCACTCACTTTTGACTAATTAATAATTGAAAGTCCAAAATCATTCAACTTTGTCTGCACCAGTGTTGAGTGATCGTTATGAAGGTTTCATATTCCGAGAAACTATAAAGAGCTTCTCATCCCTACTTACATCTATTTCTAAATCAGCGACGGTCGGAATTGCCTTTTCAGCAGACCAGTTCGGCCTTCTTCAGTTAGTAGACATCGCGGGCGCTTATTTGGCCAAAATTCCTTTCGGAGCTTCTGAACTGGTGAATATTGATGGATATAAATTACTGGACTTTTTTGTTTTACCACACAGACTGCCTCTCTGGCAGTGGTGGCCCCAGTGCAACGCAATTAGGACTAATAACATTTGATCAAGAGAACACTCAAATCAATGTGAGCACGGAAGATTTTCAGTGGCCAAATGGTGGAAAAATACCTCTGTCAAAACCAAAGTGTGGGTTTGATGGTCTGTTATGTGTTACTTCTACACCTTCCACACTTAACACAGCGAAAGAAGATCGCCAAGATGATGGAAAAATTGGTAAGTTTTGCGCTGAAGGTGGAAAGTATCTTGTTTTTGTAACGTTCTTTTTCTTCATATTAAAAATTTCGGAAGCTTTTTAAACACCGTGACTTATTGGCTTGTATGTTCTTTTGTAACTCATGTGAGACAACTTGGTTCTGACAGGCTGAAATTACGCCACCTAGTCATTACAACGTTCACATATGTGCAGAAGTTTGACCGCTCTGTTGAGGTGATCTGCTCTGAACTGGCATCTGAGTAGTTCAGGCCATGTTAGCCATTGAGACTTTGATCCTCCCAATAGCAATGAACCTTTAAGATTTGGTGTCGAGTGTTTGATTAAGTATATATTTGTCTCCTCAGGAGACAGTTTCAATTTTGAATCTCTTTATTTACGCCATTTGGTGTTCATGAAGAAACTGTCACCATTTGAAATTCGCTGACACTCGAGCTTTCGGTGTGTGAGTAATTCGTCATATGTTTTATTTTAGGTGCTATTATTGGAGGAGTTTCAGCGTTTGCAGGCATCACTTGTATCATACTCCTCGTCAATGTCATCAGGTAAAGGCATTCTTTTTTTGCTCGCTTCTTCCGTTTTTTTTTTCGTTGGAGTTAAAGGTATCATGAGCGGTTTTAAACGTGAAGCTAAATAGCCGCTTATTGGTTGAGAGCTTCGGTTGATAAGACAGCAGACAATGTTACGTCACACACGTGTGTTTTGACATGAAACCACACTGCTGCATCTCGTTAATTTTATAAGAGTGAAACATCCTAGTATACCTTAAATGCTAGTAAGATCATAACAAGGTTAGGGTACAACCTCTTTTGTTTTCCCATGATGTTAGGAATCCTAAGACAGTGATTTTCCGATATGTTTAAGCAACACTCTCCGGTTGCTTTTTTCATTCCACAGACAATACATGTTAAAAAAAGAGATGGACAGTTTATTGTGGAAAATGAATTACAAAGACATTCGTTGGGTGCAGACGTCTTCCAGCGTTAGTTCTGACATGGCTGAAGTAAGTGTGAAATTAAATCTCCTTGAAACTCGTCTCGATGCTTCAACCGAGATCTTTTGCAGGCCCTGGATAAATATTATTATTATCAGTATTTTAACTATGCTATTGTAAACTACAGATATCGAGACTAGTTCCGGCCTTGTAAGTCACTTGGCCTACGTGCTGAAGTTGTTTTATTTACTGTTTGCCAAGGGGCGAACTTCACAGCAGATTCAAATTTGTTTACAACTTCGAGTGCTCTAACGGGTAACAATTTTGGAAACATTTATTGGTTTCACTGGATTTATTTTCAGCCAATTATTTTTGTAACAAAACCGTGGACCCATGCGACTCTTGGGCAGAAAGACACGAGATATTTGCTCTAAAATTAAGATTTATGTTAGCTTCAAACTCCCTTTCTCAAATTTATGAGTTTGAAACTGCTTAAACAATGTAAAGCTTGTGCGTTGTTCATTACAGGAAGAAAATTCGCTTTCAATGTCTCGTAGAACAAGCAACCAATATACTTTTACGAACTTTGGATTTTATAAGGTGAGCGAGTGTCTTATGAACTAAAGACGGAAGATGTGTAACGTGAAATGAGTACATAGCTTGGTAACCATACTGAATGATATTTCTGAGGAGAGGATGATGCTATGTAATTGACAATTGGACCAAAACTAAACAGACAGTCGAAAAATGGCTTGCAAGAAGAATGTTTGAGATAGAAGGATGTATACTCCTTACAAGCATATAACTTAAAAGAAAATCTCATTTTGTTTGTAGGAAAATAAAGTGACCGTGAAGCAGATTGGAACCAAGACGATTGATTTAACAAAATCTATTCTCTTAGAACTGAAACAGGTAACAAAGACAGAGTGCTAAATGAAAATCGCATTACGATCTTTGTGAAAGTCGCAAATCACCATATAATGGATGAGTGTTAAAAAACATGAGATTAGTTTTAGCTTTACTGGGTTTAGCTGGTTTTACCCTTAAACCCTAAGAGTGACTGGCTTCAAACTTCCACGGCAAAAAATTTCCTTTTTCGCCTACAATTTTACCAAATGGTGAATTCAAGGAAAATGTCTTAACGTTCAAATTTCGTTTTCCTATTGCGGAGAACGCTCGGCATATTCGGTATACACTGTAAGCAAACATAAGAAAAAAACATGGCGTTCATAGCTGGTTTGCCAGAGCCTGGAAACTCCTCTGGTTAGTCTGTTTTCCCTAAAACTTTTTCAACGATTAACCAGCGTGAGTTGTCACGTTATAAGTGTTTTCCTGAACTGTTTTTCCTGTTTTCCATGCTCCTCTCGGTATCACTCTCGACTGAGTCAAATATAAAGGCCGTGACAATAGAGGGAGTGATCATCAGTTTAACAATCACGTGACTGTTAAATAAATTCTCTTTGTCATTACCACATGAAATGTAGAGAGAACAGTGTGAAACATATGAATATTTATGTCACGGTGTAAAGGGTTAAGTACCATTCGAGCAAACGAGGCTTGTCGTACTCGAACTGTTGAAGCTAAAACGAGAATTGCATGATGGAGGCTGGTGACGATATCGTTTCAAAAGAGGTGTGGAAGAAAAGAAGTGAGGAATGAACGAGTGATAATCAAAATAATGAAAAAACCAACGAACAAACAAGAGAATTAGGTGAATATGTGAGAGTCCGAACCAATGAATCTATGAACTTGAACAATTAAATGAATTCTGATGAACAATTTTGCCTTTTTCAGATGCGCGACTTTCGTCACGAAAATTTCGCCCAGTTTTATGGAGCCACTGTTGATTCACCTTACATCTGCATTGTTTTTGCCTTCCTTCCCAGAACCCTTAAGGTAACAGTCTTGTTCGATAACATGATCCGACAATCAATGAAGAACTTCTTAAGGAAAACGTTTTAGGACTTGAAACCAAGGGCGTGAAACTGTTTTTTCTCAGCAGTATATCACAATTAAAATAAGTTAATTCAGTTGAAATCATTTTTAGGATGAAGCTGGTTATGAAACCAAATTAGGTATGACATGCGTGAGGGTATATCTAAAGGGAGATTATTTCACGAGAAATGAACAAAATTGTGTTTTTTGGACCAAGTGTTTTCAACGGAGAAAGAAGTGTTGCTTAAGCGGGTCATTGATAGAATCGATGATTTTGTAAGTTATTCGCTTCGAGATAGATTGACCCCCCTTTCTTTTGAATTATCGCATTTTCTTTATATCATGTTATCTTCTTTTTCCAATCATAGGATTTTCTGGCTTGTTCAGACGTGAAGCTGGATAAAACATTTATTTCGTCTTTAGTCACAGACATTGTTAAGGTGGGTGATCAAAATGCGGATCCTTTGGCAAAATGGCGCGGTTTTTTAGTAGCTAATGATTAAAGAAAACAGTAACGGTTGTGTGAATTTCCTTGAACCTTCCCACTGACAGGTCAGGTTTCATGGGATTCTTTGACTTGGCGTCACATGTGGGCTTAGTTTGGTGTTAGTTCGTTTGCTCTTTTCTTCTCTTTATTTAAAAATTTCATCTGAAATTCTGATTCGAACGTGAGCAGTGGAGGGAACGAAAAGCGTTTTCATGGATGTTCTTCTGTTCAGCAGTGTGCTGGGTTCAAGGAACTGATCATGAATAGAGGGCCGATCCTGCGTCTAAGGCCGTTGAAAATTTTGCTGAAAAGACTCCTTCGCGTTAAATAATGGAAGAACTTGTGCAATGGTGTAAAAAGCTGTGTGGCAAAGATTGGCATACCCACTTGACGGCGCGCTAGCCAACCTCATGCGAAAAAGTCAAGTCATTCTTACGCTGGGATTCAAAAGCATCATTTTGGTGATTTCAAGCGGCGTTTAATGTGAAAGGGGAGAAAAATTGAACAAAATCGAAGGATTGCATATCAGCATGTTGCGAAGTTTGATCCTCACAATAACAACGGTTAATGCTTGGCCCCGATGCTTAGTTGCAGACCAAACTTGGATAGCTTTAGAATTGTGTCATAATTTATAATTTATTTACCTTGACGGTATTTTTTTTATGTTTCTCTCGTCAGGGTATGGCCTATCTTCATTCGTCAGATCTCAAGTACCATGGTAACCTAAAATCTTCCAACTGCCTGATAGACAGTCGGTGGACGCTGAAAATTTCTGATTATGGCCTTACTATGTTGAGATCAAAGTGTAATTTAACTGCAAAGACGAGCAGCGAAGGTAAACTAAACTAAACAATCGCGATTTCAATGTTGAAAAGTAGACCAAACAACCCAAAACAACAACAACAACAACAACAACAACAACAACAAAAGAAATAAAATTACTCCAAACGTTTCATTAACTACTATGATTAACACTTTGACAACGAAATCGTAATTTTTTATTCTTATCTATTCCATCTAGATTTACTTTGGACAGCACCGGAGCTACTCCGTAAACGTTTCAGTTTTCCTAACAGTGCTTCTCATAAGAGAAACAGGAAATATGTCAATATTCAGAAGGCCGATGTGTACAGCTTTGCTATTATTCTTCAAGAGTTTCACACCAGGAAAGGACCATTTAGCAATAACAGGAACCTCTGCGCGAAAGGTAGACAGCTAACAAAACATAGAAACTTGTGAAAATCAGGGATCTTAGACCCTGTTTACCAAGCACTCGTGAAGAACGTACCGGTAGACCGTGCGTGAAGAGAACAGGCGTGCATGCAAGACAGGCGCATTAGACAGGAAAAATTTAGTTATTTTGGTTTGCGTATCAGTGTTTTTTTTTTTTAATCTCCAAATCTTTGACAGTTACATGTATGACGAGGATGGTAAAAAACCTTTTGTCTGTCTTATTAAGAAATTGTAGGGAGAATCACAGAACCCGAAGTTCCCATATTTCGCCCTACTGTGCTTAATTTTATTGAAGAATTGGACGAACTCAGGGATCTGATGAAAAACTGTTGGGAGGAAGATCCTGATAGCAGACCAGACTTCACCGAGATCAAGAAAAGAATAAACAGGATTCTGGTCAATAAAGGAATGTGAGTGAATCAAAATTAATGAAGGCAGATCGCACTAGTAGGAATCGGTATAATATTAATGTTGGGAAAGCTGACAAATTCCATTAAAATGTGTTCACATTACTAGAAAACTTTTAACTTCAATGCTTCAGTCTGGTCGAAACTAAAACAGACTCTTTAAACACGAATTTTCTTGTCAGAGCCTTCAAATTTCACCTCTTCAAAACTCCAAGGGAATACCATTAAGCAGGAACTTACTCCTTATGAATAAAAAAGGTTAATGAGAACATGAAAAACATTACCATAGGACCTGATACTGTTTAATTTGATTGATACTGATTTCTCGGAACTAACATTGTCGGAAATATTCAGCCGACAGTACGAAGAATTCATTCCTTTTTTTTTGCAGTAAAACTAACATTTTCGACAGCATGATTTACATGATGGAGAACTATGCCAACAATCTTGAGGATATTGTGACTGAAAGAACAAGTCAACTAATAGAGGCAAAGAGAGAAACAGAAGAACTTCTTTACAAAATATTTCCAAGGTATTGTTTAATTTGATTGTTTGTGAGCTTGACGCGCGCAGTCGTCTCCTTCAAATTACCAGTCACCTCGTCGTCTCAACAAAGTGAGGTTCACTTCGTCTCCTACAACATTGCTTTCACTCAGCACGTTCTATGTCATGCGGACGCCTCAGACAATACGCCTCAGTTCTGAGGACTATCTGTCCATATCCTAACTGCATTTGATTCCGAAGCTTGGACCAAGAGCCCCCCTCACCCCGCCCCCCTTCCCTCTTCACTTATTTCCTCCTGATCGCACTGAGGATGTCATGATGATGTTTTTCTTCCAGACCAGTTGCAGAACAACTCATTAAGGGAAAACAAGTCGAGGCCGAAAACTTTGACGAAGTGTCCATTTATTTCAGTGACATCGTAGGATTTACAAGCCTCTCTTCTGAGAGTTCGCCAATGCAGGTATGCTGACAGCGTTTGATTCACCTGTTTGCTGACAGCGTTTGATTCACCTATTTGCTAACAGCACTTATCAAGATAGGTGAGCCTGATACAAAGGTGGATTTTGAGAAGATCAAATCGAGATGCGCGCGCTGAATGATAATAATGTTACATGAAAAATCTGATGCTAAAGGAGCCAGAGAGATGTTACAGCTTGTACTGAGGGTGTCTCCATCAATCTCGTACATAGCGTTCAGTATTATCCGAACTATTAGTTTGTTTTTATATTTTTTATTACTCTTATTATTATTGTTTATTAAATGTTATTATTATTGTTTATTATATGTTATTATTATTATTAAACTTTGGTGAATAATCCCCAAGGGGATTTTTCACAAATACTCCCTAAGCCTGAGGCGAGTAATTGTTTTAACGTAGGGGCTTTCGAATTCTGTTGTCACTTGTTATCACCTATTCTTTTAAGCACCGCGCGCGGGGTTATTATGGGGAGACATGACGCAAACCTCGACCAATCAGAGCACGTGCATCTCTATAATCATCGAGGCAATTATGATAAAGTGTTAATTCTCTTTTTTCTTTTTGCTCGACGTAACGGCGACAACACGAAGCCAAAGTGATGCTGATTTCAGCAGCCGGAGAAATTTCGAAATTTACCAATTGCTGTTTGCCATAGACATAATTTTACGTTCCGATGCGGAACTTGAGAGAGAATGATGGAGGGCACTCTGCTGACAAATTAATGTAACTTGCCCAATTTCATTTATGGTACTGGAGTTCATCGTTATTCTTTTTCAGGTCGTTACTCTTCTTAATGATCTCTACACATTATTTGATGACATTATAAGCGAATACCGTGTATATAAGGTAAGCTTAGTACTTGATTGAAAATCCGGAAGCATATAGAAACCATCCATGCTAATGTAAAATAGCACCTGGAAACTTCATCGTACACTTGTAGGCTCTTAATTATTTTATTCGTTGTTTCCTCGATTGAGTTCATTAAAGACCCAAACCAAATATCAGGACGGCCAATCATATTTTCGGAAAATATCGCAACGAGCCAATAAGAAGTCAAGGTAAACACAAACAAACTACCTTTCAGCGCGGGAAAAGGCAAGAGACCGAGTTAGGATTGATTTTAGTATTGCAGCTGATTCGCTACAAGGGTAGCCTGACTGAGTGTTCCTGATTAATCTTATAGTTGACTCAAAATTTAAAGAATTAACTATGTGATTTTGTCCTTTCCTTTTTTTTAGGTTGAGACCATCGGTGACGCTTACATGGTGGTTTCCGGTCTTCCGATAAAAAATGGGCACGATCATGCGGGTGAAATATCCCGGATGGCTTTGCACCTATTGGACTCAGTCAAGGAAGAGTTCGTCGTCCGTCATAAGCCTGGGTACAAACTACAGCTTCGTATTGGTATTCACAGTGGTGAGTGACAAGGATTTCCTTATTCTGTTTATTCTACCTTGTATGCGCTATTACATACGCCTATCACTGATTTCTTTTTTTTCTGTTACATTTCAACGACCTAAGTTCTCCATTTTGTAACTTACATCCACTTCATGTCCACAGGTCCTGTTGTTGCTGGAGTGGTTGGAAGCGCTATGCCTCGTTACTGTCTCTTTGGCGACACGGTGAACACTGCATCCAGAATGGAGTCCTATGGAGAAGGTTAAGGCAATAGTAGTAGTACCAGTACCTCTGGTTGCCGCGCGCGAGGGGAAAGACCGGGGTGGGATTGGGGTTAATTAAGAGCTCTTATTCACCCAGCGGGAAAAAAAGGAAAACAAATCTGTGGCGAGATGGGAAACATTGGGGTGGGGTCGCGGTTAACAAAGTGCCCCAACCCATCAAGCGGAAGGATAAAATGAAAAAATCTGTGGTGAGGAGGGAAAGAGTGGGATGGGATGTGGGTTAACAAAGTGACCCTACTCACCAAGTGGGAAGAAAAAATGAGAAAAAATTGTTGCGACCTGGGACACGCTTTAACTATGGATCAAAAAGATCTGGGTTCGAGCGTTGTTTTCCTTTTGGTTATTTGGTTTTTCTCCTAATATTTCCGATTCGTTCTGAAAATATTGGATGGAGATTCACCACGTGGGCGTTCTGTTGCCAAAATCCAGTCTGTGTGTGATAAATTTTTTATTTTATATTGAATTTTTTAATGCTCTGGACGTTATAGGTTACTAACGATAGACCCGCTAGACTAATAGTGTTGTTCCCTTTCTTGTTTAGCCGGAATGATACATATCAGCGAAGCAACAAAGAATATTCTTGAAATTCTTGGAGGATTTACGATCAAGCGCAGAGGAGAAGTGCTCTTGAAGGTACACATTTATTCAAATAAAGAAGTGATGTATGATCTAAGTAAGTGAGCTAAAATTTAGGCGGATACAGATAAGAAGCCTGTATAAACAAATTCAGGCCTCAACGGAATTCGAACCGAATGCTTCTCAAAAACTAGTTAGAGGCTACTACTAACTACTAAGCCGTCAAGATGCACTCTAGAAAGTCTCAATAGGGGTTAACTTTTAGCCGTTAAACGGCCAAAAAAAATGCCGTCAGGCTTAAAAACTGATCAATTTTAACCGTTAGTCGTAAAAAAAAGTTAACCGTAACATTTTTTCTTTCAATCACGAATGAAGGAAGTTAGCTGTAAAATCGTTAGCCGTAGAATTGCCAAAATTTTGACCGTTAGCCGTAAAAGCCATCACTCCGTTGAGACCCTCACTCTAGTTTTGCCCGTCCAAGTTGACTTTGCTTTTTGTTGTTTTTCTTGTGAAAGGGAAAAGGAGAGGTCACAACATACTGGTTGATGGAACATAAGCATACAAGACAGCCAGTCTCTCCAAAAAGACCGCGTCCAAAGAGACATTTTTTCAATACTACCAACGATGGCGGAGGATTGAAACCTTCCTGTATTACGCGCTCGTCGTCGTTACGAAGGTCACTCAAATGTGCGTCTGAAAACCCAATGACAAAAATTCCAATTCAGGTTGTTGTTGGTAACGGTAATAATCGGGAAAAAAGGAAAGAAAGTACGCACTCTATTACAAGTGTTTAAGGCATCTGGGAAGGTATTCGTGTGTCTGCACGTGTGATCAGTGTTGCCCCAACTTTCAAGTCAGAAATTGTTGGTAACTATCCGGTTAAGAGATTTCTTTTTGTCTGTATTTCATGGTGCATACCCAGTTCACTCGAGTGGCCTAAGCATGTGGCTTGGAGGAGCCTGAGATCAGCTTTATAATTGAAATACGCCATCAAGAGGTGCTGGTCTGCGCCAAAAGAATTTACGTGATACTGCTACTGATGGTTTCTGAGAATACAGGATTCTGTCAAACGCAACAAACTCTTCAAAACATGACAAGAGGGGCTTTCCCCTTGCGCTCACAAAAGGCATAACAAGGCAACCACGTGTAGTTTAGGACATTACTTTGTTTGATTTTATACAAGTCTCTAAATCTTCTTTAATAGCTGTGAAGCTTGTTACCCTGCCGTTGTGAGAAAGGATTGCGTTACAAGCCGCAATTCACTAGATAAACTTATGCTCACCCACTCTCCAGTGGAAAGAACTGAACATGCGCCACTGGCTTACAAGTCACTGAGCGCAGAGAATCCAACTGCTTTTTTTTCAGTTGAGAAAAATTTCTTTGTACGTGTTAACCTTGATAAAAATGATTCCTTTAGGGATTTGTGCATCTCCCGAACGCTCCCGTGTTTCCATTTTCCCAAAAAACCATTACGTTTTCAAAAAACATTCAAATAAAAAGGATTTTAAATCCATCAGTTTTACTCCGATATATGTAACACAGAAACTGACACAACCTGGAATTTCTCAGGTCTTTACTTTTTTCCCTTCGAGGGACAAGGTTACCAGCTCTTTATTCCTAGTATATTGTATAGTTACAATATCTACATTGTTCCTTTGGTGTAAATATGCAAAATCTTTGATTAAAAAAAAATCTTTGTCCATTTTTGTCTTCCTTGAATAATGTATTTATTCATTTACGGTAAATCTTATTGTTGTGATTATTTTCTTATTCCAAATTTTGACGGTGTAAACACTATAGGAAACTTTAAATTGAAAAGAAACACAAGTATGAAACACTTTTGGGATTTGACTGTGGCTGGAAAGGTACGTGGCAGTAACGAACTGGGTATTGGGGCGAAAATGGTAGTACAGCTTGTTTTGTCTTTGGTTTACTGTTGGCAAAGCTGTCAAGATGGGTTGGGGATTCCGACATAGGGAGATAGAACATTTAACTATGGGATGATAAACTGGCTGTAACATACCAATTCAACCTTCGGTGGAGCAAATCGACCATGAAAGAATTGAATTAAATTTAATTTCAGCGAAAGTTCTCGGAGGCCATGTTTTGTTCAAAGACCGTCCGTGTACGGTTTATGCAAAGTCACGTTAATATTACGATAAAAATTTTCATGATAAATTTTGGGAAGAAAGGCTTGCTTGAAAGTTCGCCTTGGCTCCTTTTGCAACAAAAAATAAAAAGCCTTCTAAAAAAGCTTTTCTTAGTCGCTATAAACAGATAAAAAGGATTTCTACACTTCCATGAACATTTGTGCTACAAACGCAATAGCACCGGTTAAGTTCATTTCGGTTCATTATTTGATTACGCATTAGCAACAATGTCTTAGCATTTACCTGCTCTAATAAAATTTCTAGCTTTTCATCTACAGCGGGACATGCATTATATATTGCATAAATTTCTTTGCGCGTTGTTTTCTCATCATAAGTAATTCTAAATCCTATTTCTACATCCTCAAAAATATAGCTCCGCATTGCATAACTATGACATTCGTTTTAAACTGTTGGCCACACAAGATTATTTGAATGATTGAATAACTGAGCACATGGGAATGATGTACATATCTTTGTGTCGATGGCGATTCTCCTAAATAGGTTTCTGCTTTGAGACTGGAACTCTGTATTTAGCTCGTTGTGACCAGACTTGAGAAAACAACCGAAAGCAAACTAAGGTAGCAAACTAGATTGGACGTATTCAAAAGCACACTGAGGTGTGCGTCACAACAAAAATTCTTCCAGCATCTAAGCGTATAATAGAATATCTCTTGTAGTCAGCGACAATTCCGTCAGATGTAATCTCCAAGCCTTGTACTTCGTGTATGATGACTCAATAGTTCGATGTCAAACAGACGAGAAATCGTCCGATTTATCGTTTGCGTCAACTACGTGTTTTCCTTTCGCTACTTGAGGTTCAGGCTTCATAGATTTCATAGTTCTTCTGAGAGAAGACGTCCGAGATACCCTGCAGGGAGATGGCGGGGCTTCCAATATTCCAAGTAAGCCCGAGGATTGGTCTGAGTGTTCTTTAACTCTCTTAAATGAACGCCGACTAAAGCGTGGTGTCTTTTTCGCGAAATCCACAAGCCAATAACTTTTAACCGTTCCTTTGCCCTAAGGGAAGGAGAATTAATCTTTTAACCCATGAGATTGACTATCATCTAATTTCTCCCAAAAGTGTAACCCCTGCATCACACAATAAGGTCACGAGAATGAAGGAAATGATCACCAACGAAATATTCTCTTGATTGTTAAACAAATTCTCCTTGTCAGCAACTTGGGAAATGTATAGAGAACAGTATGGAGAATATCCATACTGATATTTGGGTGTAAAGGGTTAAGTGAATAGATAAATACATTTTGGTGTAGAATGTACGAACAAGGAGGTTACACTTACTAAGACACTTTGTAAGAGTAGCGTTTAAGGTTTAAATGGGGAAGAGCATAGGGTGGTTTGGTAAACAACACACAAAAGTACGAAGGTTTAAATGGGGAAGAGCATAGGGTGGTTTGGTAAACAACACACAAAAGTACGAGTGAGGACTGAGTGTCAAAATCAATTTTAACAGTAACATCACGAATTCGAGATTTCTATAGTTGATGAAGAGGAGAATTTGACATGTTTCATAATCAAGGGCTTCTCCAGTTGGTGATCATTTCCTATATTCTCGTTACCTTGATGTTTGATTTAGATATGATCTCTTCGGGGTCAAGGGAGTATTCAAAGGACTATTCACAGGTCGATCCAGCAGTAAATTAACCAAACTTACTTGAACGGAAGATAAAGGAATTTGATATAGATTTGATTTGAATTTAAACAGTTGGAGTATAAGGGACAACGAATATGTTGTCAATTTAATCGTTGAGGGCTGTAAGCCAAGTAAACTTATAGGCAATGCTTGTAATGGTAGGACGCAACCCTAAGGAGACGTCATTCTAAAATCACTTTTAAAAAGTTACAACGGATACCTCACCTTTAAGAACACATCTCCTCTTTCCTCGATTCTAAAACCTCCTAATTTTTCAAGGAGTTTCTTTGTGGCCTCACTTATGTGAATTTTTAAACCTGAAGATATGAATAAAGCAGGGAAAATGAAATAATCAATTTAAGAATCCCAAAAACAGAAAAGTGGTTACAACAAAGAATGAAAAATACTCTCAATTAGATTATGCTGCGGATCCATCAAATCAACCGATTTTCAGAGATGAAGTGGGTACGTTTTCAAAGAAACTGTGGTACTGCGTCGGTGGAAGAGTATAACAGGATAATTTGCTTTTATCAATTGAGTTGATTATGTAAATTTGCCACTGTAAAGAGTTGAAAAGCTGACGTTTTAGAAACTCTTTACGGTGACCAATTTACATTACCAACTCAGTTGATTAAAAACAAGTTATCAAATTTTCAGAGATGACCAAATAATGTAAACACAGAAAGATTCTTAATTTATCACAACCTCGGGACTGAAGAAAAAAAGCTTTGTTGCCTATTCGTGAGCAGTTACAAACAAGTCTCGAAAATAATAGGCAAAAAACTCCACCAAACGGCTTCACTATAGATAATTTTAGCCAAACAGTGACTGAATGAGCAAGATGAGAGAAAAAAAGAAAAGAAAATGAGGTATCACATTTTGGCAAGCATATTTAATCCCAACCTTCTCCAGTTGACTCCATCCTAGACGCAGTGTTCACTGTATCACCAAATAAACAGTAACGAGGCATAGTACTTCCCACTACTCCTGCAACAACTGGACCTAAAGAGGAAAATATCGTTAAGTCATGGCGGTGTGTACAATTATATATGGAGTATAGTCAGTTGTCTCACGTATAGTATGGTCGTTTGGACCAAAATATGCAAGGAAACTAGAACGGATATAATAACATTTAAGTGCATACAAGAAGTTTTAAACTCACCACTATGTATACCAACACGCAGTTCAATTTTATGATCAGGCCTATGAGGCACCACAAAGTCCTGCTTCACTCCAGCGATCAGATGAAGAGCCATGCCTGCAATTTCAGCAGCATGACTATCGCCATTTCTGATTGGTAGACCTGATACAACCATGTACGCGTCACCAATTGTCTCCACCTGAGAAAACGAGAAAAGAAAGATTGAATTTATAGGGCCTAGGGGTTAAACTGAGTGATCAATTAAACATCGGTTAATTGATGCATCGATTGCAAAACTTTATAAGCGAATATGGGAAAAGGAGAATTTACCTTATAAACATCAAACTCCCTTATGATGTCATCGAACAATGTATACAGGGCATTCAAAAACGTCACAACCTATCAAGAGGTAAAAAAAGAACATCTTGAGCTTGTACAAGACGTCAGTTGATGAGCGATAGAAGGAAAGTCAATTAATCAACAGATGGCTTGTTCGTGTGTAAGCACGTCTGTAATCAGACGATCAGTCAGTGAGTCAGTCCCTTGGTCAGTCAGCCAGCCTACTACTCATTCAGTCATGTACTCTGCCAGTCGGTCAGTCAGCCCATTGGTCAGCCAGGCAGCTAGCTAACCAGCCTGACGACCTGCCGGCCAATCAGTCAGCCTGGCAATACTCTGTCAGTCAGTCAGTCTGTTGTTTGGTAAATCAGTCAGTTGAGCTAGATATTCACTAGCGACACCGATACACTCATCCTATCTCTCTGCGTCCAGCAGATATTCTTAATATTGGCAAACTTGAGCTTATGACTGTGCTTGCATCCAAGCTGTTTTAACTTGCGTAAACGCTTATGTGTGCATTCGGTGTGGACATCATCTGTAGTCAACGATGAAAGGCAAGTTTGAGCAATTCGAGTTACGCACAATAAACAGTTCAGCGGGCTTCAAAGCAACTCCTCCAGTTGCACAAGAAGATGTGCACTTAGGTGTCTTGGAGTGTTTTGTATTTACCTGCATTGGTGTACTGTCTGATGAAAGCTGTGTAAATCCCACAATATCGCTAAAGTAGATCGACACTTCATGAAAACTCTCCGCTTCCACTGCTTTGCCCCTTTTAAGCTGCTCAGCCACGGGACTAGAAGAGAAAACATGCGAAATAACGTGTTACTATCAACCGTCGAGTCAAGCTATAGCTCGCGACGTTTCAACAGCTGCACTGCTTCAGACAAGCAATGTAATGTCCTTAGTTTGAAAGAGAGCATCAAAGGGAGACTGACTCTTTCTACAGGTCACAGTCCCTCTCAGTCCTAGTTATTATTAAATCGATCAATCTCGTGTGTGAAATTCCCAAAAATACGCAGCCTATGGCTTGCAAAGACATCGACGGTGAGAAATAGTGAGTCTAGAAATAGCACGACACGGATTTCGTTTGGAAAACGGCTTTTGTGGAGGATTCACCCTTTTGGCTTTATTCTCTATTTTCAAGTTTTTAGGACGCAGGAAAATTTAAAAGGAAACTCACCGTGGTAATATTCTGTCCAGCAGGGCGTCTGTCTTTTTCTTTTCCTCCATTAGCTGTACAGTTCTTTCGCTTACAAGATCTTCAAGATTGTCCGCGTATTTCTCCATCATATACACCACATTGTCGAAAATATTTGTTTTCCTAAGGTTCGAAAAGGATCTACCTGGTTAGCACAATCACTAAAAAGAAAATTCGAAGGGAATGGAAAGAGGTATACTTAAATAGGCATGTTTACATGAATCCTAACGCTTTCAGAGTGGTCAACATTTTAAGGTCAACCTTAGCCTCCCTTTCCAAAAAACGAAAGGCTTTGCTATGTAATCGCTACCTATAAAATGCTTAATTCAAACCGAAAAACATAGCCTGAAGTCACGCAAGAAAACTCGGTACACCGCTTCTAAATCAGTTCTTATAAACCTTACTTAAAAACATGACATTCATTAAAATTTCTTGGTCCCGCTGGTGCTCCACAGCGATAAAAAAACTTTCTCAAAATGACCCTAAAGGACATGAGATAAATCACTTACATGCCACTGTTACTAACAATTCTGTGCATAGTCTTCTTTATATCATGAAAATCTGGGCGAGCTTCAGGCTTTTCCTCCCAGCATAATTTCATTAATTCTCTGAGCTCTTCCACTCCAGTGATAAGGTTCACGACCGTGGGGCGAAAGGGCGGTATTTCGGCCTCTGTAACTCTCTTTACAATTTCTAGGAATGAAAGTGAATAGAAAGTCACTCTTTTATTGACGTATTGGCATGTTATTGATCACTGCCTGACTGTTTGATCAGAGGTCTTACAAAGGTTTGAAAAACTAACACGACTCCAGAAAGATTTGAACGAGAGTTTTGATTTGGTGGTTGTTTTTTTTCACTTGGTAACCTGGCTTACCTAACTGGCTGACATATGACCATGACAGACTAGCTACCTGACTGACTGACTGACTTAAAGACTAACAAACTGACTGACAGATCGATTAACTAACGGACTGAGTGATTAAATATCTGAACAACTGACAGACCTAATGACTGACTGGTTGATCGATCAATTGATTGATTTACACTAATTGACTGACTCGTGATTTTTTATTTTCTTTTTTTTAAATTTGCAAAATGTCATTTCAGTAAAAACTTCTTTCCAACTGACAAAGCGTCACTCCTTCGTATAGCTACTGAACTTGTAAGAGTTACTAAGAGAAAGTCTCATGCCTGGCTTGTAAGAATTACCTTAGTTGTCACATAAAGAAATTTCAAACTACTTTTCTCATAACGAATTGTCTCACCCTCTGGTTGCATGTAGTTTGCACTGTAAGGCCCTTCTCGTGTGTGGAATTCTTGCAAGATGATGGCAAAACTGTACACGTCTCCTTCCTGTGTTCCATTTACAGGACGACTGCTTAGTCTAAGAATTTCAGGAGCCGTCCATAACAAATCTGAAACACGAGGTAAATGAAATCATTAGTTCATTCGCTGTGTAAATGCATGATGTGTGGTGAATTCACTATGGATTAACTCTCAGAAGTGATAAACATGTAACTTCTCCCTATATTATTTTTACATTATAGGGCAAACAGGTTATAAGAAGACTCAACATTATCAGGTAGAAGTTGTTATCTTGATCTAACACTAAATTCTCCTAACTATTTCCTGAGCAAATGTGTATCAGCTGGAAGGGAGAATTAACAACCAGATCTTGAGAGTTAGAGAGTTAACTCCGACTGCAAGTTGGCTTTGTATCAAGAACTTAACTTATCCTTACCCTGAGGTTTTTTATCATTATTTTTTTTCACTTATGAAACTCGGGCGTACCGAGGCGAAAATATTCCAGTTGTCCTCGTTATCATGGCTCATGCGGAACCGGTCATTACTTCTCACCAGGGTGGGGTAGTAGGCTTTTGATTGTGTCACGATAAAATTTACCTGACACCACACCCCCCCCCCCCCCCATGCACTATCTCATATCAAGATCCCCCGCAGTTGGCAGTTAATTGGCAGCCATTTTGTTATTATTTCCCCTTCATACTCTGTTGGCGGCGACTAACACCTCCCCCCCTCCGTTTCCCTTTGACAAATTCAATTTCCCCCTCCAAAGAAAAAATTTTTCTAACCACCCCCCAACCCCCTCCCCCCGCAATAAATAATGACTGGTCTCCCAAGAAGTCAGAGAACCACCAAGAACACTCCAACGTATCTTTGTACCTCTGTATACTTACTTGAGTCACAACGCACATAAACTAACTTCGCAAATTCCAGCTTAAAAAGCTGAGATTCCTACCTACCTTCGTAATAAGATTCAGTATATTTAAAAGTTTTCGTTAGTTTCGAACGAAAGGTCGGAAGTCCGTAGTCTGCAATTTTTAGTACCCAACGGCTATCCACTAAACAATTGGAAGACTTGAGACTTCCATGCGACTTGATGTCCGTGCAATGAAGATGACCCATTCCCTACAAAAAACAAGAGCCAAATGTTATCGTTCATGGTTTTATAATACGAGATGTTGTCAGCAGCAGCGAAAGACGATTGGGGGCAAAAGTCGCTAACAGGTCGATGGATTGGTGATTTTTCATTTTATTTAAAATTGGTTCATTAGATGATCCAATTCAAGAGTTTCCATCGGCTTAGCCATCATTGGTTATGAGCTATTATACTATTCTCTACAAATATGGTACTTGTGCGCGTCAAACAAATAAAATTTACAAAATAAAGTGGGGGAGATTTATGAATATTTGGGGCATTTTTAATAAAACAATTATGCCAATCGCGCTTGTTGGATATAGGATAATTATAGCCAACTCGGCCCGTCTATCGTTCCGCATACCCAACGTGCGCCCGTGGAATAATCGTTTACTAACGATGACTTCCCATCAGTTTGTCAAAACATCAGCGGGAGCCACCGACGAAATTTCTTTTTGAGAGGATCACACAACCAGTAATCGAGTTTACCGACAAAATTCTTTAATATTTCATTTTTGTGCGGCTATAGTCTCATAACCCTTTAACTCCCAAGATCTGATTATTAATTCTCCGCTCTAGCTGCTACACATTTCCTTGTAAACAAGTCACGAGAATTTGGTGTTAAATCAAGACTACTAACTTCTACCTGATAAGTTTGAGTATTCTCATTACATGTTGGCTGGATAATGTGTGGAGATTACGGAGAGAAGATACATGTATAATCACTTCTGAAGGTTAAAGGGTTATGGGCTTTGTCATGGTGGTGTAAGTAGGCAAGTTTTAGTTTTAGTGCGTAACATTCGGCTATCTTCGGAAATTATTGTCCAGTGCCAGTAGTTCTTCGAAACAGGTTTCCGCGATTTTCGTAGTTGTGGTTACAGAGCAAACACTAAGTTATCGATCTTGATTACCTTCGCGATGTCATTAACAAGTGAACAGATGAACATGTGATCCAATTTTACATCTTTATTTTCCAGGATTTCCTAGCAGAAATAAAGCGTAAGAAGACATCAAACTCGAAGAAGCACAATAACATCATAGAAGCAAGCACGACTACGGAGAAATACGATTTGCGGTTTTCTTTTGACCAATTCGTATCTATTTGATTAAAGCTTAAAATTTGGTGATAGTAATAATATTAATAATCATAATATATTTATGGCACAGTAAAATCTCAATACTCCCACAAAAATAGTAGCAATTTAGGATCATGTGAGACCTTCACAATAACCTTTTCAACTGCTAAACTATACAAAGAACCAGATTGGCAAGCCCAAGATGTTATCACTGAGTGAGCTAAAGGCAACCGTCCGATATTGGACACTTACCTGAAGACTCCCACGAGAGTAGAATTCAGACACGATGCAAATATTCGGAGGATCAGCGGTAGCACCAATAAAGTGCGAAAGGTTATCGTGACGGATATCAAGCATCTGCGTGCAAAAAAAAAAAAGGGAATAAAATTCATAAGAGACTATAACACTAATAATCGACTACTTATGATAAATATTTGAATAACACAACAAGCGAATGACAAATAAGTGGGCAGTGGTATCAATAGAAACTCAATTTACCTGTTTCATTTCTAGGAGCACTGAACGTGTCAAGTCAACATGTTTTGTCCCAACTCGCTTAACAACAACTGAGGTTCCCTGGTACGAAAAAAGTTAGGCATAGTTTCTTCAACCGCAGTTCATATATATGATTTTCTAATATTTACAGTCATTTCTTCTCCACTTCGAGGGTTTATTTGGAACTAACCTAATGACCAGCTCCCAGTTGGCTTGTTAGCTCAGTTGGTAGAGCGCTGCACGGGTATCGCAGAGGTCATGGGTTCAAATCCCGTACGAACCTTATTTTCACGACTACCCAAGAAGTATTCATAACTGCGAGGATCGCTTCCATATTCGTTTAAGGCAGAGAACATTAGAAAAAAATATGACATGACTTTATCTACAGGTAAAGCACCTGACTACTTCTAAAACCTAACCTTAAAAAATCCAAAACGGGTGGAGTCGCCAATAATGTCACCATTCATGAATGAATCCATCAGCAATGGTGCTTCCGTTTCCTGTAACAGAGTCAGAACGAAAATTATGAGTCAACAGTACTATGGATCAATTGATGTGTATTCCTAAAAAAAAAAGGTTTTAAAATGAGCCCTTGACCATTTTAAGAGTAAGTCACATTAATTCCTATACCTCATCGCTTGTTTAAAATTTAAGTCAACTTGACTGCCAATTAACTGCCAGTGAGCGGAAATCATGAGAATATTGCAGAGCCTTAAGGGGGACCAGGTAAATATTATTGTGACGGAACCAAAATTCCCCGACTCCTCCCCCCGGCGATATATCACGACCTGTCCTGTGCTCTCATGACATCATAATCCCCTTCGTCATGATCAGTGTCATCGTTATAGCCATGGTAATCATCATTCCCATTGTCAGTTTTTGTTATTAGTACCATCGTGAACATCTTCGTCTAAGCGGTCATCACCATTATAAAAATTAAAAAAACGTATGTACCTCCGTGTCTTTGGGTAAATCAAAGTGTTCATCATCTGTAAACGCGGCTGGACCTGTATGTGATCTTTTAAGGGCAATTTCCTCATAATTTATTTTCCAAAGTAAACTCTTTAACTCTTTCTCCAACCTAATTTGTCTGAGGAAAATAAATCACATAAGAATACCAGAATCATCTTAAAGAGAACCTAACTGGTGCACAGCAAGTAACCAGACCGCGGTTAAAATTGTTCTCAAATACATCATATTTAAACGTCACCAATTGAAAACAACTCGACGAATTGCACCACGCGTAAAAACTTTTTACGCGGATTGCAAACTACTGCTCTGTTTTTCGCAAGATCAAAAAGAAAAATCGTCATTATCAGTAATGTCGATTAGCGTAGCTCCTAATTGGAAGAGGGAGAGGATTGAAACTTCCTCACGTCAGAGATGTGAGGCCAGGCTGCTGAGCAAGATCCAAAACTGCGATGTCAATAGTCGAGTGTTCCGCACATTTGGAAATAATTTTCGTTTTGCAGTATGGAGACATGGTTGTTTTAACCTTATCACAAGGTGAAAAACATTTAATAACAAGCGAAACCAACCTTATCCTGCTGACGCCAAACAGGAGAATGAGAAGACCAGCAAAGCCAGATATTCCAGCGATGATCGCCATTTTCACTAAAGGAACAAATAAAAAATTAGAAATACGAGATAAACGAACAAGTCCTACTTAACTTCGGTAAATTCTTTATATCTCGATGTTAACAGCATGAAGGTACCATGAATTCCTCTAGCATTGTAAGGTAACACACATGGCTGCTATCTGCATGCATTAATCCTGGGTAAAGAGGGGCGCTCGACGAGTGACGCGTCATACCAATTCACTTCAGTCGGAACAGCACTGCGGACTTCTCGAACCGGAGTTCAGCGTACTACCACCCGGATAACGGCGTTTCAAACTCATTGAGAAAAGTTTGGTTATCTCAACCATAATGCATCAAAACACATTTTCAATCCACCTTTAAAAACGGATCGATGCCGGATGACATTCTTTTTTTTTTCATTTTTAGGGAAGGTATAAATCGATCCCAAGGCATCCGAGTGTTTAAGGACCAACCACCCAGCGTGAGGTCGCCTCGTATTAGGGGCCAAGACGAAGAGGAGTTTTACGACACGTAACAAAAAGCGATATCAATATCTAGCTCAGCTCGGACAAAAACATTTTATCCTAAGGCTAAAAGGTAACATTATTTGTATCGATTCATATTTCCGTGTTCCACACGTCTCTCCCAAGTGGGAAAGATTGGAATCGCAGAGCCAGTCATGTAATAAATTGTCATACCACTTTCACCAACAGGAGAATCCGGGGGGTTACATTTATCATTATCAAAACCGCACTCTGGGCTATCCTCAGGCGGAGAACCTCCTGGCCATTCGATCTTTTCATCCTGTGAGAGCTTGAAGGAAAAGCTGACTTCGCTGCTGTTGGTATAGGTGACCTTAAAGTATCCGACCGGTACCATGGTTGCAGTGTTAGAGGCATTCTTTGGGCAATTTTCTCCTGTGATAGCCGAGAAAATCTGCATGAATCACTCATTGTCTCAAGAAACGAAACAATTGTCGGCGGATTAATTTTTTTGATAATGACCAAAACTGAAAAATAATGAAACTGACAACGTTTCGAGATTCTTAAGAGCAACCTTTTTTGTGTTTGCGTAATTTCTCAATGTATAAACTGATCGCCAAGATGTGCAATGAAGAAAAGTGCGACTATGCTGAATCAAATGTAACGGGCACTTCTCTAAATTAGTATTCGAAATTTTCCCATATTTTGTTCATACGGTTAAGTTCAGGACTCTTAACAGGATCTCAAAACAAGAGGACGTGAGTTGAAATAGCATGAGAGCGAAGATAAGAAAAAACTTTTAATCAGAAATACCATATAACTACTTCAATGATGCATGACTTCTCTCGTACGTTTAAACAACCTGCTTCAGTCGATTATGAAATAAGTCTAATATCAACGTACTTGTGAATTCCCAGCGCATGTCCAAAAGGACCAGGTCAACTTCAGCAGCTCCATTTTTGTCAATGAAAACTCGCTGACCACGGATACCTGCCAAAGGAGTAGAAAAAAGATCTTTACGGCGAGTAACGAGAATAGAAAGTCGAGCTGAGGATTTGGCGAAGCTTATGGTTAGCACTGTTCAACTTTAAAGTGTCGTCAGTGAAAAATGAAAAAATTGTTCTGTTTGGCGATCAAGGACTTACCTAAATGGTGGAGAGGTTCTAAGGTACATATGATCTAAACCCTTCCAGCTTTTCATGCAATGTGGAGTAGCTTCACACTACTTACTGTCGTATTCCCTGTTCAGTAGCTTGGAAATGATGTTTTTCCCGTTTGGTTTCTCGTTCCGAGCTATTGTCTCGTTCAATGCAATGGCATACTGGTAGACTGCGTCGTAAAGGAAGGCTGCATACATTGGTGGCTGCAGATTGAAATTGAAGGCATTAATCCCAAAACTGTTTCAGTCAGATTACACAGTGGAGTGAAAAAAGGCTAATGACGATTTTCAAGAAAAAGTAAAATAGTTCTGCTGAGGGACAGCTTATGAGGTAGATTAATAACCTTATGAAATTAAGAGTTAACACTCGCGTTCGCGAGAGGAATTACCTCCTTTCCGTGCTAAATACAACACTTTATAAACAACTAAATCGAAAAAAATTGTTTTCAACAGTTGACACTCCACAAGAAAGCTTCCCTTGAACACCATTTCTAGGTCGCAATGGTATTTGGAATACTATTTTTGAAAAGGAGCGAGGAAATCTGGATAAACTTCAGAAAGAGGCTCGAAGAAAGAAACGGCTGAAATACGTCAGCGCTTACCCTAAATTTTCACGGAAACAAGCAGGGAGACTAGAAACAATATAGAAAAATGCCAGAGTCTCAGAAAAATTACATACGGCGACTTTTTTTGCTTCGCGTAAGCTGTGGTGAAGACGTACGCGGATGAGTTATATCTTAAGATTTCTTCACAGACAGTCAGTGGACTAGGTTATGAGATATCTTTTGGAGACGTTTATCGTAGAACACAAACATCGGCCAGGTAGTACTTCAAGTGCAAATAATAGCACAAAAAACTTCTGAAACCAGACAAATTCCATCATAAACGCGGACGCTTTTCAGCTCTGTCTGTTAGAAATAAAAATCGGATACTTACCGTGGTTGTGTTACGTGGTAAAAAGGAGGGGTTGTCAAAAATATATCCTTGGTAGGCGGAACTGTTAGGAAAAGGCACTTCAGGCGAACGTTTCTTGACGTCGGTCTGAAAAATGTCGAAGGGTCCTCTGTTTTCGTCGACGTCCAGTGCAAGCGTTAGCACAGATTCAAACCCTTCCTGAAACTTGCATCGGAACCTATCGGTCCCATCCGAAGGGACGAGGAACCATGAATGAGGGGAAGCCTGTCCGCGTAAGACTGCATTGTAATCCAGTTCGAACGTGATAAACGCATAGTCACCATTGGTGAACCCGAGCTCGTAAGCAGGAAGAATCATCTCACGGGCAGTGTAGAAATTAGCAGCAATGATAATTACTACAAAAAAAGGAATAATATGAATATCTACTTTAATTAAATTTCCAACGGCAAATAATGCATATCTAGTGTTCTGATTGGTTCACTCATACTGGTTCACTCATATTCTTAATCACCTTGTATGGAAATGCATCGCGCCAACTGTTGCGGAGCTGAAAAGAAGCGCAAAATATCCAGACGTTCGAGATTTTCATGAAATCAATAAAAAAATTATTCCATTCGCGCTTGTAGGATACGAAGTTGGTTATAACCAACGCGCGCTCAAGGAATAATTGTTAAATATTTATGTAATATTTATACAATAAGCTGAATTACCCACGCATTATGATTGGTTCTTATTTTTGGTCTATCGGAGGACAGATGCATAGATGACGTCATAATTCCCGAGTTTCTGTTTGTAGAAATATGTCTTTTGGCCTTATCACAAGCGTGGAACAAAGGAAACAATTCTGAGCTGAGAGGACCTCTTCCATGAAGCCCCTTTTGACTGAAAACAAGCTCTAAATGACCAGGAATCCAAAACCTGCAATCCCCACCCCTCAACTCTCGGCACACAATTAGTAACAACCAACCATCTCCCGATGCGTTTGTTAAATCTACCTCGTAACCAAAAACACTTACTGCGCGCTTGCGGTTTCATTTCTTCCATGAGCTGTCTGATTTTAGCCGGTTGATTCTCACGTTCTTGAGCCTCATCTGGAATCTCTCTCTCAATTCGGATCTCAACTCCTCTCATCTTAAGAAACTTTACAATATCTTCCTTTCTGTTACTCCAAGGAGGAAGTTGCTCGAACGCAATACCCACTTTGTACCAATTGAACTCCTTAAGTAACAACCAAACGCTCTCGGCAAGTTTAGTAGTTTGGGTGTACGTTCTTACAAACGTAGAGTAAAGCTCCTTGTTTAAAAGTTCCGGACTGCTACATAACTGAGGTAATCAAGAAGAAAATAGTCATGATTGGATGAAATGATTTGTAAACACGGTGGCCTGAACAGGTTTTTCTTTTCTTTCTTTCACTCCCTTTTTTTTTGGCAGGAACAAGTCTTTACATCACAGACCACGAGAAAGGATATGCAAAGTACTCCTTTGTAGGTCTGCTATCGGACACTCACCCCCTGTACAAAGTCCATAAGCCACTCTGCACACGCAGACTGTCCCGATTACCTTTTTCTAGAACTATCCGACTGCATCTCAAGATAACGGACCCTAGAGAGGGCTAATTATACACTCCAACGATTTCGAGATAATAAAACCTTCCCCACCCCCTCCCTCACCCCTTGTTAGGGAAGCCTTGTGAAATGCTGGGGGGTAACCTGTGATGGAATAGCATCTCATCTGGAAGGGGGGGAAGTGGGTGGGTTAGAAATATTCCTAGTCGCTTCATTCTAAAGCGGGATAACCTCTGACTGAATGGGCCACTTGTCTTGACCGTCTTAACAGAAGATTTACTATAAATTTCTGATGGACTGAGGAGTTGGAAGGTCCAAGTTTAGGAAAGGAGCTCCCCCCCAAAAAAAAATTGGTTGTACTCATCCTCGGAGTAGATTTTTAAAGACGTAATCACTTGCTGATAACCGTTCAGGGCAGTGTCAAAATTCTTATGCAGGCCCTTTCATTTTAACTGATGAAATGAATTCCAATTTCACCTTTCAGAAAGATAATTGAGGCCGTAATTTAGTGGCCACGATTCCAATTGAATCTCGAGGAGCACCTGATAACTTAAATCTTCACTCATTGAGGCAATAATGAGTAATAACAATGTACTGATGTCGCTATGTTTGAAATAGAGTGTAACAAAAATTTTTCTTTTCTTTAAAAGGAGCAGATGGTTGAAACATGATGACAAACAACTTGTTTTGATGAACTTCACATTAATAATATTATTCATAACTCTTCCCCGTGATCGCTGCAGGAGGCTAGACTCCTTTCTGCCCAAACTTGAATTAAACATCACCGTAAACCTCTCTTTGTATCTTCCATAGAAAGAGCCGGAAAAATATGTGCACAATGACAAAAACATGAATCCGTCCCGAAATAAAATTCAGCTTTAATTATGTTGAAGTCACGAAAAAAGGAAAAGTTTTGGGGTGAACGGAAATAAAGTTTGAAATGGGGCCGACTTTCATTTGCAGTATGAATACGAAATCAAAGACAATGCAATGTTAATATTTATGGCAGAGAAAAAATATTAAGTCACATCTAACCACTATTCATACGTTCTTTCTATTGGACAGTCGGAGAGCTTTTGTATTTCTCCCCTCACCTGATGCGCTTTCATAAATTCTCAACTTTATTTCATTTAAAAATTTCACAATCGATGCCCCCTAGGTTTCCTTTTTCAGTTTTCCCGATCAGCATTGGCGGAAACCGAAAATTTCCTCTCTTTTCGGGTTACAGTTAAACAGTGTTTTCGATACAGTGGTTATATCAATTTAAGCTAGATTGATTAATTTTATGTACCTAACAAACAGTTGCGGTTATGCCAACTGGAGAAAAACTAATCAAACACAACATGCTGAGCCTAAAAACACAGACAATGTAACCTTTGGAGTTTGTGGCAAGCCTTTCAAAAGGCGTGAGAGCTTTGGCTTATTGGCACCCTGAAGCGATACCCAACGATGAGGGCTAAAATAGTAAGAATATTATCAAATGTCGAGGAAACCGAAAAAAAAAATAAAATAAAGTACCAAGGAAAAAAGGCGAGGCCATCTGCGAGAAAAATTCGATTGAACCAAGAGTTCAGTGCATTCAGGGTTATGGTTCAAGGATAGAAAAGGAGAAGAGATTTCCGTTATTAAAAAATTTAGGAGTTTCTTCACTGATTAAAACCAGGTGTTGCGGTCTAAATTTACCGCGGGATGTAAACCTCTTAGGATTTTCCTTGAACATGCTAATATGAAAACGATAAATTAACTAAGAAGAATTTCATTACGGAAAAGGTGTTACAAACATAGGTGAGAAAAATGAAACTGTTTCAGTTGATTTTCCTTGATAAAAACCCATATTGGTTGAAAATACACAGCTTGAGAAAGGCAAACAATAAAGGACCGTGCCTATCATACACTTGTCTAAACGAATAAACTCAAAATGTGTACTTACGTAAGAAATCATGGGAAGGTCAAAGGAAGCCGCAATGCGGGCAGAAGTATTACACAAACAAGCCGGTCCAATAATCGCGGCAACGTTAGCTTCGTACATCTGGTGCAATAACCCACGAATGGTCGTATCTTCCTTCCAGCACGCAGTGTCGTTCCAAATAAAAGAAATGTTATGACCTGGTAAGAGGTTCTGCTGTCTGTTTACAGCATCCACCGCAATACTCATCGCGGAAGCATAATATTGCCCATCCTCTGGGTAATCCACATCAGTCATAGGAATAAGCAAGCCCAGAGTATAGTTTGCTTCAGTTCTAGACACAAGCATCAGCAGTAAGACTAGGGAAGTCTTATGCGCGAGTGTAGTTCGTTTTCGTGTCATGATTGTTCTCGTATCTCTGACAGGCAGAAGTGTTTAAGGCTTTCGAATCAAGTGCGGTTTACTAGATATGCGTCGGTTAAATTTGCTTCATTCAAGAGATGATAACGTGTCTGCTAATGTATCTGTCGATGATGCTTGCAAAAACGTCTTCAATTTCGCAGAAAACAAGGCTAGGTCGCAAATACAAGTTATCCGGTTTTCTTGCTACAACAAAGCAGTTTGAATTATCAAATGCATCCGGTGTTTATTTTACCGCTCTTTGGGCCATCGCTGAGTATTTCTTCAGGCGACGCGTTAATTTTCAGGACCTTCTGAAAAGAGAGAAAAAATACAGTGAGACAAGTCTAAAAAAAAAATTGAATTACACTAATTGCATCATGGAACACCTACTCTCTACCACGATCGATTATACTGCATTTATCAGCCTCGTGGACAGGAAAAGATACTATGATCGCAGTGAATAACAATGTAGTGTTCCTGTTTATGCATACAGCCAAAATCTCTTCCGAGATTTGTTACGTTTCAGGTTTTTAGAGCTATGCAATTACGCGGTAAAATACGCACTTACAAATTAAAGAAAGCTTTAAAATTTGGTTTATTTAAACTTATCTTACCGACAGAGCACGTTAAACTGATTCCCACAGGCGTAATTAGGAGATGTTTTATATCACCCTCCAAATGCATGACACATGAGACTGCATTAAACACACGAATTGCAGTTTCAGACAATTGCTTCCAAAAGGAGATAAAGTCACCGTCACCGAGAACCCCATAGCCATTCTCTAGACGTAAACGTCATCAATAATATATGAAGTAAGTCATCTACTTGACTTCTGAATGATAAATGACAAATTTATCCTAACAAGAAAGTTGAAAAATGCAATCGCGGAAGATAAAACCACAATTAAGGGGTAAAACTTGCACAAAGAATTTATCCATGCCTCATACCAGGTATTGTTTGGGCGTTTCTTCTTACTGAGCTACAAAGCCACATGTTGGGGCCAAAACATTTTCAGGAACAAAATTCATTATTTCAACGTAGCAATTAACATCAAAGTATATTTAAAATAAAATGTCAGAGAAATCGTATTTCACCTGTGATAGGTTCTATTGCTAATGGTGTCCGGGAGCCGCTTCGAAGACTACAGTTTTTTTTGAGGATTTACTTCATATAATCACTTACACTACAATCTCCTTGTTGTGTTTAAACGAAACAAAAACAAAAACAAACAAGCACACGAATAGAAACCAAACACTGAAATAAGTCCAACAAACGCAAACAAAAAGCAAAAATCAAACAAACGAAAAGAAGGGAGATCAGGATATCCCAGTTAGATCTGTTGCCAAGGTGATTGACAACCTCACACCCTCAACAGTTGCTTTATGCTGGATACAAGTGAATCATTCACAGAAAATAAACAAAAACTGGAAAGCAATTTACACATATGAATCTGCTGTAGTGCAAGCCAAGCTCGCTAGTGGGAACCCTGTGGCTCAATCACGAGAAGCCGACTGCAAAATCAGACCTGGTTCGTATCCTGCAACGGACTCAAAGATCTTTTTCCTCGCGCTCGAGACAAAATGAATGTTGAACATCTTTCGATTATTTCAATAGTATGGTAGCCTTTAGCAAACGTTTGCAGACAACTTAATCCTTATATTTCATTAAGAATTTGTTAGCTGATTGTCATTGATAAAGAGCCCTTTGCGAGGATTAAGCCTCCTTTTAATTAACGATTCCAACTGATAGGAACCCCCACAACGCCGCCTACCGGTGAAGATTGTACGGGATCTTTCTCAAATCGAAATTTTACACTAAAAAGGACAAACCAAAAAGGGATTTCTTTAGAAAACTGTAATTAAAGGAAGTAGTACTGTCTTCGTGTTTGCATTAAACGAAGATAAATGGATCATGGAAAATTGAATTTGGTCGAAGGATAGGCTCAAGGATAGCATCTAGGAAAACTTCATATCAATAAATACGAAAGCAATAATAAACGATGGAAAAGAAAAAAAAACTTAATATCTAGCACTACTTCCTCCTTCCTCCTTCGGACGTTTCCTTTACTCAGGACCTAACACTTTCCTAATAAATATTTGTGCTCATTCTCGTCACCTTTCAACCACTCTTGCGATTGGCCAGTTTCATGGACCGTCCCGCGTCCTGGGAAACTTACCAAATTTCAAACCATTATTAGAAGGATTTTCCTCGAACGCAAAAGCTACTGACTGAAATTCTGTGATAGTTCCGGTCAATCTCAATCATCCTTTACCGAATAGTGCGTTGACAAATGTTGTGTGGATTTCAGAGCGAAAAATTATCTCCACTCTCAAGTAAAACTCTTATCTCGACTCTAATCTCGGCGATTACTATCCTTCTTCCAAAGTTTAATTCTTGAATTGCTTCCTATGCCAAACGCTCTTTTATTGTTTACGCTGTTGATTAAAAAAGTCTGCGTTGCTGGTAACGTTTGCCTTTGCCTTCATACGGTTTTTTGCTTCCTTTAAAGCGCGATAGAAAAGATACACTAGGCTAGTACCTTCCTCGTGTTCGTGTTTATGGAGGTCTCTAAATGAAAATTAGCGCATCAAAATTGCCCAAGTGACCTTCCCTTGAAGGAAGCAGAAACTTTGGCGACGAGCAAAATAATCGTCAGCTAAAAAGACCGCGCTTCTGTGTGATATAGCAGGCGTTTTTAAGTAGCATTTGACAACCGAAAGGAATTCTAAAAGGCTCTATACAAGAAAGATTCCTTGTTGTGATAAAGTTAAAGAAATTGCATCTTAAAAACGACACTCCTTTGTAACTACACTTGACATTACAACTAAAATATTCAAATCTTACACAGGCATGCTATGAAAAACGGAAAATTTGCAAATGAGTCTATCTGTAGACATTAATTCCCAGTCGTCAAATCAAACAAAAAAAAATTTCGTATTGAAAATAAACGCATATTCATATATATCATCCAACTGATGATTATTGGAAGGAAAATTTTACGGAACAACAAAATGTCTCCCGTAAAACGTCTGTGATGAGAGTTCAAGTATAAAATTAAAATCCTTTGGTAAAAATGTACGTATCCATTCATGTTTCTAGGAAACACTTGTCGTTAATTCGCAGATAATATTACCAAACCTTTGCTTTCTATGTTTGTTCGCATCACACATAGTAAATAAAGTCAAAACATACACACGAGGAAGAACAAAAGTGAAACAAATTTCCAAGGTTACGGTCTCTAAAGTCCTAAACCTTGAACAATATACTGGCGGAGCAAAAACCAAACCAAACACTAGGCGTAAGTCACGTTATGCTTATCATAAAAGCTAGACACGACATTTCTCAGACTGTTTTTAAGCATGCCCGTCTCTTTGAAAATCTGTCATCTGACAAGAGGAGCATTCCTCTCTTACTGAGTACTCACACATAAAGATCAAAATGTCGTGAATTTTTTTTGTGTGAATTGAACAAGGGAATCATCAAATACTAACCAAGTCTGAAGTCTTCTGCCTTGAACTTTACAGATTTGTGAAGTACACCTGCCCAACTTCCTGTGATTGCGACAAATCGAGATGAAGACCTGTCAGGTTTTAAGAGGAAGTGTCAAATGAACGTGAGGGTTAAATGGCACCGGCGTGATCTGGGGAAATGGATTTACAATAATTTATGCAGGAGCGAGCGGTATAAAAACATTCGGGGTAATTTTACAAGTAAATGACTTTCACCGACCCACCACCCATACAGGGATTTGTTAGACGGGTTTTTTTATGTAACGGTAATTTTGTGTTAAAGATGAATGAAAACTTGAGCTTTTTGTAAACTTTTAAATAAACTTTTAAAGAAACCCAAGGAGTCCAAGCCCGGGAGGTTTTTTTAATCTATACAACAAAGCATTTCTCGCTATTGAATCCATTTTAACATGCATCGAATTAATGCAACAAGAAGTTCACGAAAGCCGTGGTTCTATAAACCTTCAGACCACCTTCAATTTGAGAAAAATAATAATGACATTCTGCAATTGATAAAGAAAACCTTACAGTAGTCTGGTCAAATGATTGGAAAACAGCTGCTCCAGCAAAAATTGAATCAGCGCTCAACTAATCATTGACAGCTTTTTCAGTTTCAATCGTCGGCGCCAAAAACCAATATCAAGCTGAGAATTTGGAAGTTTTTATCCTCCCTATTCAATTCAGTAACAGCTAGCAACACGAAAACTAGAAGTCAACGAAAATGGAATTTTCATACTGTTTTTATGTAACATCGGAAAAAACAAGTGATTCCTAGGGAATATTGAGTAAACTAAAGCCTCCCAGCGGATCTTACTGTCCATAAATCAAAATAACTAAAAAAAGATGGGTTTAATTGTTGGTTTTTAATTCAAGTTATACAATGTTTCCATTTGAAAGTGAAATCATGTTGGGTTTGTATAATTAAGTATACGAGTTTAAATTAATATTTCCGTAACTAAAAATACTCCAGGCTGGCAAAAACTTCAATTTATGACCCTAGCCAGAAAGACGCTGACACCGTTTCTAATTCTGCGGTCATTGCACATTTGCAAACCAATTAGATTTGTGCGACTTGTTTCAGTAACAAAACTGTATCTCGAGGGCAAAGATTATCCGGAAAATTTCCATAACAAACGAGGTGAACTTTCATTGCGACTTGTCCGTGTCTTCCCCATAATGCAACATTTTAAAACTTTCTCTTTGAATTTCGCCTTTAATCATTTTAATCAACGTTAAAATGCGGATCGTCTTTTCATATGCCTTGTACAAAATCATGCAAAAGTTTCTTCTAAAACGCACGAGAAGGCTGCGAGCATCTCTCGGGGCCACAAAGGGAATTCTTAAGTTATATAAGCTGTTACACAGCATTAGAGCGATTAGACATTGATTTATTTTTCTTAACTCAGGGAATTTGGTAGAATTCGAGACGATTGTGCAAACCTGAGACGCAGTTGACAGTGCTTTCATTTCATCGAGAGTTCAGATGAGGCTCCATAAATACTGGGAAGAGAGCGTATCTAAAGGTTACAAGTATGTTTACGTGGTTTGATTTGTAGACTACGAGAGTTAAAATTTCCTTGCACTTATCGACTCCGAATTAACAGTGGACTGTTTACCAACTGATGCAATAAATGCAATGGCATATAAATTAAATTTCTATCGCTTCGATTATTTATCGATTTACCCAGGCCCAAATGTTCCAGCTTTTCGCGAATGTGAACAACAGTTTAGCGTGGGAACTTCCGCAGGTAACCCCATCAGGGTCTACTGGGATAGAATATCTTCTTGTATACAGAGCTCCGCTTCTATTTTTTTTCTCTTTTCTGCAAATGAGGATCATAAACACGTTGAAGCTCATTACCTCTTAAAATATCATAAACAGGTCTAGCTTCTGTTGCTAATTAATGGTAGATAAAAACAAGATTATCAAAAAAACTTAGGATTTGAACCGCTGTCAGGTCTCTAAATGATTTCGATCTATTTCTCTTGTACGCGTGAGGATAAAATACTTTATGGTTAAGCATTTGATCTTTGTACGCAGATTGTTCGGAAGACGCTTTGGCAACATTTATCAATGATTTACATGGTAACCATACTAAGTCAAAACGATATGCAAATAAGCAAGAGATTGTCTCCACACGAACAGGTCTTGATATTTGACTACCATAGAACGTGAAAACAATCGAGCAAAAGTTACTTCATCTGTTTTAATCAACCTGAAGAGGGAAAAATCAACTAAAACAAAAAAGGGTATCTGTGGGAATATGCTTCGGCACTATTTACATTTTAACGCAGAAATTTTAACAAGTGTCGTTTTTCACGAAGACAGTAAATGTAGGAAGCTTTTACCGTAATATTCGGTAATATATGGCTTAACATAACTATATGTGCGATCAAACAACTGATTGCAATCAAATAACGGCTTTAAAAAGGTTATTTGCGAAGAGAGTTCATGTCATACAAATCGAGAATACGGAATTGCACCGACCACATTATTACTATAAAAAAGATTAGAAATAATCCACGTAAAAAAGCTTGATCTGGATAAACAGACTTACCATTAATCTTTGACCGCTATATGTAAAGCCTCCAACATTTATATAACGCAACGCTACAAACTGAGCCGGTGGAACAGAAAGTAAAACAGCTTTCTGACAACACAACACAGATAATTTTCATCTGCATAGATGGCCGTTAATCAGTATTCGCAAAACAAAGACAGACGAACGTCACTGAATGTAACGTCGTTAAAATAATCAAACATTACAACAAAGTACCAAACATTCACTGAATACATGACTAATTTACTGCGAACTTCAACGAGTCTTTCGGTGGAGATTTGATGTATGTTTAACATCATCTCTAACGCTTTATGCCTGGAATTTGTTCGTGTTGATGGTTAGGATATCTATTTTGTTTTATCTTGCCTTAAACGAACGATAAAATTTTATTGGTATGGAAATTCAATTTTATCAATTGTTCTCGTAAAACGCCTTATGAATTGAGCGATTCTATCTCGTTATGAGCTACGAAGTGCTGCTTTCAAACGGAAAAAGGAATTTTTGGGCACGACTCCGAGATCAAGGTTCTCGTTTCGTTCGTTTCGTCCTTTTCGCTCCAAAATGAGCTCTTAAAACACTTCAAATTAACCAAGCTTATATTATTCCTTTTGCTTATTTTTCTTGCATCAATTACTGTTAGTAAGGTATGTGTAAGTGGATGAACTCGTGCAGTTATCTTAAATTTTAAATGTAATTTCAATTAAACTTCAATTCAATCTTTACCCTCTCAGATTTGCATAACTTTCTCGATTTCTTTCAACGTGGCTATGTAAACAAGGGAAAAGTACTCTTTTGCTTAAATCAGAGTACTTTTTTATTCAATGAAGCTAGTTCACGGGTCGGTGTTGCCTTGACGGAAATAGTACATAAAATAATACTAAAAAAGGAGTCGTTTTGAAAGAGAAATGAAATGGAGCTTTGTGCTCTTGTTAGAATTTTACCAACATAATCGTCATTGTTACTTATCATTATTACCATGTTAACGCGCTGCAGGATTCTGTCTTTTTAAGTCCCGCCTCCCTTTTTATCCGAAGTTTTATCGGGAGTGTTCGGAGGGTTTGTTTGCCACTCACAAAAGGTCAAGTTACGTACTCACAGTCTTCAGACATGTTTTAAGACGATTTTAAGCGTTAGTTTTTAATGTGGTGATAATGTTAGCTATAAAATACGTGATGACCGCACCTTCACCTTGTTAAGTCTATAGGAAATTATATTTTATTGCACATCGAGTTATTTCTACCTGAATGAATATGAAACATGTTAATTAAGTTTTTTTTCCTAACAAACAAACTTTTCGCAGGGGCAAAAAAAAGAAATATATTCGGTGCGAAAACTAACCATCTATATTATGATTGTTATAATAATTGTTATTATTTGGATTGAATCTAAATTCAAATCCAAACCTCTTGCTTACCGAATTTTCAAACAAATCCCTTTTGTTTTAGTGAAATGGTATGATCGCAAGAACTCAGCACTTTATTACATAAAACCATCTGGCATGGATGACATCTTTTGGTAATGTGCGGATTGAAAAAAAAAGAAACTTTTAACAAACATTCTACCTTCCAAGCAAATGTTGCAAATCATTTTAACGTATTACCACGTAAGAAATAACGAAATGATATGTATACCCCCTGGTGAACTACACATGACATAATACAAAGACATTTTGGAGTTTTTGGATACTTACGAGATAATTTGCAGCTCACGGTAATATAAGTATTTTTTCCGCTCCCGAACTGCACACTTTTCTTCTTTAGCAACAAAACTAATTTAATCAGTCATCCACTTTACATTCGAACTCTTGGGAAACACACAGGGAAAACTTCGTCTCGGCTCACTAACTGCGGTAACGAAAAAAAAAGGTTGAAAAACACCGGTTTTTCTAAATGTAACCACAAGCAAATTAAAAGAACTCGAACGGAATAATTAAAAGTAAATAAATAAGATATCCTTTGCACGAAAAGGAAAGCGAGATATTTTCCAAAATGATTTGAAAATGGCAAAACATGTTCAACGCACACTAAAAAAAGCGGTTACAAAATCCTGATAATTTCCCACACTTAACAACTTTCTGTCCAGATTGTGAGGGAATGCTTTAATTTAAAATATTCTCTCGTCTCCGGTATAATGAAAGACAAGGCTGCTCCTGAGTAATTAACGTCCCAGCTTCGGCTCGATTCAAAAACCTTATAAATGAGTGCAAGCGAAAATATGCAATAATCCCACTTCGTTGGTACACAGTGTAATTAGAGAGAGTGAAAAACTTGTGAATAATTTCACTCCTGCGATATAAATAACAATTTTCCACTGTCTCTGCAGTACTTTTATGGAAATCAAACTCTGAGAATTTGACGCTGAATTAGAACATATTCCTTCTCTGCCTGGAAATTTTATCAACTTTGTAAAGAGAAATTCACCCTTGGTCACCCCTTGGTGTCAAAGGGCCACGAATGAAACCGATGCTGTTGTTGAAATATTTTAACGAGATTTAGTTCTCACCACTGTGGTAATTTCCATCCCTGGACATCTTCTTACATTCAGGTAATATGTTTCCCTTTCAGTAATTATCTTCGATTATTTCATCATCCCTATAGATCAATTATAGCAGTAATCGATCGAAAGGTAAAAGATGTTATAAAAAGGGCAGTGATTAGAAAAAGGATGAGCCTAAGTATTAGTCGTGAGCATTTCGACTTCTTTATCGATTGTGTCAATGAAAGGCCAAGTTTCCCTACCGGAACTAAAATTCTTACCGCTAAATAGCATGCAATTAAGTCTGAAATTACATACTCGTTCTCAATTACCAGCGTATCCGGACATGGACCAAGCTTACCGTAAAGTTACATCTAAGAGCCGCTCGGTGAAAATTTACGAGTGGATTAGAAAGTCAGTCGAACCAAAGCGATTTGAACTTTCCTGGTAGAACCGTGGGAAACTGGAAAGAAGTAAAGAAGAGTTCGCAAGTATGGCGTTTCTATCGAACGATGGGAAATGAAGCTTTCTAGTAACGACAAGAGAATATCGTGTTCTCTTGGTAATGGTTTGCAGTTTTTAAGCGGCGTGACTAAAACGAAGCTTGAAAAAATAAATAAATTCATAAATGGCTAGACTTAACTACATCCTCCACTTTCTAATTCACCAAGACCGCTTACGAAAGTTACACAAAAGAGTAAGGAGATTGAAAGCAAATTTCCACTACAGTGAAGCAAATAAAATTCCCACAATTTTCGCTTGAATGAAGTTACGACCTAAAATAAGATGTTTTCAGACCTCTGTAGTTTCAGTAATGTATCCAAGGGGATTCAAATGCCTCCAATTTTCCAAGGTTCAAAACTTGTAGTGCAGCCCGCTCGCCCGCCGAAATGTCGCTAGATTCGGCGAGACGTATAGATATTTTCAACAGCAGATCAAGAGACTAATATACATTAACGAAAATGTATACTTCATACGTTTCGTGAAACTGCCAAAAATATGACAACTTCTTTCCGTTTTTTTAGTAAAAGATGTTCCATATAGAAATGCATAGTATTGCTTTAAAAAAAAACATACGATTATCTTGTGTAAGCTGAGTACACTCAAAGCGGACCGCCAAAAACCCGTCTAACAGCTTAGTACACATATGATATGAAACCTTAAGGACTCTTTGTTTTTGTCCGCATTTAATTATTACCATTTTTACTTAGTAACGAACCATCTGACCAATATTTAGGTTTTATTAATTTAAAACGAACAATGAATGACCAAAACACAGGTTATTTTTTCACAGTCGGTTTTAAACCCTATCGCGTAAGTCTGTTGCCTCTAAAGATTAATAGTAATTGGGATTGGACAAAATTTGGAAAAAAAAGCTCAGATCTGCGTATTTAGTAAACTATTTATTGATGAGAAAGATAACACTTCCACGAAATTTGATCTTGACTCAGACTTCGCAGACGATCGTAAAAATACATCACAGCTTTTTGAAGAAAATAAAAACTCTTGCAAATATGACCCCTGTCAGACATCAGTGTCTCCAGCTCCAAAAAAATTTTGAGAACTTTTTATTTTTTTCAGGTTTCCCAGAGCGACAGAAAATCCGTCACTTTCCATAATTTAAGAACCTACGGGTCGTTCAGTCACCTTCGGCGCTTTAGTACGACTAAATATTCACAGCCCTCAGATGGTCGTATTTAACTACTTTCAGTAAAAGATCATTCTTATCGTCAATGGAGCTCCTTGCTGAAAAATTGTATTCGTGGAAAACATGAAGAGAGAAACGCCTCATGTTTCGGAAGTGAAGCTTCTTGATAGCTTTATTTTCAATTAGCTTAAGCATCCCGCGAAAGACTAGCCGAGTTCTAGAGGTCTTGTTTCACATCAAAGGTGCTCCGATCGCGGTAGTGCACTAGCGTCGGTCTAGTTGATCACACACACATAATTACAAATCTTGAAAAAAAAACCATCTTACCCTTTTAAGTTGACAACCAAAGGTAAAAAAAATCATGCCAAACCAACGTTCTTGGCGTCGATGTAGCAAAAGCGAAGCTCATTTTCTTTCAGTCCCTTTAAACAGCTATTTAGTCAAACGAACTCATCGACAAGTAACCTGACAGTTTGAGCGGTTGTTGGCATTCAAGAGATTGCACTAGAACGGTTCTAGTGCATGCTCAACCAAGAGTGTTTGAAACTCATCAAATTGCGGTAAAATGAATTTGCATGTACACGATTTCATGTAAAACCCACTCATTCATAACTTTGCACCTGTGTTCGAATTAAAAATCACGTGATATCAATGGTGAATAAATGACACGGTAACATTAAAACATTAAAAAAGAATTCACGCGTTATTTTTTGATTACCACTTTGTTTAAGAAAATTCTCCACGCATGTGAGAAAGGAGTAAAAATCAGAGATTAAAAGGGGTATCGTAGATTTTCCCAAGCTTTTCTTAAGCGTCAATTAATGATTGAGTGCAGGTGGCAGATATTCGACCAGAAGAAATGTGAGGAGCGCTAATAAATTCTGTAAAAAACTGAAATCACCATTTATGAGTGATAGCAAGGCGTCAGAGAGGTTTCAAAGCAAGTATAAGATATCATAAAAGTGCCAAAAGTTTATGAAAAATGTCCTTAAGTGATCGAATGCAAACATATTGAAACGACGGAAAAGAAGATAGAAAGTTTTAAGCCCGATGATGAAAGTGATATGATGAAAGTGACAAAAAATATTACTGGAAAAAAAAAAAAAAACTGAGAACTCCGATGGGAAAATCGAACAAATGACCTTCCAATGTGTACTTTTAATGCCCTCCCATTCAGATATGAAAGATTCGTGAACACTAGCGGGGCCATTAAATTGATCTAGGTCAGGAGCTCATTACTTGTTAGGTGCAAATTGCTTCAGGGCAGAAAACTATTTTTTTTTTTTTTTATGTTTTAAAAAAGAATGCACCCGGCAATGAAAGCGTCATCTTTCACCTTCAAAATTTTTTCTTAATGGAAAAGTATCTTACATTAATTGGAGCTTTAACGTACTGTGCAACTGTAAAATTACCGCCAGTTCACCCTGAAAGAACTGACTCTCGGTAAACAGTTGAGATATATCTATCAGTACAAAATAAGTGAGATACTACGACCGCTCTGATTGGTAAAAAACCTATCTCTCGTTGCACTTGTAAGACCATAGGCGTCTTGAAAGAGCGAGTTCGCAAATCATTTATTCAACCGGCCTTATTTTTGACCGTCGGACCCCCCCCCCCCCCCCCCCCCCCCGCTTGGTACAAATTTCTTTCTCTCCCCAGCCTTCCGCTGTCATTAAAATAAAAGATGGCGACCATAATTTTCACGAAGAAAATCCTAAGCACTCGCTCGCCAAAATTACGCCTGCTACGCGAAACTGTGTTTTGTTTTCAGCACATTTTATAAATACAGTAGACCTCTCTTTTTATTGGTTTACCGGCGTAATTACCCACGTGGGATGCTGGAAGAACACGAGAAAAGTTTGTTCATCACACATCGGAGCCGAGTGATTGATTAAATGCTTTACCATCAAGATATATGACCAGTTGATTTTGCAGTTAGATGGAAGTTGAGCTCAAAACCTGCATAGAAGCCGTAAGGCATTATAACATGATGCTCACACAGATGCTTTGCGAGCACGAATCAATGTTTACTGTTCGTGCATATGTATTTTCAATGCGTGCTCTTGTTTCTTAATCATACGAGACAGTTAACCAATATTGCCAGTTTGACAGTATTTATTTTTCCTTCTTTTGGAACATATGGGAAATTTCAGCACTGCCACAGAAGTGAACAATTCCGTCAAATTTTTTAGTTAGATGCCTTGATTTGGGAGAATTTCTACCCTTGTCGCGCCAAACCGCCCCCTCTTTCGAACACATTATTTTTGTTTATTCGATTGTTTGTTTTTGGATAAGGTAAGATAGGACACAAGAAACCGAATCATCCCGGTTCACTGGGCTAAATATGGTGAAACCCTCCAAGATCTGACATGATTCTGCCGGATACTCGTTCTGATATCACCTCTTAAAATTTGAACTAAGATCAAACAATATCTCTTCTTTTATATTTCACCCTCTTCTTATCACCTTTTTGTGTCGACAAAAATTTGGTTGTAAGGTTTCCTTGACAACGGGTTAAGTTAATAACCTGCTGATGTGCTGGAAAACGCGTCGTTACCGGACCGTAAGTGGAGCTGCATTTACCTGTTAATAGCACGACGATGTTAAGAATGTATGCAAAAATAAGAAAAAGCTGTCGGAAGTTTTGTTTCAAAGTGTTGGTATTTGTTCGAGGTCTGAAGAAATTACGGCGCCTTGTACACAATCGAACTAGCCTGCACAACAGGCCTCATTTTCTTTTTTTTATTTTTTTAGGCGAGGTCTCGGTCATCCTTCGCTCGTGTATTGCACTTAGCTGACCGAAAACGCCGGCTAATCTGCTATCTTTGGTCGGCTCCTTTTTCTAGCGTAGCTGCTGACGAAATAGCGTAAAATTATTGAAACATGATTGAAGGAATTTGTACACATGGTAGAGCAGCCATTTCTCAGTTTTGAGTAGAATTGAATGCAAAATCTACTATTAGCAGGTTTAGATGTGTAAATCGATCGCACGTTCAGAACTTTCTAAAGCGGCTTCGTGCGAGGTTCATCAACTGAATTATCCGGCTCAGTCTTGGATGAAATTTGACGAAAAAACATACAGTGTCGTATCCATGATAACGTGGTTGTAACCTCTCTTCATTCCGTATTATTTGCCTTCTTCTTTTAAACTTCATTAAAGCCCTGAAAATTAGGGAAAATTGACGCTTTTTCTGCTGTCTATAATCGATCTTAGACAGAATTACTCCGTGGAAATGTTTACTGAGGTAAACTTGCTGGGCATTTCCTGTTTGCAAGACTGTCCGAGATTTTTACAGACACCTGAGAGTGAGTTTATTAAAACAACAAACCGTAAGAGGAAAAAAAGAGCGAAACGAAATGGGATTTACTTATTATAGTGTTGAAAGTCTTAAAATGTCGTATTGGAGACGTAAAGACAGTAAATACAGACATAATTGACCGTAAGTAGGCGGCGTTTTAGCCCCTTTGTTTACATTAGGATTGTGTCTACAACGAGTTACGACACAAATGTTTTTATTCTCTTAACAAGAGATCTAGAAACCTCTATCCACGACATTTTTTTGTAAAAAGAGGAGAATTTTAGGGCATCTCAGGCTGTTATTGGTTAATACAATGCGATTTGCGCATTCAAAGTCAAACTAGTCAAGCGCAAGCGGCCAAGACTCAAATTGAGATGAATTTCTTTTATTCCTTCGGGCCGAACTTTCCGAAAAACGCACCATGTGAAGGCGTACAAGTCAAAAGTTCACGAATCCGGTCACGTTCGATTGCGTCAAAGGTGAAGACACGTCAACACTTTAAAAAATAGGTACCCAATGGGTACTTGTGTCTGCTGCAGTGGAATGGAATCCGCTGTAGGTGCCAATATCATGATTGTGATTACATCTTCATCACTGTTTAAATAACTTTTATTGTGTTATGGTACTGCAAAGAATCTAACATTAAAGTGAACGTTTCTTTTATTTTGTAGCAGAATATTTAAATCAAAGAATTGAAATACAACAGCCAATAGTTTTTAACAAAATTGAATAGTATCAGAAGTCTTTGTAACACAAGACAACTGTAATGCAAACGCAGTAGCAGTTTTGCAAAGCAAGAAAAAGTCTCTGGTTGTAATAATTCCTAGGAAATCATTATGTTTTTCATTTAATGGTAATATGCAATCAATTTGGAACAAAACACAGGTAAAACAAAGTTAGTATATTTACATTTTGTGTTCAAGTAACCAATAGGTGAATATACTTTTAAAAGTATTTTGAAGTGTTTGTCTTTTAATTGAAATGAAATGTATCAGAAATGTAACGCAACAGAAATATTATCCCAAAAAAAGCAGCACGTGTACTTGTAAATAATGTTTATCAGTCAGAGAAACAATCATTTCACTTAAAACCAGTGTCTACAAAATGTTTGTTGCAAACTGTAACAAAACAGGTATTATTAACGTTTGGTATTCAGTAGTAATTTCCACTGATGTGTGACAGGAAATTGTTCATTTTATTCAGATTTGCACTGACTCCACTATTTTTGTTTGTTGTTGAATGTTATGCTGGTTATAGTTGGTAACTCTAGAAGAAAGGTAGTTATGGTTTCTTCAGTGATCGGAAGAGTGCTTTTCCTTGTGACGCTAGCATATCATGCAGGATGTCGTTGAACAGGGTCACTGTGATCTTCGATTCTTTAATTTGTACCAGTAGTTGTCCATAACATTGTTGAATGGTGGACTTCATATTCTGCTTGAGCCCACAAGTTGAACAGGTTAGTATGGGAGATGTCTCTATTACCAGCTTTTTGTTACAGTTGCAGCAGGCTTGATATGCCGTGACACTTCGCACTCCAAGTATTTCTGCTGCTGCTGTTGTATTGGTAAAGTTCTGAGGTAGCTCAGCAGGATTAATGAGATCCACAGAATTGTTCCCAAAGTGTCACCTTAATGGCTCCATGTGGGTCCACAAGATAGGCAAACAACTTTTTTTTTTTCACCATACTCGGTCTTCACTTTTTTTGTTGATGACATCTGAATAAGTTTGGCTTTGATGGTGATACTTTGATTTGTGTTTGCAGCTGAAATTGATTGGATATTGTTGGCACTTGGCAACTCAATTCTTGAAAAAGGTATTTCTTTTGTAGGCTCTAACAGTACATTGTTATTCATCAGTACTGTGGTTGCATCTCCTGCTCTTTCAATTCTAAAATTTCTAAGTTTTATTGGAGATTTCTTTTTGCTCATTTGATCAAAGTGTTCCTGTTTACTTCCGGAGACGCAGACTCCTCTTACTAAGCCATCGGTGGTTTGTATGGACATGTCAAAGTAAGATGTCTTGCTACTTTTTTTAGTTGGAGACACATTGTGTAAGAAACCAACAATCTCTTCTTTTTGTTCTTCCATTGACTGCAAGTGAAAAAGAACCTTTTGAGTTTGTTTCATAGCAATATAATGTATTTCAAAATTTCTAATAACATAGGGAGCACTGCATCAAAAGACGACGACGACTACGACTACTACTACAAATTTAACTATAACAACAAAATGCCAAAAAAAAAACTTACCTAGGTGAATTATAATTTTTTATTTGTTTACTTATTCATTATAAATCAATCAACAACAGCAGCCTCTACAGACAGGAAGGAATAACACTAAATGAAGGTTGGGGAGTGCAGTATACTGCAAACTGTTTATTAGATGATACTAATACTGAAAATCAAAGTGAACAAGAAATAGAAAAGAGCAGTGGTTCCAATAAGCAGGATGGAAATGACAGTAATGATAATGATGATCAGTGGACTGAAGATGAAGCAGAAACACCTGCTGGTGTTACTGACACCATGTTGACCAACACACATTACTTTGAAGACAGTCTGCCTCAACGTATTTTAAATGTTGCACCAGGAGAGGGAAACAAACCCTTAAGTATATTCAGAGATCAATATTCTGAAGAGTTAGCATATCCTGGTATATTCCTTGGTCAAAGTCGGCCAGAAAATAAAGATAGACTAGCTAATGTTCATTATAGCGACATTTTTAAATCTGAACTAAGACGATCAGATAGGAGAGCTGCTATGTGTGTTGAAAATATATTCTTCAAAACAAAAAAGCTTCAAATGAAAATTCTCTCAGGAAAATCACAAGTTGCACTTAGGAAGTGCAAAGGAAATAGCAAATCTTCAAATTCTGGACAGTTGAAATGTGAAGGAGCAATTGAGCACTTGATTCATCTTGATGAAGGATTCCAATTTTTGAAAGCATTGATACCTTACAACTGTATGCAAAGATCTGTTCATAGCGATGCTTAGATAGTAATTATCATGAAGAATACTAGTTCTAGGTTTCTCTCCTCTGTATAAAATTGCCACAGCTTTCGCACATGTTTGTCTAGTGATAGATGTTTTCATGTGTGTAGTGAAATACATGTATCTTCTGCCAAATCCATTTCGTAAACAGGGCATATTATATCCCGCATTGGGCTTTGTAATCCCCAAGTGAGACTTAATAATTCCCTTAACGGGCTTTTCATTCCCCAAATGGAGCTCAATTGTTCCCCGAAGGAACTTTGCATTCCCCAAATGGGGCTCATAAAACTTATTTTGCGTCCTGAGCACTTGCAAAATGGCCGGGCGGTGATCGTGTTGGCGCCGAGAAAGCTTCAGTCGATTTACAAATTCAAAGCATCTTTCAAAACCTTTCACTCGGCCGGAATGACACCCAGTGCGAATGCTGTGGCAAAATGAGAAAACACCTTTTAAGAAATCCATCATAAATATGAAAAGCGAAAAGATCACTCACCTTGCAAGCAATAATACACCCTGGCTTAACGAACGAAGTCAGGACGATACGACGCAACCCAAACGTTTTTCGAAAGCACATAGTTCGACGGATTTGACTTTGTCCTTTTCTCAGATTTGATTGGTTCCGAGTCTTCCCGGAAATCGGTAGTTTGCCACGACCTCTTTCCTTTGTCCTTTCCTCGTATCCGAAATCCGCAGTGAAACGTCAAATAAATCGAGATCTTGTCGTATATGAAGTAGCTGGTCGCGCGTTTTACAGCTTATCTAAGTGTCTGCATGCATTATAAATGCAGCAGACACAAAAAAGTGCGACAGCTCATGGTACCTATTGTTTACTGTAGCTTTGTTATCAAGTAGCTGTGAAAGTGCTCCTTAAAGATTCAAGGATAGGTAAGCAAAATAAATAAATCACATATGGTATGAAAGGAAGATCAACACTTAGATAACACATGGTCCCCATTTTTTAGCCAGTTGATTAATTAAAATCTGGGCACATAGAGCTACTGTTTCACCAGAATATTTCTGTGCCATTTTCTGTTGACCACTCCCTTTCCAGAGTTAAAGCAAGGCTGTGTGTTTTCTGCCCAACTTGCCTAGCATATTAAGTTAGCAAAGCCTGACAGCTTGTATTCTATTCCATACTTTTCTTTGATGAAATTCCAGTGAATTGGCCATGCAATGAATGACCAGAGACCAACAGATAAACATTGAATGAGCAAGTACCACATACCGCACGAGATGCCTCAATGGCAGGTAATAAGGAAAACCTCCATAAACTCCATCCTGAGGTGCAGGCAAAGCCTTCTTAAACATGGGTATATCACTGAATGGCTTTATGCCAAGATAGTCCAGTGGAGTGATCCAGGCACCTGCATCTTGTTGAACCACTTCACCAGCATTATTGTAAAATGTTCTTGATGTGTGCTGCATGTAGAAAAAAGGTTGATAAGAGGTTTGACTGAAAAACATCTTTTGGTTGGTGTCATCAGTGGTGTGAATATATCCACTATTCAATGGTTGAATAAATGGTTGTGAAAATGTACACTCCTGTATGATTTTAGAACCCTCAAAAAATAATAATCCATGCTGAAGGCTTGAATAATTAAAATGCAAGCATGCATGGTGTCAGGGCTTTGCAACTTGCATTTTCAGCAAATCCTGGCTAGGGAAGTTGAGACATGTTTCAAAAGAAAAGGCTTCAACTTTGTTTGAAGTTGTTTCAGGTCGTTGTAAGAATAAAGGAAATGATCATTGCTTAGGGAAGTTCTTGATTGTCAAACAAATTCTCCTTGTCAGTACTATAGGAAATGCAAAGAGATCTGGTGCAAAGGGTTAAACTTTTTATATGAGAACCTCTGATCTGAATACAATTTTTGTCTGTTCATTCTGCTCACTTCAATCTGGAGACTAGCATACTATGTATTTGTTCACATTGTCTTGTTACCACCAAAATTGGCTAAAACAGTTAAATTGGACAAAACACACAAATTAGCTGAATAAGTTCAACTGGTAAAAGTGGTCAAATTAGCTGAGTAGGTTAAACTAAACAAATTGCACAGATACGCTAAATTTGTTTCAGTGGTTAAAATAGTCAAACATGCTGATTTGCTTCCACTAGACAAAATGCAAAAACTAGCTGAATTAGTGCAACTAGTTAAAATAGTTCAATTAGCTGAAACAGTTGGTACAATCCTGCAGGAAAAAGACACTTGTGAGAACAAAAGTTTGTGTAAGTAATGATTGAATGAATATCTTCTTACCTGAAAGAACACCCTTTTAGGGCACTGATTGATGGCTGAGTAAGGAAATGACAGTCCTGAGAGCGATATAACCATTCCTACAGTGGTAACAAACAGAAGAAATATGGCTGGAAGCTTGAGGTTTCCCAGAACATACACAATGCTAACCTAGAAAAAAAGGTAAATTTAAATTATACAAGCATATTAGAACTTTGTGGGAGATGTGTTGGCCAAATGGTTAGCTTGCTGAACTCTAAGTTGAGAGGAGGTCTGGCTTTGAGACCTGGCCAGGTCATTGGGTTGTGTTATTGAGCAAGAAACATACCACTTTCTCAGTGCCCCTCTTTCTCTCTCTCTCTCTCTCTCCATCCAGGGCTCAGTTGTTCAAAGCTGGGTTAAGATAACCCAGGGTTAGTGTGAAATCTGATTTCAGATCATTCAGGAGAATTCTTTTGTCTACAATTTGAGGATTGAATGCTCTAAAAAGCATAGAGAAAATTATCCCAAAAAAAGGCTTTTAAACAAAGGAATAAAGAAACCAAGAATAAAATGTAAACCTACACTGTATGTTAGCACTAATCACCTTTCAAACAATTGGGCCCAGAATTAAGAGAAGGTACCAACCAAGTTTGTCAGGGAAGCCTGATAAAATTCTGGGGGGGTTATCCTTGTGATGGACTGGCATCCCATTCAGGGGGGTTGCTTGGCTCAAGTACAAACTTTCCCTTAATTATCTTCTTATCAGAATTTTAACAGTATTTAATCAGCAAATTGATTGAATTTCACTGAGCACACTCACCATATAAGAAGTCAACAGCACAACTCCAAAGGCACACAGGACACTTATAAAGACATCTGGGGGTGTTTGTGTTCCAGCTCGACCCATAATAGGCATAAAGACGTCAAACATAGCAAATGTCAAATACATACAGAACTGAACAGGTACTAGTGTAGCTAAGAGATACATAAACAAAAACGCTCCAACATTTTCATGACTTGTCTTTGCAGTTAATACATTGTCCCATATAACAACTCGTATAATCAGTGGAAAGATGATGAAGAGCAATGGTAAATGTGCTGAAGCCAGGCGATAATATGACATTATCAACATGACTATTGTCCAGACAAGGAAAGCAGCATAAAATGTTTCTACTTCTTTCTTCACAAGTTGGTTAGATATCCTTTCCTTGAGAGGAATGTTGTCTTCTCTCTTCTCTGACACAGCTTTTTCCTGAGGAAAAAAACATTGAAAACACTATCTTTTGGTAAATGTAATTTCCATCTTCATTTTTGGATCTGTGACTAGTCCTCAATAAATTTATAAGATTTTTGAAGCTGATGCTGAGATGCAGTATGGCAAAGTATCCCACAACAAGAAAAAAGATGCAGTCCAAACTTAAACTGGTAGGAAATGCTTATGCATAGCCCATTGTTGTTGGTTTTTTTTGCTTGATTTGACTTTTAACCTGTTCCGCTTCACTGGAAGCATAACAAGTGTGCATAGCCACTGTTCTCCCTTATTTTAAGTAAAACAGGTATGTTAAATTTTCAGACCAATCCTTTAAAATGTTGAATTTTCCAGAATATCAAGTGATTTTAGGCGGTAACAAGAGGTGCTACTAGTGATGAATTTTACCAGTTACTGCCTGAAAAGGAGGACACTACATAGCTCAGTGCTACAAATTCTGCCATAAGAAACTGAAAGCAGAGTTCAAAATGAAAATATAAATTTTGGTTCTTTGTTCTTTTCATATGTTGTTCTTTGTTCTTTTTTCTTGGTTCTTTTCATATGTTGAACAATCAAACCAATGAATTAAGACATTGATAAATCTTTAACCTGACAAAATAAAATTCACTTTCAATGGAGACAAATAATGAAATTCAAATGAGTGCAAACAAAGACTTGAGATGATCAGTTCACCACAAGTACATTATGCAGACCAAAAAGGAGGCAAAACAATATTAACTTTTCTGTTGACCCATTAACCCCTTAGGGAGACTAGCATCTCATTTCTCCCCATGCTGTCCAGGTGTTTCAAAATGTATTGAAGTCGGCATTAGATGCAGCAAAAGTATGTGAGTGGGAAAAGTTCATTAAAAGGCCAAAAGGTGATTATTTTGACCAGAGTAACCAGGGACATGTTATTAAGTATGCGGTGAAACTCTGGCGGTCAACAGCTTGTCTTGAAGTCCGTGACTGTCACCCCCAGATCAAATATATTGGTCATAAGAAGGAAGGAAATTGTCAAATTTTCTTTGCTTGTCACTAAATTGACAATTAAATTGTGTCTACCTTTGCCACAATAGACTTCTTAATGAGAAAATGAACCAAACCAATGCCCAGTAGAGATGGTGCTGTGTATAATGCCAAGAGGAGGTAAGGTCGGCAGTACCAAGTTAGTGAGTGACCTGAGTACGTCAGAAGGACACCTACAGCCACAGAAAATGATGTTCCAACTATCCATGAGAGTAATAGGATGAACAGAGAGATGATAAGGTCTCCTATACCAGATGTGAGTCTTAATACTTTGCCTGATGAAAAACAACAGTTAAAAAGAGTGTTAAGGACAGCTTTCAGTTGCAGTGTACTTTAAGATCCACAATCTTGTAAAAATTGTATGACACCCCTCATCTATGCCATTTTTCCTATCACAGTAGGAAACTGGCTTAACAGAAAATTGAAAATGTTGACAATTTTATCAACATGCATGGAAACAATGAACAGAATATAAAAGCTTACCAGTCCCAAAAATGACCTAATCATATTTTACGAAATGCTCTAAAAGAGTTGATAAAAAAAAAAAAAAACAAAAAAAAACACCCATTGTTACCTTGTTTATTTTGTGTAGCTTTGATTTTTTTTTTTAGACCACGATACTTTGATTAATTCACACATGGAAAAGAAGATGTACTCAGGTCAGCTCTAAGGCCTATGCTTTCATAGCTCATTGTACAAAATTTAGAAAATGTAGAATGTTAATAATAGATATCTACTTGTAAATTATGCCTTACCCTCTTCAAAGATGGTTCTCTTTGCTGGAAAATGAAGGAATTTTTTCATAAGACAAAGAACTGCCACAAAAGCCGATGTCAGATTTATCACCAAACCAATTCTTTCAGGGTAATGTATCACAAAAATTCCCAGGAAGTGGAAAAACACCATGGAACCATGACGATACTCTCCAGGGTCAGCCAGAAATGGTGAATTAACTATGCTCTTGACCAAAGCCAGTATGTTATCACCAGCACGCTGGATAGAGCCTGGAGTAACAGCAGCTGGTGTATCGTAATTTGTGTGATAAACATAACCATTGGCAATATAGGCAAGGTCCATTCCTACACATCAGAAAATTATTAGTATACTAACCAGATTGGTTCAATGCAAAAGAGATTTTCACTAAGATTACAATCAATCAGTCAATAAGGTAATCAGTGAATAATGAATTGATCAAATACTAACCAGTCATTCAGTCAGTTAAGGAGCATTTCATTCATTCATTCAGTTGGTCAGTCAGTAAGTCAGTCAGTAAGTCAGTCAGTAAGTCAGTCAGTCAGTCATTCAATCAGTCAGTCAATCTGTCAGTCAATCAGTCAGTCAATTATTGCATACGGCGAAAAAAAAGTCAACAGTCACTGGTGGATAACCCGAGTAATTCAGTCAGACATTAGGATACATTTCAGTAAGTTGCATCTTTTCAGTAAGCCAGCCATCAAGTTAAGTTTATTCAATCTCATTCATTCAGCAAACAATCAGTCAATAAGTACTGTCATTTATTCACTTAGAAAATTCTCTTTAGCTCAAGCTAGTGTTCAGTTCATTCAGTCATTTTTGTCAATCAGTCGTCTGATAGCAATTTGTTCGTCGCAATTTGTTCCTGCGTAAAATCAGCATACCTGGTACTTCCAAAGTCCCGTTTGTAAATCCTGAAATCAGTGTCAGTAAGTTGTTCAGTAAGCCAGTCATCAAGTTGTTTATTCAATCATTCATTCAGACAACCAGTCAATAAGTCATTTATTCACTTAGTCAGTCATTCAGTCATTCAATCAGTCTCTAGGTGTCAGTCTATAATTCAGATACCTGGTACTTAGCCAATGTCCCTGTAAATCCTGAAATCAGTGTCACTAGGTGTGATTCCACTCTGAAAGACATCTTGGCCCAGAGCTTGTGCACAGGGGTGTGGGACTACCTCTGAATATGTCTTGATCAGCCAAAGATGTTCAGGACCTGCCTGAAATAACACTTCCCTTCCACCTGGATTGAAAAGATAAATCAACTAAAATCAACCAAAATAATAACATAAAGATATTACAGGAGTATAAGTGGGTAAACAAAAATTGTCAGGAAAGTCTGATGAAATGCTGGGGCTAACCTGTATTATGGACCATTGTGAAATAATTTAAGTGAATTTTCTGGATTCTCTAGGCACAGTGGCACACCATGCCTTGCTTTACCCTTTCCTAGTTTCCCCTTTCTTTCTTGCTTTTGCCTCATGCCCTTGCATGGCTTATGCACTGCTCACACTTGTTTTCATTTTTATATCCACAGATTGCTCAAATATCTCTTCCAAACATTCCTGAATTGTAGAAATCTGTCACAAATTTTAAGTGTTCATTTGAACACAGTTCATCTAGATTGTTTGATACATATTATTACAACTGTAACATATCCTGCTAAAATGGCAATTTTAAATATTTTATGTCCCTGTCAAAGGACAGTCAGTGGAAAAAGTTTCAAGCCTAACTCTTGTACTTGCCTCTAAACCAAGGCAAATAGTTGCGTCATTTTTCCATTCTTCCAAATTTTGCCACGTTATTGTACTGTTGATATGGCTTCACACATAAGCCCGTGAGAATCCATGATGCACGCAAACATTTTATAATTCTGTAACATGTAAGGCCACATTAAACTGCAACTCTCTTAGTGACCATTTTCCCATTATTACCAAAGCCACTGAATACATAACTTTCATTTTTCCTTTTCGTATTTTGATTTTCTTCCCCTTCTAAGCAAGTTTGAACGTTACTGTCTGTAAGTGATAGGGATTTTTCGGTTTTTTAGCAGCCATAATCTGAGGAAATTCCGACAAACAACAGTGAGGGCTTTGCCATTCATTCATCAACATGACTGAGTGGTGTAAAAGGTGAGTAACATGTAAGCAGCTGATTAGCGATATCAAGCACTCGTGAAAAAAAAAACGTTTTTTTTTTTCACTGGTGTTGTTATGGCTTTTCTTAGGGCTGGAAATCCCTATATAACACCACAGTTTATGTAATAAAATTTATTAGCATGCAGTTGAATCGTCGCCATCCATATTCGAAGTGAGTACATTATGAGATAAACAACAATACTCAATAAGAGCAGCATATTTTAATACGAAAAAAAAATGGCATAATGTTGCAACTGGAACTATTGGATGTATGGAGATCTTTGGGGTGTCTACTTTAGCTGTGCTTAACAATGTTGCTCTTGCTTTAAATTTGATAAATGGCACTTCCTGTTATGTAACTAATAAATACAACTGTAACCTCGCCTTTTTTTTTCCTCCTTCACTTCAAAATGTTTCAGCTGGGTAATTGATTGGCCAAGTAGAGGAAAATTAAAAAAAAAAAAAAAAAAGAGCTTAATTCTCATTTTGAGTTCCTTACCCTGTACATTCTAACTAGTGTCAATATTCTCCACGCTGTTGCCCTTACATTTTCCATGTTACTGACAAGGAGAATTTATTTAACAATCAGGAACTACTTAAATTGGTGATTATTTCCTACATTCTGATAACCTTTACATTTGAATCAAGGTTGATACTGTAAGGAGAAATTAGAAGTAAATCACCCTTTGGGGTTAAAGGTTAAAGTTCATCTTTGAACACTTCCTGAAGGAAGTTTAACCTCTTTATACCAATAGAAAATCTTGCAATAAATTACCTTTAACTGATATTCAGTGTCATCATGACAACATCCCTGCAATCCATACACAGCTCCTGAGATATAATCATACATTCCTACCACCTCACTAGCAACCACTGACACTATTGTATCCTGGAAGCCATACAGAATGGAAATCTTCCCACATAGATCAATATCACCGTGTTCAGCATTCTTTGAATGTTCCTCATCAGTGCAGAGAACGGACATCACTGTCTCCAAGTTCAGATTTAGGGTAAAAGTATTTGAAACTGGCCTTTGGCTGTAGATGCCATCCTTAACCAGAGTCAAAGGCTTTATTTGCAGCTCTGTCTCAAGCAATCTCTCTAAAAATTTCTTTTTGCCAACAAAATCACCCTCCTCAATGCTATATGCATGAGGAATGAGAGGTGCAGTTGAATCCCTGAGGTTTGAAATATTGTCACTGTTTAGCCACCAATCACCATTACAGACCAAATTGCTTTGTAAACTTTCTCTGCCATATATACCATTAACATCCACCTTGGTTTCCAACTCACTTAGTACATTGCAAGTTGGACTTAGCTTTGATTCTCTGTCAAAATAATCTGAGACAACACAATGTTCAGACTCTGAAGATTCATGTCACTATCCCAGTGGGATGCTCTTATCGATTTACTTAATTTGCTATTAACAAAAGTCTCATTGGAAACATTTGCTTCTTCACAGCTAGATTGCTGGAGGATACCTCTGTTTTGTGGTTCTGCTTCCACACAACAAACATTGTTTCGAGAAGAATCAGTACTTCTTGTAGAAGAGGTCTTGTTTAAAGATTGTGTTTTAATTAGTCTTGAAAGTTCAATATTTTCCGCACTCTGTCGTTCGTTTGCTTCTCGTGCTTTATGTTTTGAAGTTACGCGATGTAATTCAAATTCCGGAAGAACTGAAGAACATGATTGTTCAGGTGCTCTTCGCGATTCCATTCGTGAGTCTTCTCTTGATTCCAAATGATGAGTGGGTGGATAACATTCTCTTCTCGCACAATTTCATATGAAATTCCACATCATGGTCCCAAGATGATGACATTGTGGAATAGAAGAAGGCCCAATTTGGGGAATATGGAAGGGCCTCAGTAGTTTCTTGGTTGCACCCCTGTCGACTGAACTGACCTCCTCGTTATAACCTTGACTATTACGCTTTACATCCAGGAATGCAGCAGAAAATTGTATCGTATTTAGTGGAAACATTTCTTATCAATGCCAGCAACAATTTCTGCATGAAACGTCCGCCATCTTGAACATGAGTATGCTACTTGTCAGCAATTAAAACCAAGCTGCGCATATTCAGCATGGAGCTCGGCCCAGTATTCTCCGGGGCAATCGATTTTAAAATGTTTTGAAACTCTCACTTGCGAGATAGAGGGTTTTCCTCCTCAGAAAATAGCACTAAAAACATGTTTGACGTGGCTTTAAGTAGTGCTGGAGCAACTATTGCCCTTGCTACATCATTTGATGAAAATCATCCACCAGAAAATATCATTGATGGGTAAGTATTTTACGTTCGGTGAAGATCTTGCCAAACATTTCAAATTTCGAACAAGCAAAGTTAATTGAGGTTTTGATAAGGACAATTAAGATATTTCAAGACCACTTCCAATTTATCTGAAGCCCAGTAATGCTATGCTTTTTGGAATTGCTAAACTGGTAGACCATGACATAATCATTCTATATATACTATAGTGAACATTTTTACGATAGTAGTTGTCATGGTAACCCCTGGCCCTCGGAATGTGCATGACCTGTTTATTCTGAAAAAGCAAGATTTAAGAAAAGAAAGGTATGAGGAGTAACGCAATATTTGCAGATGCTTGCTTTTATCTGTACTTGGTAATGTCACACAAAAGTTGAAAACTACGTTAGCACCCTGCAAACTCAAACTCCAAAGGGAAACAGAAAATGGTTTAAGTTAGGTGATATTTAATGACAGGGTAAAAATTTCCACACAGCCCCATACTACATTATGCATTCAGTTCTTGGATAGAGAAAACAATGACTAAAACAATACACTGCCATTGGGAAAACAGATTACAACAGTATGGGGCTGTGTGGAAATTTTACCAATGACAGAAAAAGTTGGGGTCAAATCCAGGGAAAATCGGATCTTCTTTGAGTTAGTTTGTGTAGTGTATTGCGTTACCTAAGCGTTACTATAGTCACGCTATATCCTGTAAGACACGATCGGTACATGATTGTAAAAGTACATTCCTATGTAAAAGTAGTATTACTGATTCCTAGTATTGTATTGTGAATATAGCTTGTTGATTCTTTAATAAAACTCAGTTGAGCAATAGCAATGAAAGGAGTAACTTGACTGAGTCTAGACGACACAACAGTTTGGGTTTCAAGTTAGCAGGGTTTTACTTTATTATAGTACATTTCAGTAATAAGTAAATGAAAAACTCTAAGGCAAAGGTTGGTGAATGATACCTTTAAGATCATGAGCTGTCAATCAGTTTATCGCTAAAAAGCTTGTTTAGAATCAACTCAAGTCCCCATTTAGAAGTCTTACAGCCAAAGTGAGAGGTCATGCAAAGCAGCTTAAATTATATATAGTCACACTCTTGCATTTTCAAACAGGGG